GACGCCCGGAAGCACAAACCCCACCGACGGGTATGGTATCATGAAAATTGTCGTCGTACAATGGCCCACCAAATCATGACGCAAAGTGGCCGTCGAAGAGATAACAATCCACTCCACTGGCCGAAGCGAGCGAGGACGCCTCGATGAGATGCCCTCACGCCACGAATCAGCCTTGCTTCTCGGATGCAATGTCCGCGAAACCCCTTGGTCCCGTGCTCCGGAATAGAGCCGATACATGCAAACCCACTCGCCCGCTTTTGGATGCATTACATTGATATAATCGTGAACGTCGTGCCCTGAAAGAGTGTCGCGGTTGGCTATGAGATCATGTTGGGGTTGAAGTACCGCTGCAGATCTTCCTGGCCGGCCCAGTCTTTCATCGTGAGGCACGGGTTGATTGCAGCAGGGACAATCTGTTCCGGGAACATGGTGGGCGGAAATGAGCTCATGTCCATGTTCGACTCCATCATGGGCGACTCGAACTGGGTGATAAAGTCCATGCTGTCATCAAACTCCGAAACGGGGGTATTCCAGCTCAGATTCGATTGAGTGTGGGGATAGCTGTGCGATTTCGTGGGAACGATGCGCGCGTGCTGGGGAAAAGGACTTTGGTTAGGAGGCGTCGGAGGATACTGGTTGAGATTGAAGGGAGTGGTGAAGTTCGGCCGCTGTGCGACGGGTTCGTAGATCGGTGAGGGCGCACTGCTGTCCGAATGCGAGTCGTGCGACGGCTGTCGCTGCATGAAGCCCGCCCCGTCGGCGATCAGCTTCTGCTGCAAGACATTGAAGTCCTCTTCGAAGACATCACTGGCATGTCCATCTTGCTTCAGAGCTCCCAGTCTCTCCAGAATGTCGTGAGTCAGAGGGACACCGTTCCCGCCGTCCTGTAAGGGCGGGCCGCTCCAGCCCTGGCCGTTCAGTGTCCGCCTGTAGAGTTCTTGCAGACCGCACACGAGCTGGGCTTGCTGGCTCTCGAGCATTTCCACGTAGCTGCCGCAAAAGGTTAGGAGCGGTCAACGTGGAACGGCGACCGCGATACTCACCCTTTGGGATAGACCTTGTCATGCGACTTTTTGCGCTCGCCAAACACACAGATGGCGTTGTCTGCTTTGCACCGACTGCAGGGGCTTGCGCCGTCACACTAGATCACGTTAGCTTCAAGCATGTGCCCAAGTAGAGCGGTTACTGACCTTTGACTTCTTTAGTCGGCAGCGATCGCAGGCTTTGCACACTCGCTTGCGAATGCCGCCGTCCATGGGCGACGAGGGTTCCAGGGGAGGAGTCATCATGGAAGCACCCATTGGTGATGCGGTTCAGGCTTGCGAAAAGGCCGTGGCAGAGAGCGGTGTCCCGGAGCCCAGCAGTCGAAGAAGGAGACCAGGAAGGAGAGACCGAGGTACGAGGCGTGGTATATCAAGACACGAGCTCCGCCGTGAGACTTTGGGATGACGCCAGGAGAATCAGTCAGCTTATAACAGCAACCAACACGCAGAGACGGGGCTTAGGGGGGATGGTGGGTGGGAGAGGGACGAGGCCTTATATCGTTATATCGCGCGTAGCACTGTTTCCACGGAGGCTAGGTTACTAAGAGGACATCACGTCGGCCAGCGCAGTGGGTCCCGCCCACGAGCAGCAGGATTGATTCGATCAGTCACCTGGGACATAACTCAGTCTGGAAATACCGCGAAGCGCGCACAGAGAGCAGAGCGGGCAAAAAGTTTCATGCACCCGCCTTCGCCCTCGCGCGTACTCCGTACTCGTACGCAGCACACAAAGCAGACTGCATCAGCAGGGATGCTCTTGGGCCAAGGGTGGGACCCGCAGCTAACGAAGGACAGGGGGTCGATGGTTTGGGGCTGTGATGACATGATGTTGGTGCGGATCGCTCCCTGACACTTGGTGACTCTGCATGGATTACGATGGCTTGTTGGCGGCTTTGGGCAATGCGGCACTCGTGGCTCGCGCCCAGCTTTCCACAGCTCGCGGTGCGGTGTACAAGATGTGTCGGGCTCTATGCGTCGTGCACAACTGGCAGTTCCAGAGAATGGCACCGAGGCCCCATAATTCCTTCCATCACCTTACCTGTTGTCGCTGGGTCCCCGGCGTTCGGAATTAAACCAGCACATAAGGAGAGCGATATGATTGCCGGCCGCGGGATTCGGCAAACAAAACATCTCAACCCGCACTCCAGCCTGTATCCTAGCATGGTAACGTTAGGCGCGACAAAGTCGCGAAGAGCGAGGGCTACCCAACCTGGCTACGAGACCCCATGACATCGACAGACCAAGACCACGACTTCCGTTTTGGTGCGATTATGTGTCTTCGCCGAACGAGCCACTCTTCTTCTCCAGGCTTTGGCTACGCTCAACCTCACCAGATCGCCCGTCGCTATGAGCGGTGGGCAACAGAGACAATCACCCGCACACTCGACACACTATGTATCGATCCCCACGAGCACGCTGCCGAGGAAGTGGACATGTACGAGCAGCGATTTCCAGTTGCGAATTTCCTCCGAATCGAGATCGGTGTGTAGTATTTCTGACTGAGCCACGAAAAAAGACTCACGATAATTACCGGGTATCGTACGCCGGAACACCAAAGCAAGAGTTTTTCCGGTATTTAATCGCTGTTCAAATGACATGTCACTAGGTATTTGTGCTTGTCCACCCGCGGGCCTATTTTGTCTTCCTCACTCCGCACTTCGAGGACAAAATGGGCCGGCATGATGACTCTGTGATGCTGAGAAATCCTCTGTTCGCCGTGTGAGCGGATGGGAATGTAGCATTGCTGGCCAGCGGCGTCTTTCCGTCTCCTCACTCCTTGACGGGCTATTCTTCGCTCCCCAATACATGGGAATCAGTCTGCCTGAGAGCGGCTAAGCCAACGGATGAAGCGTGGCCAGCGCTCGAATTGCCTGCCCGCGATGAAGACCAGTTCTCGTCGGCCGCTGCATCTGAGTCGCCTGTCATTGGTCCTTGGGCTAGTTGAGCTGCGGCTAGCATTTCTTATGCATCAGCTTCACCTGGATTATCATAAAGGGGACCTATGCCCATGTCTGTTTCGAGCAAGTCGCTCGCTCGTGCTCTCGGATCCTTCCCGGCGGAATACGGTCCTCCGTATTGCGAGGCCCATGTTTGGTCCGCCCTCCGTGCGTCTCGGATAATGTTTGCTGACCGACCCCCGAGCAGCGAGCAGCCTGCAGGACGTGCTTGGCCGGTCGGCGATCGCCAGGCCGAGAACGAGCTGGCGCGATTTCCAACCCTTTTAAGTTCTTGAATGATCATGACTAACATCGAGCCCCGACAAATCACTGCTCAGACCACTACCCGGTCTGGAGACACGGAGTACGATTCTTTCCCACGACTGTTCAGTAAAAGACGACAATCACCGCAGCTCTCTGTTGTAATGTTGCCGACATGTGCCTTGGTCGTCGCCTCGGACCTGGACATACCCATATTCATCTGCAGACACGGGTTCCTCGCCTTTGAGTCTCCTTGTTGGAGGCCCATGTGCCCCTTCTGGCTAAGGTGCAGTGACTATCGAGGCATCAGGCGATTCATGCATGACCAATCAATTGATCAATCATGCGCAAGCCAATCTGGTTCGTCGACCACCACGTGGCTGCGCATCACATCATGCCAGTGGTCTGCTCCGCAAAGCTGAAATGTTTGACTTTGCCTCCGCTTTGGGTAGTGTTGCAGGTACAGCTTCATCATAAACCGGCGCGGGCACAATATTAGCCCGCTCGCTCCATTCACAGCGTAATGCACCTCGCTGACTTTGTTCTACCCGAGTCCTCGCCTTTGATTCAAGCTTTTCTCCTTGCTGATATTGCTCGTATTTCCTTTTCCAGCAGTTGTGCGGTCTGCACCCATTGGTTTGCAGGAGGAAATCAGCTGCGGCGACACGTGATTTAGCGGTTTCACCCTTGGCCCTCTGTGTGCGACTCGGCGCTGTCGCCTGCATGGTCTGTGCAATGACGTTGATGTCGCGGCCACAAGCTTTCGAGAAAGCTGCCCATATCAGATCTGCGATCGGTTACCAGTAGTGTGGGGTGGGCTCGAAATATTCATGGCAACCACTGCTCGACCCGTGCTATTTCCGTCCTGAGCGGCGATGTTCACACAAGGCACAGATGGTTGGCTGTCGCTTCCACAGAAGATAATCCGTTTCGCCATCTTCTGGGCGCGTTTGCCATGTGAGTTTAGGAGCACGTAGGTGAATCTTGGAGTGCTAATAAGCCTCTAGCTTCGAGAAATCTGTATGCAGAAGACCCATTCTAGACCGGTCGCTGTGAGTTACTTAGCTCATGGCTACAAATGCCCCGAACAGGTCCAGCTTCATCAATCGCGAAGCTCTGCATTTGGATACAGTACGTTCCTCTTCGAAGACAGCTCAGGTACTGTTGACAAAGCTAACGTAGCTGTGCTTTGACCCCAAGCAAGCCAATCAACTCGCTCTCATGTATTGCTAAATCAATTAGTGTTAGTGATGCAGCAATGCCTCGATTGCTGTCTGCAGGCTCCATCCAGGCTCAACCCTCTTGGTGACAGGGCATGAGTGGAGATCCATGCAGGTCATGCTCGAGATCTGTGGCTGCTTATCACTGTCAAGACAGCCTTGTCAGCATCGATCGTCGACCAACACAGTGCCAGGGCTGCAAACAGGACGATGAGTGGCCTTTGTCAGTACCTTGACCATCCAAGGCAAACGCCACACCATCGTTCTCGACATAACCCCGCTGAGTCTGTCAACAGGGAAGGTCAAGCGTTCAGTTGTTCGAAGGGCGGGCGATGTGATGCTCCGGCTGCCAGATTGATTTGTCTGATTCGGTAAACCCACAGCTGTGCCAGAACCTCACTCGGACCAGGCCGGATTTGTGATATTGGGAGACTCAACAACTCGTCGGATACCCAACGTTGAAGTCCCCAGGATCGAATGTAGTGCCGGCGAGCTTGTGGAGAAGCACTGTCGCATTCTTTTGGTGACATGACCCCTCCTCATGCACCAACGTACCACACCTCAACACCTAGAACTTCGAACTTCCGGCCCTCCTCGCTCAATGGCTCATTTCCAAACGTAGGGCACGATTCACTCACACCACTGTTAAGTTCGTCGTCCAGCCAGAGCCCGTAGTGTCCATCGCCACCGCCAACGGAGAGATAGCTCGACTCACAATAGAGCAAAAAGTCATTGAGCCCACTGTATGGAAATGCTTTGAACCGTATACGATCCGTTGTAGAAGCGCCGGAGCGGTCAGGCGCAGGCTGCAGATGGGCGCTCCCGGGTTGTTGTAATGCAGGAGTCGATCCTGAGGCGCGGCGGTCCCCACGAATTGTGGTAAACCGTTGGAGATGGGTAGTGTCAGCGCTTGGCGGAGGAGGCAGTCCAGCAAGTTCCAATAAGTCTTCTGAAGCAGGTTCGGACCCGCGCTTAAGACTCCCAGAAAGATGTCTCAAGGCGGGCAATATGCTTGCTCGCCAAAGGAAGCATTCGCCGGTGCCAAAGTAGTGTAGGGATGGTTTGGGAGCATCCGAAAGGTATGCACCAAACACAGACCCTTGTGCCGATGAGCTTGAGCCGTCTCTAACTACCAGCACATAGCCTGAGCGCTGGGTGTAGGTAGACACTTTGGCACAATATTCGTAGAGAGTGGCTAAGGACGAGCCATGAGCCTCGAGTGAATATGCCAACTTCCAATGATCGATCAGCTGGAGTCTGGGCGGGATCAGAAGTCGAATCTCTTCAGCCAGCGAATGGGTCAGGAGGAGTGATTCCGCAGCCTTCGAAGACAATGAGTGTATCAACTCAAGAGGCGTGAGGGGAGGAGGTTGGAAGGGCGACGCTGTCCTTCTAGGAGGCGTGTAGACACCTGTGGTCGAGGTGGGAATGGATGGTGCGTCAAGAAGTTTGTGTACGGGATTCTCGGGTGGTTCTGTCATGCGACGATAGAGACTCGAAACGACGTGCTTTACAGGGTAAGCCAGGTATGCAGCTGAATTAGGATTGTAGGGGTTGTCGGCCAAAGTTGCATGGCCATTTCGCTGCTGAGATGATTCTCGCGCGGCGGAACTGGCCTCCTCTTTCGAGGCCATGGGCGAGCGCCTCTCCACGGTAAGACAAACTCAAACGTCGGTGAAATTGAACAGAAAATGGGAGGGGATTTCTGATTGCGCACGGAGAATACGCTGCGATAGTTGGGAGAAGCCGCAGGCGGAACAATAACGGGCCACAACAGAGGATGTTTCAGCCTTGCTTCATCAGCCAGTGAGCACTCATCAGGCTGGCTAAGAGTGTCAGGCAAGCCCCGTTTGTTGCCTGTTGCCGAAAGCTTGCCTGCAGTGGCTCAAGGGCTCACCTAAGTGGGTGCCTAGGGGCTCAGTTGCCTGGTCTTGTTGCGTCATGGGAACAACTTCACTTGCACCTCACCTCCACCTTGTTTATTTCTGCGCCTATGTGACATACTCAACACAACGACAGTCTGTTGAAGCAATCTGATCACGCCCACTGTCGCTGTGGAACCCCACATGTCCATCCCGATTCTCTGGGCTTGTTGCACCCGCCATATCCCTCCAGGCCACATTTAGTCTTCTGGGTTTGTCGCAGTCCCGCCGCCGTACCCCTCCAAAATGTTTATGATCAAGAACGGTAAGGCCTAATCTCTGTGTCCACCAGATATGCGACCACGTACCGCGATCACGTCGAGCCGAAGCTGACATGGGTATCATTTCTAGTTAGCAAATATCTCTTCGGAGACACCTCGAAAGAAGTCATTACAGAGATCCCCCAAGGCCAGCTCTATCTCGTCCGACCCCTATCACCCAAGGGTTATTCCGAACTCATCTACAAAGATGCCGTCGCAACCATAAGGCGTACAGGACAAGAATTTCAATATCAGCTCGTTGTGCAACGTGCCTACGAGGAGGGTGAAGAGGAGCTTGCCGAGGACGACGAGGACGCAGGTGTCGAAGGGATCGACAAGGACGAGAAGACCTTCTTGCTCGACCAGAGTCTTCATTTCAGATCCGAAAAACGATCTGGTGGTGAAACTGTACTGGCCTGGCGCGACCTCAGTGGTGACGCTGGAGATCTCTATGAATTCGTCTGCGACGCGTCCGTACAGGAAGAAAAGATCCAGACATTCCTTCTAGCTGCCATTGATTGCCAGTTTGAACGAAAGTACAGGAGATCTGCTCAGAAGGCTACAGAATCAGAACTCCACGAGTTTTGCTTCGACTCGGACGACGCAATCCCCGCCGCGAGCTCGGTATCCGCCCCAATTGACCAGAAGCCCACTCAGAAGGAAACAGCCGAAAGAATGGCCAAGGATGTCAGAACGCCCAGAAAGTCGAACATCTCCAAGCCTAAAGAAACGGGCCCGACAGAAGCGCCACCGGCCAAATCTGCACCGGCTTCTGGAGAGGTCCTGACCACCCAGGCTGGGGAGCTCCATCTTTTCGACTTTCCGTCAGGCACCTTCATTCTTCAAGATCCGTCTGTTGTGGCTGTGGTGACCGACCTTGGGAAGTGGAGGTACTGGCTACAGATAACGAGCAGCGGTGGCAAAGAGTGGTTGGGTCAGGCCATTGTACCTGATATCAATCCAGTCTTCAACTTCGATTACCTGTCGGCGATCTTTAACCACTACACCGATGACGGCTCCGCATATTCTTGGTTGCTGCGCTTCAAGGATCAAGCTACGCTGGAGAAATTCCAAGAGGGTGTAATGCAAGCGCTATGGGAGCAATTGAATGAGATGAAATGGTCCAAGGTGAAAGACCAGGAACGAGAATACGTGCTCGAAGCCTTCAATGACTTGACGATGGACGATGCAAAGGAAGAAGAACAAGCCGAGGAGGACGAGGAAGATGAGGAAGAGTCAGACTCGGAAGGTCGTCCCCAGAGTGAGCACTACGACGAAGACGAATCAGAGGACGATGTTGAGTTAGACAACAAGGATGGCAATGTCAATTCACAACTGGCGGTTGGCACCAAACACGATCGGTCCTTCGTCATCCGGGGGTCCAAAATCGGTGTCTTCAAGCACCTCCCAAACAAACACCTCGAATTCACCACAAATATATCCAAAGTCGAGACACCGAAGGGACGTTTGTTCTCACCCAGCAAGGTCATGCTGCATTCAGAAGACCAAAATATGGTGCTTCAAGACCCCAACAACCCCAATGCATTATATCGCATGGATCTGGAATACGGCAAGATTGTCGACGAATGGAAGGTTCACGACGACATTCCTGTGACCAACTTTGCACCAGAAACAAAATTCGCTCAACAGACCTCGGCTCAACCCTTCATTGGTCACAGTGCGAATGCGCTCTTCCGCATCGACCCACGCGTGTCGGGCAACAAGCTGGTGGAGGCACAGCTGAAGCAATACCTATCAAAGAATGACTTCTCTGCAGCCGCCACGACGGAGAAAGGCTACATTGCCTTGGCCTCGAACAAAGGCGACGTTCGTCTCTACGACCGTCTCGGCATAAACGCAAAGACTCAAATCCCGGCCTTAGGTGAATCCATTGTTGGCTTGGACGTTAGCGCAGATGGTCGCTGGATCCTTGGCACCTGCAAGACCTACCTCATACTAATCGACAACCTTCAAAAAGATGGCAAGAACGAGGGCAAACTCGGCTTCGAAAAGCCCTTCGCCAAAGACTCGAAACCTCAGCCACGTCGCCTCGCGCTAAGTCCAAACCACGCTGCGCAATTCCAGCATGAAACCGGCCAGGGAATTGCCTTCACCCGTGCGCACTTCAACACGGGCCCCGACGTCCAAGAAACTAGCATCATCACGTCCACGGGGCCTTTCCTCGTCACCTGGTCGCTCAAGAAAGTGCTCCAAGGCCAAAAGGATCCGTACCAGATCAAGCGATATGCCGCCGAGGTCATGGCTGATAATTTCGAGTTTGGCAGTGATAAAAACGTCATCCTCGCTCTGCCCAACGAGGTGGACATGGTGAGTCGGAAGAGCTTCAAGAAACCAACGAGGGAAAGTATCATGGGCGCGCCGGCGAGGGCGTCTGGAGTGGGAATGACCCCGAGAAGAAGTGGAAGGCAGAGTCATCTGAGGGACGAGATTGTGAATAGTCCTTACTAGGGATGCCGAAGCGTCTGAAGGGAAAGGTATGGCGAGACTGGTGAGAGGGATCATGCTATCAACCCCTTGGATTTGAGCGTTTTGCGGGCTTCATATCATGTGCCATTCTTTTCTTTTGTTTCCCTCTCTTGATCTTGGTGGCTCGGGCCCAGTGTTGACGTAACGATACCCCTTCCTGTGGGCACCCGTAGCTGCTCGAGAAGACATTTTCAAAGACACAGAGATACAAGTGAAGACAGTAATTGTTCTTCCCCCTGAGAGGATAGAGTGAGGTTCGGAGTTGTGACCGGCGGGATGGCAAAGAGGCCATGACAGTGCTTGGGCCGCCTAGAGTAACTGCCCGGACCTGTCGATATGTAGATGACCCAGCGCGTTTCCCCTAGACGCTGATTTCCCCCAATTTACTCTACTCTGGTTGTGTCCATCGTTACGTGGTCCAGGTCAATAAACTGTGCAGCTGAGGTTTTGTGCGCCAAAACTCTCCCGCTCTTGTGACCTCGTTAGGAGATATACCGGATAACAGGACCTTCATCATATGTCATCCGTTCAAAGATCAGTGTTGGACAACATGCGACATCCAGGACTTGTCTTTGGGACACTGAGAGGTCGAGTTTAGGGCTGATCTTTGAAGAACCACGAGGCCTGTATCCTGAATGCTCGATATTTCTGGACTCCGACGTAGCTCATCTCGAGGAAAGAGTGCTGGAGTCACTTGTACCTCTGCAGGAGGATGAGTCTTGAAGCACGGTTTATGCTCCCACACAGTATCGAGTGCGATCGTTCGAGCCTGTTTAGCATATTGAACCGAAAAGCAAGGCTCGGTGGGAAGGCAGGGCCTTGCGATCAGAGGAGATGTTTCGGTGCCATGTCGAGCATTCATCCTGCATCATCTCGGTGTTCTTCATTGGGGTGTTCGCTTGTCTGATTCATGACCTCTGCACACTTCTGTCTTAGCTCATCAGCGCCCTCAACGCCGTCCCATTTGCTTAGCAGGTCGAGGACGGACGTGTATAAGTGCTCGGATTCATCTCTCCGATCATCATCAATCAGGCTCTGTAATCGGTGTGGCGCGTCCAGGGCCCATCTCACGGTCTCCTGCTGTCTCCTGAGCTCTCTGGACTGTGCGATTTGCCTGGTCGCCTCCGTCTCTCCCAGACTCAGCCCTTTTATCACCGTCAACAGTCCATCCAGCTTATGCCCAACTTCCTTTACGCCGTCAAGTCCTGCGGATTGGTGATCCTTCTGCTTTCCCAACGCGGCCGCCAGTCTATCTTGTTCTCCATTCTTGTGCATCCCCTTCTGCATCTCTGCGATCGTACCCACCGCTTTGATCAGCTTGCTGTAATTATCGTAAACCAAAGCTTTGCGTTCGCCATCAAGCGTCCTGATTTCGCTCACCAACGCACTCTCCGTCTTCAGAATGTCACGCAGGCTGGCGTTCTTCAAGAGTTCGGCAACGTAGGCCTCTGCATTGAAGCTCGGATCGTCTAACTGCGCAGTCAGGGACGAGGCGGTTGACTCCGGCACAGCGGCGGAGGAAGTGATCGTCGAGTCGGATCCCAATGACGTTATGCTCGCTGTACGGCTTCCATCGCGCTGTTCGGGCCCTCCTGCTGCGGAAGCGGCCTTGGATTTGAGGTTGTAGTAGTCTCTTAACGCAGCTCGGTTACGCCTCTGTGCTGTTGCGGCCCCGGGAGTCGCACTTTGCTGCAAGGCCGGAGATGTAGGGTTGTTTGTCCTTGGGAGATCTAGCGAGGGTCGGACAGACGACGAGGGTGTCCCGCTTACGCTGGGTAACGATGGTGAGGTGATCCGCTGGACTGGGTCGGGGCGTGGGGAAGTGATGGTGGCCATGCTCTTGGACTCCGGCTACATCGAGAGGAGGTGAGGAGACAGGAGTGGCGCGACTCGCTCCTCCTCTTCTGTTTCGATGCAATGAAATGAACCTGCAGTGCCAGTAAGAACGAGCAATGAGGTGGATGAATGAGCAGGAGACGCACCCAGCGGCGTCAGAAGCGCCATGCCCGGCTAAGTTGCCACATTGAAATCAAGCGGCATCTCATCTTCATCTCACATCTGGCTCACCAGCAATTCACCAGCTCTTCAACTAGCCTTCACCAGATCCTGCCTCCAATCTGGAGTAAACTCTCACCAGATCCAGTCTTCAATACGTCCTCTCCTCTCATGGCTTGTCCATGTCAAGTCGTGTTATCTCCTTCATTGTGTCGCCGCACATATCCACTCTTCCGAGAGCCGCCAGTTTCGTGCGGAAATTGGATTTCCTATATTTGTCATCACATCGCGAGGGTCCTATTGTCGTGCCTCTCAGTAGCCAGTACGGAGTACTCCGTACTTCCTGGCCCGTACTTTTCGAGCATGAATTAGTCAGGCTGCTACTAGTACCTCTTTCCCCAGGGCAGCAAATCTCGGTTGTATCTTGGCACCCAGCCTTCCTGGAAGTGCTTACGGAGTACGGAGTATTGTGGACACCGACACTTGAGTCTGAACGGAAGGTGTCAACCATACAATATGTCGCTTGACCGGCTTCCAGGATGTCGGCTGTTGGTCGGTGCTCTGTACGAGCATACAAGTCTCCTGTTCGGCAACAGACTTGCAAACTCGTTCCAGGCTTTATTTATAACATGGGACGCTGCGGCAGGTGCAAGGCCAACCTCACTTTTCACGCACACAAGCGTTGGGTGTAATGATTTAGTACCAACGTGTGCAGGTTCGCATAAACACTGACTCATTTAGTATTGGCTGTGATCAAGCCATACCTCCTCTAGGCTCCAGAACGAAATGAGTTGAATCGGAGTTCATGAATAAGCTCGGTCAACTTCGGACAGCGAGGCTCCGATCTCTTGCTGTTCTCGACCGAGATGCAGAAATGGCCCGTCCTCATCGTCGTCCTTGCGCCCCAGTGCATCAATGCAGTAGGTGTTCGAACACCATCAGACCACTCACTATAAGGGCAGAGGTTGCTCGCCCACGAACGGACATGGAGATCCAAGGTTCTTCATCTCTCAGACGGCGGGCAGGAGTGATTCATTTCCACCAGGATGTTCGTGCAATCGACGTTCCTGGCTCTTCTGATAGCCTGTTTTGCATCCTCTACCATCGCGCAAAATTCCTCCTTCCTGTTCCATGGAGCGACCATCATAGCCTTCAACGAGAGCTCAAATAAAATCTCCGTGCTGCGCAATTCATCTCTCCTGGTTCGAAACGATCGTGTGGCAGGGTTGTTCGAAAACAGTGTGCCCTCTGATCTGCCCAAATCAACGGAATATGTTGATGTAACCGGGAAGATTATCAGCCCAGGATTCATCAACACACATCACCATCTTTGGCAAACAGCATTCAAGACTCTCGCCTCAAACACCACTCTTGCTGAGTATGTGCAAAGGTACGGCGAGGTGAGTGTCGCCCGGTCCCCAACCTGGTCACTATTGTCGCGTCACAGATGCCGGCAGGCTAACCACGCGGTGCAGTTTAGTCCCGCAGGAAATACATTTGAGCCCAATGACATTTACCTGGGCCAGCTAGCCGGCTCATTGGAATTGCTCCACGCCGGTACCACAACAGTCCTGGACCACGCCCACGGCGACTTCTCCAATGACGCCTTGGATGCTGCTTTGAATGCCACACTGGATAGCGGCATCCGCACCTTTTTCGCCCCGGCCATCCATGACCTCAGCCTCATCAATGGCTACTCCATCGAGGATCAAAAAGCCAAACTACTCTCGCTTGTCAACGATACGCGTCTGCAAAACAACGACGTTGTTTCCCTGGGACTCGCGTATGATAGGTTCGCTCAGGCGTCTGAGGAGGAGGTTCGCTCCTTTTGGGGACTAGTTCGGTTTGTCCAAACGATTCCCGCGCCGTGCAGACGCAGAGTACTGATCGAGCTGTTTCTCAAAGATCTCAGAACCTATCGGTCGTGACTGCGCACTATGCGAATGGGCCGTGGGGCAGTGAGTGCAACTTTTCTCCTTGTATACCATCGCACATACTGACGAGAATATGTAGTCGATAATTCACCCCAGTTGCTAGAGCGCTATGGAGCCCTGAATACCTCTACGCCAGTCGTCTTATCCCACGCAGGCTTCATCAGCACCATCGACATGCAGCTCCTCCGCGAAACAAAGCAGTACATCTCGACCACGCCGGAATCTGAATTTCATTACGGCCATTTACATACCCAAGTGAGGCATATCCAAGATCAAGCAAGTCTCGGTGTAGATACACATTTCACCTTTTCGGGTGATATGGTTGGTCAAGCACGCCTATGGCTCCAGGCACTCCGCGCAGACAGCTTTAGATTGACACTCGAGGAAGATCTAGAAATCCCGTACACCAATCCGATGTCTGTAGAGCAGGCGTTTCTCCTGATTACACGAAACGGCGCACTTGCTCTACGGCGGCCTGACATAGGCATCATCGCGGTGGGGGCGAAAGCGGACCTCGTGGTCTTTGATGGGTCATCCCCCAATCTGCTTGGCTGGGATGATCCTATCGCCGCAGTCATCTTGCACTCAAACGTCGGCGACATCTCGGACGTTGTTGTCAATGGCAAGTTTGCAAAACGGGACGGCAAGCTCGCATATTCCGGTTATGCCGCCGTCAGGCAAGAATTCTTGCGAAGTGCAAAGAAGATCCAGAATGCATGGAAGAAGATGGAATTCGGATCACTGGAGAGCAACCCACTGGGATTCGGCATTGCTCCGTACGCGCAACCAAGACAGATTGATGTTCAGGCTGGACCGGGGACAGGCTACTGAAAGGCACTTGACGGCGGCTTGATGCATTTCTGAGACAAGAGAGCGGGTCTGTACATCTATGGCGACAGATTACTTCGAGCAACTCGATGATCTAAGGGGCTCCATTTCTCCACTCCAGCTTCCTGGTCGACCGTATCGCGGACCAAGTCCTCAACCGTTTCCTTACAGTTTACTAATGTGCGTCGACCTTCGGTGCCGTTGGGCAGCCTGGGACCCTCCAACGGCTAAGTTGCTGCTGACCGCGCCCAATCCGGGCGCCAGGTACCTGGAAGGACTTTCCCCTGCCTAATGGATTTAAACGGAGCGGCAGTGCCAGCGTGGAAGGCAGATCTTCCATAGCCTCCCTCCGATATTACACTCTTTATCACTCTTGGCGTGAACTCTGAAGCTACGGTACCCTCAGCTACAGCCTACTGTGCCCACGATAAAACTTCACGGCGGCGCACGCCGCAATAGGTCCAAGCCGTTTACCCTTGGTTGACAAGCATACCTCGGCTTCTGGCTTAGTCGAAAACGAAACATTTCCGTGCTCCTTGCTCTCCAACTCACGTCCCGGAAGATGCGCGCGGATCAGACGCGCCGTATGTAGCAGCTACCCGAAGAGCTGTTCCCATGGTTCAGGGCATACACCTACGGCCCTGCGACCAACTTCAAGGCCTCTACAGGTCAGACAGCCCGGCTGGATCAAACTCGGGCGTTTACCACGCAAACATGGTCTCTCCGCCTACCATGCTTCCTCTCCGGACGAAAGACACTGTACAACGTCTAAACAGGTTGGCGATAGAGTGATGTCAAGGATCAGGTATTTTGACTGCCTGTGCCTTTATACACCCAAATCTACTAATATTATCGGAGACACACACAACGCACCATGACGACCATGAAGAGGCAGAAAGACAACGATCACATTGCGCCCGAATACACGCCAAATGCTCGCATGTCCTCCCGGCGGGTTGACGGAAACACTCGGACACCCCATGAAGCATGCAAATCACAGCCGACAACTTGCTTCGGCCGGAAGAAGTCTCGCAGATAACTCACAGTAAGCGGCGTCACGTATATCATACCACATTCCGTTAGTCCCACGAGATTAGCTCCTCCGACTCCACTGTGCCATGATCGGAGCTATCACTCTCCTCGTGAGCGTATTTCCTTCCTCCCAGTCCACCACTACATTTTCTGGACTTCTTTCTCCGCATCAGGCCTCGGGTTCGGCACCCAGCACATCTCGGCATCCACTCGGTACTCCGTCTCTCAGCTTAGGCGAGAACTCACAAATGCAACCATTTATGGATGGGGTGAATCGACAACTGATAGGTGACTCCGCAAAATGTACTCTCTCCACATTTCCCCCATCTGTCCGTATGGGACGTTGGTGACGACTGCCGAACCGTCAGGCCCCCGTGACTCCTCGCATGCGAACAGGGTGCCGGTAATGTGGTATGTAAGTAGAGCCGGCCCTCTACTCGGTCTGTGGCCCGGAGCAGTCAGTATTCACCAAGTCGCGCGCATCATTGACTATTGGATTGCTCCAAGGAATCGTTGCCCAGAGAAAGGGTTGGCTTGATCTAGCATCGACAAGGCCTCGCATTCTCACGCTGCTTGTCATGAAACCAGGGTTTAACCTAGACAGCCTTCAAGGCAGCTTGCCTTCCGATCTGGTCCCGCAAGATGTCAACGTCGAATCGGTTCAAGAGTTGGCTCAACGGACCTTAGAGACCGGAAGTCTCGATCAGAGTGCCCTGCAGACGACGGCGCTCTGGAGGGACCACCTGGCACTCACGGGTCAAGTACGAACGTTCTACAGCAATGAAAAGATAGTCGAGGTGTGGAACAGTCGAGCCAAGTCACTCCAGCTTTCCAATATCAAGACCAAGGCTGGACGTGTCATGAGACCCGTGCCCACCAGCTCGTGGATTGACGTTCCATTCGAGTTCACCACCAAGCCAGAGGGTGGACTTGTGGGTAAATGCACCGGTGCCGCCTCCTTCGTCCCCGACAAGGACGGAAACTGGGTGATCTGGATGCTTGTGACTATCTTGGAGAATTTTGTGGATCACGGGCATCCCGACGTCCCTCGCACGGTGGAGAATGCTCTTATCAATGGTGAGGCCAGAGATCAGGCCAACGGTCATGCTAACGGTCACGCTAACGGTCACACCAACGGTGAGGCCGACGGCGACCATGCCCACGAGAAGCACTCGGATATTGACCACGACTTCGACGTCGTGGTGATTGGAGCAGGTCAATGTGGCCTTTCCGTGGCTGGCAGGCTCGACGCCCTGGGCTTGAGGTACGTGCTCCTGGAGAAACGCCCCTCTTTAGGGAAGAACTGGATCGGACGTTACGAGACGGTGAGACAGCACACCGTCCGAGAATATAACAACCTTCCATTCGCGCGCACATGGAAAGCCGACGATCCGATATTGCTCCCTGGCAAGATCGTGGCAGAAGGGTTCGAAAACTACGTGAAAAAGTACGGTATCAACTTGTGGACAAATGCCGAGACCACGGGCGCAACGTGGGAACCAGAAAGCCGAACCTGGACGCTAAATGTCACGCTTAAAGGGCAAGAGAAGCGCAGGCTACACTGCCGGCATCTCATCATCTCGGTCGGCGCGGGTTTTGGTGTGGACAATGACCCCAAGATTCCCGGAACAGACCAGTACCAGGGCATCCTCATGCACTCGGGAGCCTACAAACATAGTCGCGACTGGGTAACCAAGGACGGCATTGTCATCGGCTCCGGTACCATGGCCCACGATATCGCCGAAGACATGTACAGGGCGGGCCTCCGGTCCGTGCACATGATCCAGAGGAACAAGACATGCGTCTACCCGATCGAGTGGGTGATCAAGGGGCAATCAGGTACGAAATACATTAAGATTGTCGTTCAGATACTCGTTCCTGACCCGCTTGTCCGTTCCTGGTTTCGCTAACGGCTCTGCAAAAAGGCCTCTTCAACAACGACATCCCAACAGCAATCGCGGACGCCATGAGCGCGGGCGTCCCCAACAAAATCTCCCGCGACATCGTCAAGATCCAGTACGACGCCGCGACCGCGGCTGAATCCTATCGGTTCGACGCCCTCGAGCGGGCCGGCTTTCGCGTCGACCGCACCACTCCCCTCATGGACAACATCCTCATGCGCTACGGTGGGTATTACGTCGACATCGGCGCCTCCGCTCACATCGTCCGCGGCGAGATTAAAGTCAAATCCGGCGTTCCGATCACCAACTTCACACCTCACGGCCTGAAATTCCAGGATGGAAGCGAACTCCGAGCGGATGTCGTGGTCATTGCCACGGGACAGGATCACGACTATCGCAACCAGGTCGGCGAAATCGTTGGACGAGATTTTGCCTCGCAGTTGGGTGAATTCTGGGGCCTGGACGAAGAGGGAGAGGTGCGCAATATCATGAAACCTGCAGGTATGTCCTGAGTCTTTACAACTTGGAGATTCGTCCCTTTACGCGAGTCGCTTTCGTGCGAAGTTCAAGTTTTTGGGAAAGCTGACAAACATCTTTGTGTATAGCTCCTGGGTTGTGGATGTTTGGTGGAACCGCGCCCCAGGCTCGTTGGTGGTCTCGGTTTGTTGCTTTGGCTATTCAGTCTGACATGCTGGGGAAGCCGATTGAGTGTATACAGCTAGTTGGGTAGTAGGACCAGGTACAATGTGTATACAGTACGAAGTATATACTGGGCCTAGCTAATATCTAGATTTAATATGGACTGTAACGTCGATAATGTACATACTTAGGGAAGTACATTTAGTACTTACTAAGTACTCACAGTACTGGTACTTACTTATACTCCTAGAAGGGGCCTTCTATACCAGTCTGCATAAACTGTACAAAGTATATATAGTACTGCTACTTACTAGTATACAGTATTAAACTAGTGTCGAGCTGGGATCGAGCTGGGATCGAATTGAGATCGCACTGAGATCGAGCTGATGTCGAGCTGGTGTTGAACTTAGAAGGCAGTATAAATTTCACTTAATTAGGTTAGCGTGAAGTACTTACTTAGTACTTAGTAATATACAGTCCTTAGAGTGTAATATTTGATTATACCCTAGGAGTAGTTAGTACTAGAACTACTTAGTACTTAGTAATCTAGATCCAAATTTATAGAACTTTCAGTTTTAACGAGTTGACGACTCGTAGGGCTTTTTCAATAGAATTCTTTCCCACTATAGATTAAGTACGGACTACAGTAAAGTACTAACTTTACGTAGTACGCACTATAACCAGAGCAACTTCCACTAGTATTCACATACAGAAGTTCAAGTTTACTAACTTCACATTCGCTCACTCACTAATCAATAATTGAACTTGAACTCATCACACACTCACTCCCTTTACACCCACACTCAATCTCGCCCTCCCATCCGCATCATACACTCTTAGTGTACTGTACTGTGGTACGGTACTGTTCGTACTAGTAGCAAATGCTGCTTCGTGCATACTGTACATAGTCGACATACGGAGTACGGTACATCCAGTTCATTCTGAGTTCTCTCCTGGAATGCCACCCGCCCTCCACCCTCTACACGCCCAGGTCTCTTCAGCCCTCCAATCGCGACATCACATCCCCGTCGACGCGCAATGGCTAAACGACTTCCTCACCTCCCGCGGGCCTAACCCGCCGCCTCTCCCGGCCCTGATCTCGACAGCCCACTTCCGCATCCTAGCCAGCGACATCACGACGTCAATCTCCCCCAACAGCGCTGCGACATTCCCCGAGGACGCGAGCGACGTGACGATCCGCGACCGACGCCTTCAAGACCACGTCATCGTGCAGGTGCTGGACGTGCACGACGTGGGGAGCAGCAAGTTCAGCCAGATCGAGGCGATCGAACGCGTCGAGCGCGGCGAGGAGATTCGCGGCCGCGAAGTCATCAGGAGTGTGCGTGTCGATCATGATGGGGAGGATGAGGACGGTGCTGGCGTCGCTACCAGTACCACTACCACTACTAACAGCAACAATGCCGCCACTGCCACTGCCACTGCCACTGCCACCACCACCACCACCTCTACAAACCCGCCGACGAAGTTGAAGTTAACGTCCGGGCCTCACAAGCTGGTGGTCCAAGATGCAAAGGGTACGCGCATGTTTGCCTTGGAAGTCGACAAGGTGCCCAAACTCGGGGTGAGCGTGAGCGCGGGGGCCAAGCTTCCTCCTCCTGCTGGTACTGGAACTGGAACTTCTAGCAGCGGCGTCAGCGCGGACGATCCGGGAATGTTCATCGGGTGCAAGCTGTTACTACAGCCTGGGACGGTGGTCCGTCGAGGGATGATCATGTTGGCGCCGGAGAATTGTTTGGTGATGGGAGGGAAAGTCGAGGCTTGGGATAAGAAATGGAGGGAGGGCCGGAAGGGGAGGCTGGTTGCCTTGTTGGCGGAGGAGAATTCAGATTCGAGTTCGCGTGCGAATGCGAATGCAAATGGTGTTGCTGCGGGTGGATGAGATGCCCAAGAAGAAAAGGTCTCCCGTAAGCGGACCAAGGACAAAAAGACTTGTGTACTTTTAGCACTCGATGTCCCGAAGACTGGAAAGAGACGACGCATCAGGCGGTGGCATCACGTACGGTTCTAGTACTCCGTAAGTACTACAGTATCTACGATACGCTGTCCAGCTCGATGCGATTGCAGACTCAGCAACGATGACTACTACTTAGTGATGGCGGCTCACACCCGTTCCGTGGTCCCATCGTCAGCTCACCCATCAGTCATCGTTACATGCAGTACATACATAGTGTATGCTCACGAAATCTCGGACTCAAGGTCAACTCTCCAAGGCGCAAGCATCGTTGCCTTGAGGATATTCTCTGTCTCGCCCGTTCCTTCATACGCTGTAGCCAGATCTTCCGCCGTGAGATCTCCACCGGGAGGAATCTGTCTCTCGGCATTGAGGACTGCCATCTCTGCCGCATAGGCAGCATCATCCCTCCCAACAGCCTGCGCCAGTTCGAGCCAGCCCTGTGGTTGCCCCGGTGCGAGCATGATCCCATTAAGAGCATCCGCAGCCATAGCCACCTGATCGATCTCATCCGCACCTGCTCGTCGTGGTCGGCATCCAACGAGGCCTGCGAGCACTTTGCTGACCCGGATCTTGTCGAGCACACTAACTTCGTCATCTCGTCTCAGGCCTTTGAGATCTTCTTCCACGGCTTCTAGCACATCTTCGTCGTTATCCATCAAGCCAATGACTGCCAGCAGAGCAGCGGCCTGGACATGCTTCGGGTGGTCCTCAATCACACCGAAGAGTTGCGTTCTCGCCGCGTCTTTCTCTGCCTCTCCGCCTTTGGCCCATAACACCTGGGCGAGCATGCATACAACGTCCGGTTCTCTGCTAGACTCGTGCATGGCCACTTCGAACATTTTGACGGAGCTTTCGATCTGCTTGAGATGACTGTGTGTCAGGCCAGCCGTAATATGTGCTGAAAGGCGCCATTTCCGTCGGATATCAGCATATGCAGGGCCAAGGTCATCCGCTTCGCCCGAGAGATCGATGGCTGTTTCTGCGTTTGACACCGCGTCTGCGTATTTCCCGCAAGCGAGCTGCGCACGAGCCAGATCTGCTTTGGCTTGTGCGAATCTGACAAGATATTCATTCGACTCGGTCTTCTCGTACTCGGCTTCGGCGGCATCGCAGACTTCTTGTAGGGCATCGACACTTGTGTCATGATCGCCGACTCGCTCAGCAAACAATGCCATGAGATGAGTCGCAATCATATCCGAAGGCTCCTGGGCGTGGAACTGGCGCATGGCGAACAGTGGTTGCAACAGGGCACTCACTTCCTGCGACCTCGATGGATGGCTCGACACATGATCGAACGCCGAGAGCGCATAGTGGCGTTCGGCCGGCAAAACAGATGAGTCTGCAATTTCAAAGGCATGCGTAAATAGTCCTCTGGCTTCACCAAGACTTCCGAACAGTGTTGCCAAAAGTCCCTGTCCAATCCATGCGTCTGGGTACTCGGGGTCTTCAGACTGTGCTCGCGTAAACGCCTCGTTGGCGAGTTGATGGTCGTTGTTGACCAGATACAGCACACCCAAATTCGTCCAGGTGCGTGCGCTATGGTCATTCAAATGAAGACTTCGCACGAACGAATGCTGCGAGACTTTCGGCGATAGCGTCATGGTGACCACTCCCAGTGCGTTCCAGAACTCCGAATTGCCTGCTTCGAGCTCAATGGCTCGTTTGAAGCATTTCATGGCCGCTTTGAGGAAGCGACGTGGTTTCTTGCCTCCGATATTCAGAAATGCACCCCCGGAAATGTAGGCTTCATGTTCAGCCCAGCCCAGGTTGTACCATGCGACTGCTTGGGCGTGTTGGTCAGCTGTTGAGGCATGAATTGCCCGTTTATGTGCCAGTATGGAGGCGAGAAGATATTGGTCGGCTTTATCTGAAGCACTTTCTGCCCCAACAGACGCGAGCGAGTCCATGTTAACCTTATCGGTCTCCGAAAGATTGCTGACCTCACTGTTCGGCGGTGTCTGTAACAGTTCCAGAACCGTGCTCATATTGGTAGTCCTGGCGTACAGCTTGACATGGCCGAGTACGGAACATGCATCGCCTACCGACTTCCACAAGTTGAACACGTCTGTTCGTTGTTTCGAAATCTGCGAAGCCACTTCAATCGCGTTCGACGCAAGATTCGCAGCCTCTCCAAACATGCCCAACGCAACTTTTGCCCAGGCGCTTTCTGAAATCGTCTGGAGGAGTGCAATCAGTACGCCGAACTCGCCCGGCTTGAGGCTAAGCACATCATTGTATGCAGTGACGGCCTCGTCGAAGGAGCCCATCTCCCGCTGGACGTTAGCGAGCATGTATTTCGCAAACCAAGTCTCCTGGGCCGGCAAGCCATGCTGAATACTCTCCGCCTTTGCAAACGCTCGCGTAGCAGCAATATGTCGACCCGCATTGTGATAGCTCTCGCCCAGCCCCACCCAGGAGTAATAGTCGTCTGGGGATATTCTCAACGCATGCTGAAAGGAAACAATGGCCTGAGAGTAATGCTGCTTGTTCGTCTGGACGACCCCGAGCGCGGCGTATGGCCAACTGTGTGCCTTTTTCTTACTCCCAGGGGCTGGACGTGCCTTCCCCGAGTTTACCACGCGCTGCGCCACGAGTTCGACCAGGTCCCATTCGCTGCTCTCGGCGAACGCTCGCGCCAACCGGTGTGCAGCTTCGAGTTCGGAGGTGGAAAGTTCAAATGCTTTCTGCAGAGCGACCCGCGCGCGAGCTTTAGACTTGCCGTAGTCTTGGAAGTAGACGCCCAGCAGGGTGTATGCAGGCGCATAGCTAGGATTCGCTTTGATCGAGGCAATGAGGTATTGGTAGGCTCCCGATTTGTCCTTTCGAGCCGATGCGGATGGGTTGAGTTGCCAGAGGCTATAGGCAATCCGATAGAGCGTGACTGACTTCATAGGGTAGTCCTGGTTTTGCGGCTTTTCGGCTTCAAGGACTGACAGAACGGCTTTCAGTTCGTCAAGCCCTTGTTGAAGTTGGCCATTGTGGGCTCGACACCAGGCCAGCTCGAGCTTGATCCTGATATTAGCGGGATCGCGCTCGGCCGCTTGGTCGAAGAACTTGACAGCTTGGGCATAATCTTCGTCTTCTTCGTAAATCAGGCCAATGCCCAGTAGAGCTGGGGTCAGCTTAGGTTTGCGATCTAGGATGGCTAGGAAAAGGTCCTTGGCTTCTGGGTGATAGCGAGGCGACTGAAAGGTGATAAGAGCGTTGGCAAGAATGAGGTTGACGCCATCGAGGCTGTTGCCGAGATTGACGGCGTAACGTTGTTGAGCATCCGAGTGCAGCTTCTGAGCTTTCCGGGCCGCATCAACAGTGCCCTGCCATTCCTTCAAATGCAGGTACACGTGTGCCATGATTCGTTGACCGAGAAGCGAGGCTGGACAGTCCTCGAGGCCCTCGGTCATCAGGATGAGTTGATCAGCTTCACTGAGTCTTTGTGGCCTCTCTTCTCCTTCCTTCTCCTCAAATTCCGGATGTGGGAACGGGGAGGCATTGCTGTCGAGGAAGCCTCGGAGTACTTTACTCAGACCATCATCTGGGAAATAGCCGATGTACTCGCGAAAGATGTTGACGTCCCATTCTTGTATGTCTTCAGCATCTACCCATTCCAGCGCAATCTTCCAGGCCAATGGGAAGGGATGCTTGATGATGACCATGCCATTAGCCATGTTCAGTATCTTGTCGCGCTGGCTGGCTTTGGCATCCTGCGGCAAGACGAGCAGATTGTCGTAGGTGCGCTGCAACAGCTTCTGTTCAAGGTCGTGGCGAGCATCGTCATCTCGAGTCCAGTCAATAAGAGCGGCATATTTCTCTTCGATTTGGAATTTGCTGATGGCTTCGCACTTGACTTGGCGGGTGACTTGGTCGATCTTCGCGCCCAGGCGTGTTCTTCGCTCCCCGATTTGTGTGTTTATCCACTCCCTCTCTTCCGCTTCTGCCGATTCCAGGATGCGCAGGTATGTCAGACTCGGTTGTAGAACCCGTCCTTCTAGGATTGAGTAAAGACTTGACGTTGGGAGAATGAGCTCCAGGGCGCGTCGGTATTGTGCCCGGCTCCCGTGTTTCTTCGCGAACAGTTCGTACTTGTCGATGACATTTTGGCATTGTGCCTTATCTTCCGAATGCGCATAGATTTCTGCCAGCTTGAAGGCTGCGTCGTGGTACTGATCCAGCTTGGCACTACCTTGCTTCTCATACAAGGTCACCAGCCCCTTGTAGGCTTGAACGTCTTCTGGCTTGGCAGCGGCGCCTCTGAGGAGAGCCTTCTCTGCACCATCTAGGTCCCCAAGCTTTTCTCGTGCGAAACCAAGGAAGAGACATGCGGTATGATTTTGGCCATCTTGTTTCAGCAAGTCTTCTGCTTGCTCCGCGGCTTTCGCGAACTGGCCACCATCAAGGGATGACTTGACCGCCTTTAAAGCGGCCTTGGTAGAAGCCATTTCCACCCGGAATGAGGACCGAGTTCAGATAAGAAGATGAGTGGTTAAAAGGAAGTAGGACTTGCGCAGGCAAGGGTTGAAAAGTCCAAAAAATTCCAGATGGACGACATCATAACGCGCTTCTTGCCTCACCTTTGGCGGCAGATTTCCGCCATTGTCTTTTCTCTACCAGACGCCATCCTTATCATGTGAATAATGTATCGATTGACAAGACATTTACAAAGCCGTGTAAGGGAGCGAAGAAACAGATTCGTGGATGACGTTCAGACGAAATGGGTTTCAGACACATATGCTCTACCGGAGTGCGTATCGGTTACTGTGCGGTGCAGCAAGCGTACATCCGAGTGCATTGCATGAGGCTCACCACGGACACACTTAGGTGGCACTCTTTCTTGCTCTACATTTCGAGTCCGTTATGTTCTCGCTTGACAATGGTGCCTTGGTACTCGAGTCGACCAAATCGATTGGCGACGGAAAGTGCTACATGATGTTGCACACTAACCCCAGTACGAGCACTTGATCGAGCAACAAAGCGACCGACTGAGTCGAGTTTGACCTGAAGCGGTGAGTTTTTACACTGGGAGCAGAACTCTACCCACACACTCATCCCGTGCGAGAGCGCCAGCACAAGAGAAAAGTGATGGTGTGGCCCACCCTTGGTGTCTCGTCAAGGACCAAAATGTTACGAGCCACATGAACCCACACAATGTATTGAGCCATAAAGCGCACTACAATTGATATGGCGCCACTGTGAGCATGTTATATGCTGGACAGGAAAGAATGACCAATAGATGGTTCGCGCAATCAGGCTGGCCGCCAATGCCTTTATTGGAACTGGCGAGGGTAAAGATGTTCGGGGAAGCGAAGAACCACAACCGACCTGGTAGGAGTGTTCCGGTGTCATCCTTCTTTTGCTTCGCTAATATCCAAACAGCAGTTGAGGACAGTATTTGAGGACAGCCTTTGACTTTCCTCGTGTGTCGACGCGACTCGATGGTCTGTTCGGAAACATTTTGTACTGGCAGACTCACAGCTCGGTACCGCCAACTAGAGACCGGAGAGTTTTCAGATATGTGTCCGTGTGCGCTAGGGGACTGTTCAAGCGCAACACAACAGAGAGCATGTTGACCAAATATAATACCCAGAGACCACTCAACATGCTTCCAGCTTCCAGACTTGTCGCGCTCGTCCCTTACCTGACAATATGGATCCCTCTGTGTACGAAAAGATGGCTGCTCTGGCGGACTATATCATGGGCCCATTCGCTGACAGGGTCCTTCGCACAGCCAAGTTCCCTCCTGCGGGTGACTCGCCGCTCGTCGTGCTTGATCAGGCATGTGGGTCGGGCGTTGTCTCGTCTCACATCATGTCCCGATTGTCGTCGGACGACAGGGCTCGCCTCGACCTCACATGCGCGGATATATCTGAGCCGGCAATAGCACAGATGACGAAACGGATCGAGGCTTCTGGCTGGAACAATGCCAGTGCTGTAACAAATGATGCCATGGTTCGCAGCTCGTGACTTTGGGATCATGCGTGACCACTGACGAGATGTTAGGAGACCCCCTTTCCCGCCAACCATTTTACACATATCTTTTTCAACTTCGGCCCACAGATGCTGTCGAATCCCCTCGCTGGACTCAAAGAGTGCCATCGAATCCTCCGACCAGGCGGGATCCTGGGCGTCAGCTCCTGGCAGGTAGTGCCTTGGTCTGCCGACTACCGCGCAGGCATGGCCAGGGACTCCTCTCTGCCGTCGTTTCCGACGGACGAACAGCTTCGGTACGCATTCTCTAGCACACCAGAGAGGTGGGACACTGTCGATGAGGGCAGAGCACATTTGGCAGAATGCGGTTACACAGCCATCGAGGCCGTGTCGGCGGAAAATACGACATCCATGAGTGTCGAGGAGGTTGAAACGATGCTGCCGTTTTCGCTTGATATGATGTTGCAGAAGTTCTGGACCAAGGAGGAAATCGACAAGTTCAGCCAGCCAGCGGCGCGAGCGATTGTGGATTACTTGCAGGAGAAGTATGGAACGGAACCGGTAGTGTGGAAGTGGGTGGCTCTGGTCGCAAGTGGGAGCAAGGGCTAGATGATCGACCACGGCAGCTCTGCGTTATGACGGCCAATACATGCCAGTAAAGATTCATAGCGTCCGACACCGTATCGAGAGGTTGTGAAAATCAGGTCGAGCTCATTGATAAAGACGTAGTTAGCTGTAGAGCGTGGACTCTGCAGCGCTGCCTTCTTAAGACGGTTCAAATTTCCATGGGACAAGTGAACGATACCTACAAGGCTACAGTACTTACTACTGTGTATAGGCGTTGTCACAATCCTCACCTTGGCGATCGAGCTCGTCGGCCCGATGGGCATCTTCGGGCCACCACTGGCCAGTACGGGTGATCTCCGGGCGAGAGCACAGGCGAGACAGGGAGACAGGGAGACAGGCCGGCATCACCCTGATCACCCTTCGTTCAAAGGAGGTGAGGTGGCTGTCGATTTACCTCGTTAGGTAGGTGATGCATCATCAACGGCGCATGCAGCACGCAGAACAACGGCCGACTTCTCTCAACACTACACAGTACAACGACTCTCACTCAACACCACCGCCTCTCTGAGAGACTCCGATGTCATTCCTCCTGAGTGCCAACGTCTCATCCTGCTTGCACCGCTGTCATCGTATATGAAACGCCGAAACGAGAGCCAGCCCTAGTGCATATTCCTGCCGCATGGTTCCGGTGGCTCATTGAATAGCTTGCCTTGGAATGGCGACCGCAGGGCTCACAATTGATGGCGTTAGATTTCGCGACTCCGACGGACGGGAGGTGACATTTCGAGGCATCAATGTTGCCGGCGATTGCAAACTCCCCAGACACCCGCCGCAACCTTCGCACGAGACCCAGGGGTTTTACGACGCTGAAAATGTTTCCTTCGTTGGACGACCTTTCACCGAGGAAGAGGCGCATGTACATTTCGGCAGGATAAAGAGATGGGGCTACAATGTCATCCGGTATATCTTCACCTGGGAGGCACTGGAACACGCCGGTCCCGGGAAGTACGACGAGGACTTCATCGACCATACCATCAAGATCCTGCGGATAGCAAAGTCATATGGACTTTACATCTTCATGGACCCCCACCAGGATGTCTGGTCGAGATTCACAGGCGGCTCCGGCGCACCTCTGTGGACTCTGTACGCTTGTGGGCTGAACCCGGAGGCATTTAATGCGACACAAGCTGCTGTGGTTCACAATACTTGGCCGGATCCTGCACAGTTTCCCAAGATGCTGTGGCCGACGAACTATACTCGTCTGGCAGCTGAGACTACCTTCACATTGTTTTATGCTGGCCGAGACTTTGCACCGAATGCGATCATCGACGGCAAGAACATCCAGGACTATCTGACCGACCACTTTATTGCGGCCTGTGCTCGTCTCGCACAGCGAATACACGACGCGGGAGGCCTGGAAGACGAATGCATCATTGGCTGGGAAACAATGAATGAACCCCACCGAGGACTCATCGGCTGGGAGGATCTCAATGCCCTGCCTGACGAATTGAGGATGAGGAAAGGCACAATGCCATCTCCCTGGCAGTCGATACTGACAGGTTCGGGACGTGCTGCAGAGGTGGACGTCTACGACTTCAACACGTTCGGGCCATACAAGAGCGGCAGAGAATTGGTCGACCCTGAAGGCGTGTCCGCATGGCTCTCGCCCAGTTTCGACGACACAAGGTACGGATGGAATCGAGATCCCGGCTGGAAGCTTGGTGAATGCCTGTGGGCGCAGAACGGTGTCTGGGACCCGAGTCAAGACCAGCTCCTCAAGCCGAACTATTTCGCCTCGATACCCAAGTCTGGTGAGAAGCTGGACTACATCAAATACACAAACCTATATTACATGCAACATTATCGAAAGTACAGGGACGCCATCCGTTCAATTCACAAGAACTGCATGATTCTGGTACAGTCGGCCGTGCTGGAAATACCACCGAGCATAAAAGGCACTCCAGACGACGACGACCGACTGATATTTGCAAGCCATTACTACGACGGCATCACGCTCCTTCAGAAACACTGGAACAAGTACTACAATGTGGACGTCTTTGGGATTCTCCGGCACAAGTACTCGAGCCCTGTCTTCGCCGTCCGTCTAGGCGAGGCAGCGATCCGTAGGTGTCTGCGTGATCAACTCAGCGCAATCAGGGAAGAAGGCATGGAGTATCTGGGCGACCATCCGACGATGTTCACCGAGATCGGTATCCCGTTCGACATGGACGACAAATACGCCTATAAAACCGGTGATTATTCGAGCCAGATCTCAGCTCTGGACGCCAATCACTTCGCCCTGGAAGGGTCCGGCGCTCAAGGCTATACCTTATGGACATATGTCGTCCAGGTAAGTATTCGATTCTGACCCCCGATCACACTGTTTACTCTGTATCCTTTTAAGTTAACACTCGATTGCAGAACGACCACGAATGGGGCGATCAGTGGAACGGCGAAGACCTCTCCATCGTCTCCGTCGATGACCCCCTCCTGCCCAGCGCGTCCGACCTCTGTGCGCTGCCCTCCGCCAACCCCTCCACCACATCCCTAGGCCAACGATCTGCCGGGACGGGTACCACTCTTTCCGATTCCACTACTATAGACCCCTCAAACCTCAAGGATGCGCTGAAAACGCCCACCATCCAACAACGACCCGCTCGACCGATTCCCACATCCCAACTTCACCCCTCCGAGCCAAACACGAACACGAACACCAGCACAAATACCAATGCAACCGGCTACCGCGCCGCCGAAGCCTGGGTGCGCCCTTCCCCCATCGCCACCGTCGGCTCTGTACAAAGCTACGGCTTCGACCTCAAGAGCGTGACCTTTACCTTCAGCCTCACGTCCGACGCTCCGACGAAGGAAACCGTCCCCACCGAAATCTTTCTGCCGGACTTCCACTTCCCACCGGGCAAGACGACCGTCGAGGTCACGGGCGGGCGCTGGAGGATCGATAGCGTCGACGTCGACGGCGAGGGCATGCAGGTGATGAAATGGTGGCATGGCGCCGGGGATCAGAGTATGACGGTCAAAGGAATGAAGAGGAAAGCTGGCGCGCTGATGGAAGAGGACGAGGAAGCCGACAATGGATACCTCGAGACGATGCGGGAGAATTGCAGCGTCATGTGAGTACTCGTAGCGTCATGTCGGGACATTGAGCTTCACCGTGAAGGTTTAATTCGGCTGGCGTGGGCTCTGGCTTGTTGGTTTGCTGGCTGAGACGTCAATACTGATATTTTTGCAAGAGCACCTTCCAACACGCTCTGGATCAGGAGAGCATACATGGTATGTAGAGAGTGGCGCCATCTATCGGGATTGGACGAGTTTTAACTCAGCGTTCGGCCTGCAAGAAAAGTATACGCAATCTTTCTATGGTTTTCCTCCCTCTTCTCTTGAGCCGTTCAGTGTCCTATTGTCTACTTGTATTCCCTAACATCGCTGCCGTACCGTGTGCATCTTGATAGTGGACTGTCTGGCTAGCTCATTGAGCGCAAGTTACGCCGATGGGGTTCATTACCTCGACTCTCCCTTCCTTGTCTCCTCGATTACCGGCACTCATTTTCCCCTTAGGTGGCGAGGGCGTGGTCGGTGGATTCGCTGTCGTGGGCATCATTCATTTGCACCTCGGCATCCGCCTTGTCTTCATCTCCATCTTGATCCTCTTGCTCGTTGTTTTCGTCGTCGGCGTTCTCTACATCTCCATCTAGATGTTCTCGCTGGTAGTTCTCGTCGGCTGCGTTCTCTTCATCTCCATCTTGATCCCCTTGCTCGTTGTTTTTGTCGCCTGCGTTCTCTTCAGCACCGTCCTGATCTACTCGTTCCTCGGTTTCGTGGCCACCATCTTGTCCTCGCAACTTCCCGCCCTTCCTCTTCGGAATGACGCGCAAGAACGCCCGGCCCCAAGCCCCTTCTTCCCCACCAGCAGTGGCCTCTTCCAACCACCGCAATAGGATTTCGACGACGTGGTTCGTGGCCAAGACCTTCCTGCTGCTCATCTCCAGGAACTCGCCGATCGGGAGCTTGGCGGTCTTGATGCCGCGGTCGCAGGCGGTCTTGAGGCAGATCCCTTTGTGGCGGTTCTTGTCCACCAGGCCGCCGACGATGTAGGTGCTGTAGGGAGATAGAGTGAAGAGGGTGTTGGGAGAGTCGGATGTCAAGTAAATGATTTCGCCGCGTGGGCGAGCCAAAGGATGGCCAGAGGAGGGGACAGTCGCGGCTGTCGGATCAGAGGATGCCTGTGCTGTGTCTCCTTGAGCGGACTCTGGGTGTTCAGGTGCTAATGTGTGCGCCCTGGGTGGCTCGGGCTTGATAGCCATGTCTGCGTTGGGTGAAGATTCCGTGGTGGCTTTATTTGGAGGAACAGCGTCAGTGCCAGTGTCAGTGTCCGCGGGCTTTTGCTGCTCATGCTGGGCTGCACTTCCGTGCGTGTGACCAGGAGCAAATCTGTCCAAAAAACCGACCAACTGGCCGCCGATCTTCGGGTCCTTCATGATTGTATCCATCTTCTTGGCCGCGTCGACGAAGTCTCCTTTCTCGAATCGAACGCCCTTCCAGTTCAGGTAGTGCTTGTGCAAGACTGTGTCGAAGCGTTCTTTCAAAAGGCCGCCCCACGAACTGATTACCAGATGTGCCTGGTACGGCGCGTGGTGATTGTCGGAGTATGCGCGAGTGATTTGCGAACCCAGCGATATGCGTTCCTTTTCCATCATGAGGTCATCGAAGCCGCAGTCTATCAAAATCGTCATGGGGACTTGGATATGGCGAGGGTGCTTCGGCTTCGACACCTGTGGATGGACGGATTCTGGGATCGATTTTGGATGTTGAACTTCGTCCTGTTTTGGCTCTTGAGGTGACTGTTGCAGCAACAGTTGGAGGCGTTGTGCCTCTTCGTCGCGTGCCTCTCGCTTCCTGGCTCTCTTTTCCTGGATCTTCTGTTTCCGCTTCGCCTTGCGGTGGTCCCGATTGGCTTCCCATTCTTCTCGCCGGCGGAGTTTCTTCAACTGGCTCTTGGATAGACGTTCCGTTGGCTCGCCGTTCTGCTGCTGCTGCTGCTGCTGTTGGAGGAGAAGTCGTTCATGTTCAGCCGGGTCAGGATCCCGGCGGCGCTTCTTTCCCAGTTCTGCGGCTTCATCTGAATCTTCTCTGGAGTCTTCACCACGGTCCGCGGGCGTACCAGTGAGATTTGCAGCGAGCTGTTGTGGGATGCCGTTTGATGCAGACGGGTTCTCAGGGGAACCTTTGACCGCTTCATCGGCCTGCAACAGTACTGGTGGTACAGTGGTATTGGCTTGGTCAGCCGCCGGCGCAGCGTCATTCAAGTCAAGCTTGCGCAGCTTGGTAGGTCGCTCCTCTACCTCCCTTGCGGCCATTGCTGCGCGAGAGTCCCCTTTATTATGTCCGCGGCATCAAGAAGCGTGGAGTAGATGGTTGTGGACTGTGACGTGATGCTAAATTTTCGCACGCTCACGTTGCTCGTTTGGTGGAAATCTCGTCCACTACTCCGTTGCACTCTCTCTTACTGTCTCTCTTACTATGAATGCTCGCTGCTGGGTTTGTCCTATTTCGTCAAATACCGTATCGACCTTTCTGAGCGAGAGTTGTGATGGAAAGGTTTATTTCGCTCCCAATTCCCTGTCCAGCTGTAGTGAAACGTCGAGGGTAGCATCAACTTATGCCCTGACTGTCGAAGAAAGCTATATCAACGGTCGTAGTCTTGGTGGGCACGTGCATCGAATAAGGTAGTGCAAGTGTAGGTATTTGCAAGGCCGAGTCTGAAGAAAAGAATCGGAGACGTCTATTGTTCTCACGTGATTGAACCGTATTGACAGCGATGTACTTGACAGCAACTCACGTGTACATCGCTGTCCAGTCTCCCAGTGCCGCACAAAATTTTAATTTGGCAAATTTGGAGTTGGGAAATCTTTCGGATGCGGGAATCTGTCGAATGCTCCGCCGGAGACTCGCCTGTATACTACCCCCACGTGCCTCACCATCCCCCACGGACCCCGCTACCCCGCACAATTACCAGTGTGCTGGTACTCGGAAGATGGAGGTCAGCGGACCTCAAAACCCAAGTCACTGGTTTGGTCTTCCTCCTTCGGTACGGGTTGTCAGATCCATCAAGATATAAAGGCATCTGAGGGCTGCTTTTATTGGTTCTCAATCAGCACGCACACAATACCAAGAAGCAAGCAGTTCTGACGTTCGACGATACTTGTTTATACCGAGTAGCCATCTGCTTCGCCAGGCTTCTTCGTCGTTGCTGGACCTTCAATGCGAGTGGCATCTCTTACGATGTGCATACCTCAGAGGTTACCCCTTCAATCCGGCGAAAGGCTCGAACCCGCTCCTTCCTAGTATCGTGTTCATTCGCTGGATTTCAATACCGTCCCGCCTTGCGGTCTCTTGTGAGGGCTTTGGCCCAGGGCTAGTGGTCATCGATCAACATGCTTCAAGCCTTGGACCCTTGACTTCGTCTGGTGGCCAATCACGAGCTGTTCAATGGAGCGACATACAGTTACAATCGCACGGATGAGGGTGTCCTTAGCCGTGCATCATCCGGCTGCGTATTCGCCAGAGGAGATCACATTCGCAATGGAACCAGTGAGTGCCTTATAAGGTGGAATCACGTCGAAGCTATGGCGCTTGTATGATGTCTGGAGAGGACAAGCTCACATGACTGCCATCGATATTCACAAGAAGTATGGCCCTGTGGTTCGCATCGGACCAAGCCATGTCTCGATTTCCGATCCGGCTGTAATCCCAGTCATCTACGGCACCAAGGAGAACTTTACCAAGACGGGCTTTTACCCGATCCAGTGCATCTCATGGAGGAAAAAGCCGGAAATGAACCTCTTTTCAACCCGCGACCCAGAGTATCACCGCATCGAGAAGCGGAAGGTTGGCGCTGCATATAGTTTGCCCAACCTGTTGCAGTCCGAAGCGGGAATTGACTCTTGTGTGTCGCTTTTCATGACCCGTCTTGACGAGTTCGCTTCGAAAAGAGAACCTGTGGATCTTGGCGCCTGGCTGCAATACTTCGCCTTCGACGTCGTCGGAGAGGTGACCTTTGCAAGTAAACTCGGCTTCTTGGAGCAGGGGAAGGATGTCGATGTAAGGCTGCCGGACCGAAGATTCGAAACGACAGCTGACATTCCACTTAGGGCATGATGAAGGCTATCGAAGGCATGCTCACGTACGCTGCACTTTGTGGTCAAGTTCCAGAAATGCACGACCTCCTCCTTGGAAATCCACTCTTCACCAAGCTCATGCCGGCCATGGAAACTTGGACTCAGGTGCTTGTCTTCACTCTGAAAGCAATCAACGGGCGAGCCAGCATCAAGCGGGATGGCGAATTGATCAACGCGGACGTCGAGGGCCGAGACATGCTCAGTAGGTGGGCTTATGTCAAATCATCTGATCCGTTGAAGATGAGTCGCGGGATATCATTGTGCACTTGAGCACAAACGTGTTCGCGGGCTCCGATACGACGGCGATCGCCCTTCGCGCCATCGTATACTTCCTTTGCCGCCACCCGGAATGTATGGATCGGCTTGTCGCCGAGATCGATACAGCAGACAAAGAGGGGAAGCTCAGTCGCCCAATTTCACATAAAGAAGCCACTACCGAACTTCCATACCTGGGCGCCGTGGTCAAGGAAGCCATGCTCATTCATCCTTCGGTCGGTTTTCTTATGGAACGCCATGTTCCAGCCGCAGGCCTCGACGTCCAAGGCTACCACATCCCTGCAGGTACGATAGTTGGAATCAACCCTTGGGTCACCAATCGATCGCCAGTCTTTGGTCCTGAACCAGAGAAATTCAACCCCAGCCGTTGGTTGACGGCGTCAGAGGGTCAGCTCAAGGGAGATGGAGAGCATTTGGGAGCTCAACTTCGGTGCCGGCAGCCGGAAATGCATCGGCCGCAACATCTCTTGGATCGAGATTCACAAGGTCATTCCAGAGCTGCTTAGGCGGTACCGGGTCGAGTTGACCTATCCGGAGAAGGAGTGGCACATCTGCAACCATTGGTTTGTCCAGCAGGATGGATTGATTTGTAGCCTGACCAGGAGGTGATGACGAGGAGCGCCGAGCAATGATATGCTCTCAACATCGATCGACTCGTCCCATCTCGTACTCCGTAGACCTGCCTTCGTCTCATTAATGAGTAAACAGTACACTGGTGCCTAACAAAGTTCACAGAATTGGGGCTCAGAGATCAATTAATGTTAAAGCGGCCACTCACCCTCGAGGTAAAGCACTGCCGCTGCCCTAACCAGGTCTTGGCACGTACTGTAGTATGGGTGATGGCCAGCAACTCGGACTCCGGTAAATGCAATCGTCTCCTGGAGAACCACCCGGAAGCATTCGTCCTTTATTCTAGCGTCTCGTCGCATTCGACCTACGACTGCCTTTGCCATTTCTTCGGTGACAGGGAGATTGACGTCGTCGATTGCTCGCGCTGCGCTCAAAAATGGCACGGTAGCCCCTCGATTAAAGAAGCCCTCCACTATTTCCCGCGAGTCTGCGTTCACCACGACAACTTGGACACCATGGCGATGAACAGGGTGAGGAACGCCTTTGCGCCTCCTCGGAAAGGAGAGACGTATGAATTGAGGGCTGGTCTTGTGTATGTTTCCCTGCGTGCTACTGTTCAGACCCGGCTGACAGATATCATGCCAGATCGCAATATGCCTACGAGCGGTAAGTCGAGTCGATGTCGATCGTATCCTCCCACGGGGCTGATGACTACTGCAGCAAAGAAGCCATTCAGAAGACGATAATGGCGATGACTCTGGGCAAAGACGTCTCACAACTGTTCCCGGACGTTCTCAAAAATATTGCAACCGCCGACCTCGACCAGAAGAAGCTGGTGTACCTGTATCTCATGTTCGGCCCACCATCGCGCGCGAGATTGTACACTGCTAACAAGATGCTAGGAATTATGCCAAGTCACACCCCGACCTTTGCATTCTAGCCGTCAACACCTTTGTACAAGACTCCGAAGATCCAAACCCACTAATTCGCGCCCTGGCAATTCGGACCATGGGCTGCATTCGAGTAGACAAAATGATTGATTACATGGAAGAACCCTTACGGAAGACACTTCGCGACGAATCGCCGTACGTACGAAAGACTGCCGCCATCTGTGTCGCAAAGCTATTCGATCTCAATCCCTCTATGTGCCTCGAGAACGGCTTCCTTGAGATCCTTCAAGAAATGATTGGCGATCCAAATCCTATGGTGGTAGCAAACTCCGTGCAAGCCCTTGCCGAGATCACCGAGGCCGCGCCCGAGACGAACGCCCTACAAATCACCCCGAACACACTCAAGAAACTCCTCATGGCACTCAATGAATGCACAGAATGGGGAAGAGTTACCATCTTGAGTTCATTAGCCGAATACAAGGCTCATGATGTCAAAGAAGCGGAACACATATGTGAAAGGGTGACACCTCAATTCCAGCACGTTAACTCGAGCGTCGTGGTAGCTGCAGTCAAGGCTGTCTTTCTGCACATGCGATACCTCCCACAAGAAACACAAAAGTCATATCTGAAGAAGATGGCGCCACCCTTGGTGACGCTAGTCTCATCAGCACCGGAAGTACAGTACGTTGCCCTCCGAAACATCGACCTTCTCCTTCAAAAGCAGCCGGACATACTCAGTAAGGAAATACGAGTCTTCTTCTGCAAATACAACGATCCTCCCTACGTCAAATTCCAGAAACTGGAAATCATGGTGCGGATAGCCAATGAATCGAATGTCGATCAGTTACTTGCCGAACTCAAAGAATATGCGTTGGAAGTGGATATGGATTTCGTGCGTCGAGCAGTCAAGGCGATCGGACAAGTCGCCATCAAGATCGAAAGTGCCAGCGAACGTTGTGTTAACGCTCTCCTGGATCTGATCAACACGAAGGTCAATTATGTGGTTCAGGAGGTTATTGTGGTCATCAAAGATATCTTCCGGAAATATCCTGGCTACGAGGGCATCATCCCAACTTTATGCAAATGCATTGACGAGCTGGATGAACCCAATGCTAGAGGATCCCTCATCTGGATTGTCGGTGAGTATGCGGAAAAGATCAGCAACGCCGGAGACATACTCGGCGGATTCGTTGATGGCTTTGCCGAAGAGTTTTCTCAAGTGTGTTCCCCGAATCCATGTGTATTACTGGGCCGCTAACAAGAGGCAGACCCAACTACAAATACTCACTGCAGTCGTAAAGCTCTTCTTAAAGTCGCCGCAGGCTGCACAAGGCCTGGTCCAGAAGGTCTTGAACGCGGCAACTGCAGAGAGCGACAATCCAGATATCCGCGACCGGGCATACGTTTACTGGCGGTTGCTTTCCAATACAAGCGACCAAAATGCCCCCAAAAACATCATTCTTTCCGAGAAGCCGCCCATCACCACCACAATCCAGTCATTACCGCCTGCCCTTCTCGACCGACTCCTTGGCGAACTTTCGACGTTGGCTTCGGTGTATCATAAGCCACCTGAGCAATTCGTCGGCCAAGGCCGCTTTGGTGCGGACGCGGTTCAACAAGCGGCGATCGAAGAACAAATGCAGAACGCACGAGAAAATCCACTGGCAGCTGCCGCCGCTGCCGCAGCCGTCCAAGGCAAGGCGCCAGAACCAACGAACAATGACGAGAACTTACTCGACATCGACTTTGATGGTGCAGCGCCCGCATCAGCGACCGAGAAACCCACTGATGGTTTCTCTGGATTGGAAGGCCTTGCAGGCACACCTCAAAGAGTGGCTTCGCCGACTGTCAGCCAAGCTGCTGCGCCTAACAACATGGACGATCTACTTGGAGTATTCGGTTCCGGGGGATCGTCCACAATCCCCAGCTCTTCTGGCTTTGGCGGCATGTCTGACAATGATATATTGAATGGCTTCGCCTCAATGGATCTGTCTCAGTCGCAACCACCGCCTCCCAAACAACAACTTGCCAGCGCCGGAAGTAACAGTGCGAGTGAAGACTTGTTAAGCCTCTGAAGTATTCACAACACAAGTGCTGGGTACGATGCGCTGCAGTCAACCAAGGTAATGTGGAATGGGTTTCCGAGCGTCTCTGGGTATAACACAGGCAGCGGCCGTGTGTGGTGGCTAGTTTGCAACTGACCATTGCCGTACGACTGTGGGCGATCTACGGCTTAGCTCCTGTTGATGTCATTTGAGCCCTCCTAGACCTTCTACTCAAAGAAGCATTCCTCCATGGAGCGTCACCCTGCATCCACAAGGTCCTGCGTCGGTCCTGGTACTCATCTGTTCCGATGGCTATCTCAGTAGCATGAGTGTGTCCTACATATGAGCAAGGAATGTTCTTCTAAGTCATTCCGAGGCAGAAGGCAGTTTATGGCACCACTCAATGGAGCGCGGGGCCGATGTGCACAAGACCTGTAGCTAAAACCGAGCTTCAGGTATGGCCTGAAAGAGCACAGACGAGGTGGGAGCGTATATAGACGAAGATAGCTTGACCAGAAACGCAGAAGCCTCCTCTGACCATTATATGGTGACCTCAAGAACCTGTGCTCTTGTCTCAATGCCCCTGCATCGATGGATTTAGAGCCGACTCGTGAACACTGTACAATAAACTATACAATATGAAATGTCACTCTCGGAGCACACGCGGATTCATCGCTGATCAAGTGATACATAACCGATGCCAAGCGAGCAAGCTAAAAGCGCGTGTATTACCATACCGTCTAAACCCTTTATGGACGCGTCTCTTACAGATACCTAGGTACCTAATTCCCTGTATCGTGCACCAACCGCGAGTTCTTCATAACGCGACACCAGCTAATCCTCCATCTTCCAACGGCACGACATCATCTTAGAACACGTAACACATCATTGCCATTTCATGGCCTGGGAGTTCGCAGAATAGCGGCCTGAAGTTGGTGCTGAGGATTCGACAGCACAACCCGACGGAAAGCTATCGGGATCTCTTCATATCCATTCGGAGTGTTGGGCACAGCGTACTAGCCACCGGCGTCGGCGTGTTTCTGCTGGGACGTTGTTGGTTTGGGAATGGAGTGAAGGCTGCGGACGAAGGCCCCGATTGAGGTTCTTGTTCTCAGCAATTTCTCATACTCTCCTCACCCGGATTCGGAACTCCCCTCGAGAATGGTCGTCTGCAAATATTTCCTGCAGGGGAATTGCAGGTTTGGTGGTGTGTCTCAGATTCCTAACTGGATTTTTTGATGCACAGTGCTAATGACTCTCCTCAGCAAATTGCCGCAACGACCATCCCGGAAGTGCGGGAGGTGGTGGAGGAGGGTTCGGCAGTAATCAGAACAGATTTGGTGCTCTTTCAGGGAATAATCGATTTGGTGGCAGTGGTGGCAACGGTAAGGAGCCTGCGTTTCCACCACATTCCAATCTATTCAGCCATGGCCAAGTGGACTGACCCTTGTCCGTGCACAGGTCGTAGAGACACTTGGCAGTTCAACCCGGACGACATTCCAAATGATCTAGCCGCAGGTAAAGGTCGACCAAAATGGATTCTCTCATCCTACGGCCCAGGCAAAAACGCACCAGCGTCTTTGCTCCAGGACAATGAATTCAGCGCTGAAGAAGTCCGAGCACGATTCTACGAGCTCGCGGCCCAGGGCAAACAGGATGAAGCTGACCGAGAAGCCATTGCGCTCTGGACTAAAGCAGAGCAAGACATAAGTCAGATTGTCAATAACGCCCGCGACGTCGAGAAATTCATTCAAGAGGCGGCAAAGACGCATCCCAACCGCGACGACTTTACGCGCATGGACGGCACGAAATCAAAGGAGCAGATCATCAAAGAGACTGAATCATCACCATCAAATATGTCGGGAAGCTTTGGCTCAAACACCGGAGGTGGTTTCGGTTCGAACTCCACATCAAGTCCGTTCGGTTCTAAAACGCCTGCATTTGGCCAGCCCAGTCAACCATCGTCCGGGTTTGGAGCCTCGCCGTTTGGAAAACCAGCATTCGGACAGAGCGGATTTGGAGGTGCAAGTCCGGCAGGCGGTGCATTCGGTGCAAGTGGAGGTGGCTTTGGCTCTGGCTCTAGCACATCAGCTGGCTCGTTTGGGAAACCTGCATTTGGACAATCTGGATTCGGTGCATCGTCGTTTGGTCAGCCTGCGCAGCCGTCATCCAGTTTTGGAAAACCGTCGTCGCCAGCAGCAGGGTTTGGAACCCCGTCTCAGCCACAATCAGCATTCAGCCAACCATCCCAGCCTGCGTCTGCGTTCGGTCAACCGGCATTTGGGGCGTCAGGCTTTGGTTCGAGTGGTCCAAAGAATCCATTCGCTCCAGCTTCGGCCTCAGGTGGCTTTGGTTCGACTACCTCGACTTTCGGCCAGCCGTCACAATCTAGCTCTGCGTTTGGCCAACCTTCTCAGCCTACTTCGGCATTTGGGCAGCCAAGTCAAGCATCTTCAGCGTTCGGGCAGCCGCCTCAGCAATCGTCTGCCTTTGGACAGCCTAGTCAACCATCGTCTGCATTCGGACAGCCTAGTCAACCATCTTCCACATTCGGACAGCCATCACAACCGACCTCTGCATTTGGACAACCAAGCCAACCGACTTCTGCCTTTGGACAACCATCCCAACCATCCTCTGCCTTCAGTCAACCAAGCCAACCAACATCGGCCTTTGGTCAACCAAGCCAATCGAGTTCTGCGTTCGGTCAACCATCCCAACCATCCTCTGCCTTTGGGCAAGCACAAGCACAAGCGCAACCACCACCACCACCATCTGGTTTCGGGTCCAGCACAGCCCCAGCGTTCGGTCAACCCAGCGCCCCGACGAATCCCTTCGGCGCGAAGCTCACAGAAGATCAGCCGAAGGACGAGAACATGGACACCACGACACCAGTGTCGTCGCAGCCCCAACCTCGCGCCAATCCATTCGGAGTTGCTGCTCCCCATTCCCTTCCACCTCCTCCAACAGCATCGGCGCTCCCGGCCTCCACCTCAACCACTGCTCACCCACTAATCAACAAACCTGCCCGTGCCCTGCATTACACGGAATCTCTACCCCCAGGCCCTACGCAGAAGAACCAAGCAGGGAGACTGCACACCTACCGCGGCCAGCCCGTCGCGTACGAGAACAATGTCCCCTGTTACCGGCGGCCTGACAATCGGGAGTCGGAGAAAATATGGTTCCCTGATGGGGCGGCGACGCCGGATGTCGTAGCCTTGAATCGAGAGGATAAGATCTGGGATCTCCAGGGCGAGGTGGCAGAGTACACGGAGGATGTGCTGGAAAGTTACAGACACCTGTTCAGTGAGGGAAGGTGGAAGGATGGCAAGATGCCACTTGTTCCACCGCTGCGCGAGTGGGTGGTTTATGATTTCTAGAAGCGGGAAGGCTGAAGGCGGAATGCGGGACTCGTCTGAAAGGGGACTCGAGAAATATACACAGCAAGGCATTGCACTGCTCCTTGGAGAGCACGAGGCTAGCAACCAAAACATGAGAAAAGTTGGAACTGATCATAAGACGAACAATCAAATGGCAGCACGAGGTTCGGCTCATTGGAACTATGACAAGAACAAGAATTGTCGCCAGCTGGGGCGGTTATAGTATTGGGTCGGGTTGAAATGTGATCACATGCATAGCGAGCAGACAGGCAAGAAAGCAACCAACCATCTGTTCGGAGATTTCTGCCCCATCCGCTGGCTCTTTTGGAAGTTGCACCACTGTTCAGATGAACATCACCGGTCTGGTTGCCTTGATTCTTTCTCATACTATGGAATGATCAAGGGCGCCCCCCCCCCCCCCCCTTTGCCCCCGTGTCATCGCAATCCATCACAGCCTCGCAGCTGGGGCCTTCTGCCTCGCTCACCCGCTCTCTTTTCACCTGAGATTCTCATGCGTGCAACTAAGCAGCAATCGTGACCTCGACCTCCACGCCCGCCTCAATGTTAATGATGATCTGCTTGACCACCTCGGTCGGGGCATTCAAGTCGATCAGGCGCTTGTGAATTCTCATCTCAAACATATCCCACGTCTTGGAACCTTCACCGCAGGGCGTCTTGCGCGTGGTGACCTTGAGGGTCTTCGTGGGGAGGCGGACGGGTCCCTTGACGCGGAGGTTCTTGGACTTGGCGCGCTCGAGGAGTTCCGTGCAGACCTTTTCGAGGGATTGCACCTTTCGGCTGGTGAGGGTGATGCGGATTTTGTGGATTTTCTACACACAAAGAGATTAGAGCTCGTAATGAATTTGGAAGAAGTCGTGTTCCGTCCTGGCGTACCGGGCCCTCGCCGAAATCCTTCTCGGGCTTTTGGAACGACATATTTGTCTAGAGTTTCGACTGTCGTTTGAGGTCGAGGTTGAGATTGAGATTGAGATCGAGATATGGCTCTGCGTATTGAGATAGTGTCGACGCCGATCAAGACCTGAACTCGCGGTTCGGTAATGTGATGACCGGTGATGGAGTAAGAGCGTTTCGACGAGCGGAAATCAGAAGCTGGTGTTAATTATTTGATCCGGAATTGCAGAACGCATGGTGCGCTGAAATCTTGGCACTGCGGGTAGATCCGTGGAAACGCTAATCCGTTTGTGGCGACGACTTTCTTAGTCATCCAGTGATCATTTATGATTTCATGCATGCGATCCCGTTATGACTCGACTTTTGAACCTGCATGTTGAAGGGTGGTCCTTTCACCCAGGACCGGAGTCCTCCTGCTCTAACGTCTTCTTCTTCGATCCGGATGGAGGAAATTGCTGGAATCCCGGGCAAAGTGCCTCCATTGGCGTTGTACCCCGATGCGAATGTGAAAGCCAGCCTACTCGATGGAGAATGGGAAGCGTGTCTCGAGTCATGGTTGTTCAGTCTGGAGTTTCGACTGCGTCTACAAGAAACGGACTTTTCCAATTTCAAGTTCTCACAGAGTGCCAGTGGTGTTGATTTTCTACTCTCGTATTTCGAGTCAAATCCTGGGAAGGATACGGCGTCGTCGAAGTCGCAGAAAGAGCGAATCCTGTTCAAACGGGCATACCTACTTCTGAGAAGGCTGCTACTTGTCACGGAGGTTCCGTTTGACTGTGGCAATGACAAGCTCATCCACTTCCTGGAAATGGCGAGTGGAACCTATGCAACTGTGGCGGATTGGAAAGCCGTTCTGAAGCTTGTCTGGAAAAGAGACCAGAAGCAACTGACGCAGGCTGTGGCAGATTGGAAGAGGAGTATCTCCAGAGAGCTGTCGGAATCCTTGAACTCACAGACATTGGTGGACAAGATCCACAGAATCAATGACCTAGTCAAGGTCTCCCCAGACACAGGCCTTGATCTTATGACTGGCTCCGATTATCTGGAGACCCTCATGGAGGCATACAACCGGCTTCAAAGAGCACATGAGACGAGTACACTTGAGAAAGTGTTGACTGAGCACCTCTTCTACTGCTTGCGTAGTCTCATGGTGGACAGCTCCTCACATGGATCGCTCCTTCTAGACCACCTCTACTTCATGAAATCAGAAGCGGAACGGAAGGCAAAGAGCAAAAACCACCACCCGACGCTGTGCTCCAGCCTGATTTGCAGCACATCTTTTCTCAAGCATCTTGCAGCGAATCCCGCCATCGCATCGGGCAAACGTGGTCAAGGATTACTCGAATTTCTTACCACGTACCGAGAGAACCACAAGCACCTACATCCACCCACAGAGCCGAGACACAAGAAAGTCTCCAAGGGCAAGGGCAAGGCCGATCCGAATGAGGACATGCATATCCACAAAGCTTCTCAGATATCGCAAGTGCACGACCTGTTTCCAGAGCTGCCGAACCACTACATTCTCAAGCTCCTCGATCACTTCGGCGACGACGTGGAGACGGTAATCGCGGCGCTTCTGGAGCCTGACTCTTTGCCACCTCACCTCCACGATCAAGGCTCGCACAACGAGCCTGTAGCAGCGAACGCCGGACCGACATTCGATCTTGCACCCCGTTCAACACCGCCTCTACTCCCGCAGAGGAAGAATATGTTCGATGGCGATGACTTCGACAGGCTTCAAGTTTCTTCGCAGCGATTACACAGAGGCAGGAAGGAGATTAGTCTTAGCCAAGCTGAGACTGGGGACGAACATGCCCAGCGGAAAGCAGCCATCATATCTGCTTTGGCTGCATTCGACTCGGACGACGACGAGCGCGACGACACGTACGATGTCGCTGATGTTGGTGGCACAGTTGATGCAACACTCGACACCGACGACCGACCACGGCCAGAGAGGCTTCCGGACCAAAACCCGCATGAAGAGACTCTGTTCCGCGCATGGCGAGACAACCCAGAACTCTATGCACGGGACAGCAAGACTCGTATCTCAAAGATACGGCAAGAGCTAAAGAGGGACACGGGAATGAGCGACGAGCAAATTGAGGGATGGGCAATCATGTTAAGGAAGGATTCAAAGTTGCAAGACCGATTGGAGAAGAAATATGCCACAACGCAGACATTCAAGGGAAATCAGGCTACGATTGTCTCCAGCAGATGGAAGAGCAGTGACACGCCCGAAGACAACGAGGAAGGAGAAGGTGTCAGTGGGCAACGTCGCATGGGACAGGCAGAGCCCAGAGGCAACCGCACCTGGGGACGTGGCGGTCGCGGTGGGGGAAGTACGGCAGGCCCCAGCGGCGACGCGGCAACACAGGCTGCCCGAAGACGCAAGGAACAAGGCAAAGGAAGGGGAGGAGCGAGCCACAACCGGCGGGAAGGCAGAGCTCGGAAGATGGGTCGAGGCATGGCAAGTGTGGTGCCGCAGTAGCAGTATCGATCATTCAGGCTGCGTCTTGGATGTCATAGCAGTGTATGCCCGGAGACGTGCCACTAGTTCCTTCCCCTGCACAGGGAACAAAATTTCTCCGTACTCGATAGGGTGGCACGGCTGGCAATGCTCCCTCATGTCCTTCGACCTCACCGGCGCCAGAGGCACGTGACAAATCCTGTCACGTGTCTCCAAGGCTACTCAGCTCGGCCAAACTTCTCTTTCGAGCCCCCAGTTTCTGGCCTCTTGTGGCGCTGCCATCAACTTTCGTCGTGTGCCCTCAGCTTTCAAAGCAACCTGGCGTCCTCACAGCTCATGCTTCACTTTCGACCGTGCTTATGGTGGTTGACAAGGGGACTACTCTGATTTTCAAGATCATCTCTCCATCGGTGCACGTTGCAGGAGAGGGCGGTATTATCGGCGTTACAAATCCTGACGCCGAAATATCCATCACATTCACAAACGAATTACAACATCACGAGCTGCAGTCATTCATTAACCACAAATTGAAACGCTCATTCACCCTCTCTGCATCGAAGAAACCCGAAAGCCCTACTTTGACCCGGCACCGTTAACTAGAGGTGCCGCCTCAGTCGCCGGCTAACCCACTCTTGACCGACATGCCACGCCGACGGGTCTTCCCCAACGTTCCTTAGCAAGCGATTCGTGCACGCGCTAGAATACTGAAGATGACAGATACCACAGAAAGCACAGACCAGCCGGCCTTCGACAGATCTAACATTCTCGAGGCGTTACAAGCAATCCACGACCCTAAATCCGATAATTTCTTCAGGAGGAATGCCTCTGACTACCTGGAACGCCTGAAGACCAGCAAAGAAAGTGCCCTTCAATGTGGCTTTTCTCTTTCTACCGATCAATCCCAGCCCGCTCTGGTGCAACACTTTGGCTTGTCTCTGCTAAGCCACGTCATTCGCCACGAGACACATCACCTCTCGGAGCACCAAGCCATCCAACTCCGCAACTGCGTTCTTGACCTCGGTCGGTCTGTCAAGGCCGAGCATCTTGCTTTCATCCGCAACAAGGTCGCCGAGTTATGGATTGAGCTGGCCAAGCGAAGCTGGGCGCTAGACTGGTTCGACCTGGACGAGCAGCTTGCACAGCTGTGGTCACAGGGTCTCGTTCACAAGGACATTGTGCTAACTATCCTCGAGAACCTGTCCGAGGATGTTTTCGTTCGCGACGACAGTATTGCCGTGTTACGAGGACGAGATCTGAACTCGGCGCTGGTTGAGATCTTCACACCAAGTTCCAATTTCTCCGGGGGTATTAAGATCGGCGGCATCACACACAACTTGCGTTTTGGAGACGAAGGCTGGCTTACAAGGATCACCAGGCTCATCAATGAGTCGGTGGGCAACCTGCACAACGATGGCCAGCTTAGAGAGGTTGTTCTCAAAGCCCTTGCCACATTGAGGTCATGCTTCATCTGGGTGATGACTCCAGCCATCTCACAGTCCAATGCTTTAGAAGCGACATGCAATTTCCTCACCTCGTCGGATACAGACCTCATTATAGCTGCCCTCGATGCCCTGCTCTCTTTGTACGGAAGGGCCCGCCTGGAAGAACTCGAAGTCCAAGCTCTTGTCTTCCCTCTAGTCCACCCGGACAGTATCGCTATGCTTGGGAAACTGTACGTCTGGTCCGTCGTGCCGGTGGATGAGATAGAGAGTCCCAAATACGTGGTCTCGAAGAAGCTCTCTGAGCTACTATCTTTGTTCGGTGATCACATGTACCAATACACACCTCCTACCGCCGTCATTTTTGATCTCTCACCATTCCTCCAATTGTTGACAGCTGTTGCGGAGCATGAGAGTCTCATAGTCTCCATTCCAGTGATCCATGCCTGGGTGAAAATGCTGGAGGTGTCCTCTTGGAGAGCTAACCCTGCCATCGTCCGCTGCATGGGTCCACTCCTTCAAGTCGTCTCCACGAGACTCATACAGTACGAACAGTTTCCCGAGGATGTCCAAAACCCTGTGGTTACCTTCGTGAATGAAGAGATCGAGCTCTTCCCGGAACGTCAAGGCTTTTACATGAACTACCGCCGACTGTGTGCGGCTGCCATAGAATGGATCGCCTTCGCAGGACCAGAAGCGGCCATATTTGGGACTTTGGGACACGTGGACGCTGTCTTGGACGAGATCGAGTCAGCTGAGCAACAGTTCGATGCCGCAAGATACGAGAGAGTTTCAATGGCGATCCTGCAAGCTGACGCATATCTCTCCTGGGTCGACGCCGCATTCAAGGGGTTTGACAGGTTTCAGGACGAACAGCGACACAGTCTCACGTCCGAGCATGAGCAGATGAGACAAAGAATACGAGAGAACCTGAAGGCTTGGATGCTCAGCACGATGGAAAAGAGAGTCTTCAAAGACCCGCAAATAAGGCAGCGCCTGATCAAAACTGCGGTTGACGCGTCATACAGAGTCCTGCAGAAAGACACTGGGTTCGCCTTTAGGGTCCTCGAGCACATACTGTCATCATTCATCACAATGCCACAACAAAACCCCGTCTATGCCGAAGCTGTCGACGATCTCCACAGCTATGCGACGGCTGAACTGAGGCGACTATCGCTTCAGCATGCTGACTATTTCGTTACCTTCTATGACCAACTGCAATCAAAATTCTCCGACCTAATCAGCCAGATCGGTGCCAATGAGAGACTGCAGATTGACCTGAAATCCATCCTATTCTCGGTCATTCAGCGAGCGACGTCGGTTGATGATGCTCGACGTCGAGCTAAGCTGGGAGAGTTCGTTCAACCTCTCGCTGCAGCGTGGGCGGACCAAAGTCTACAGGGCCTTTTGGGCAGCCTCGAGTCATTCGCTCACTCTCAGGCTTTCGACCAGGTCGGACCTTATTTGGCAACATTACAAGCGGACAGGATCGAGGATTGGAGTCAAGTCCGGTACGACAGCCGGGGGTCAGAGATACAGCAGGAAATGTTGTCCGGTTACACCAGGCTGCCTTTGAGGGAGACGCGCATACTGCTCAGCATATCTACCGAGAGACTCGAACAGGGTTCTGACTTGCACAAGATGGTATGCGACCTGTGGTCCCCCATGGTTCCAAATATGCTGGAATATGTCCTCCGCCTAACGAGTTTCAACCATCAACTGCACAATCCGTCGTCGTGGCCAAACGTGCCTCCTGAAGGAGAAAATATCATACGCAGGGTAATGCGAGATAGATATTGGCAGTCAGGTATCTCAGCCGGCTCGATGGGAGAATTCCACAACAAGGTAAAAGCCACAAAACTTACACTGGAAGGATTTGCGTCTTCAGTGCGAGGAAGGATACGAAACAACCTCGAACAGTGTTACAGCATCCTTCACACACTGGGCAGACTGGGGCCGGCCTTTTACAACCTGCAACAGCTCCCCGAGCTGATCGCGCAGGCAGCTATCGACACGACCACGCCACTCAGTCCTCACCATTTCTCCGTGATGATACAGATGTTGCCGAAAATGATCGATGAGTGTCCCCCGGAGAGTCGAGAGCAGTTCTTGACCCCTATCTTATGGTCCCTGCTAGGGCAAATGGACACCAAACTCTCCCAGGAATGGGAGAAAATGGGCCAACTGAAGCAGACCAAGCACGATGACGAGAACCTTGGAGATGAAATGAGAGACGACTCAGTATTGAGGCAGACGACTTACAAGGCTGTCAATTTGATTGCCCATTGGCTGAACCCCAAGCGAGAGCAGCAGTTGAGTACGAAGAAGTCGATTGTTAATGGCAGTTACCTGAAGGAAGCCGACCAGCAGACAATGCGCGAATTCCTCTTGTCCAATGTACAAATCCTCGACAAGCTCCTCACCTTCATCACGCACGCTATCGCCTTCAAGGACATGAAATCCAGCTACACGATGCTCATGGCTGTGCAACGTCTTGTCCCCGATTTTGCGTCCGAGCAATTTCTCGCCAGCGACCAAGCGGGTGCGGTGCGAGAGTTCATCTCGACGGAGATGCTCAAGACGGCCATTACTTGTCTGCATGACGGCTACTTTGCCGACCAGCAGCAGTATTACGCCCAGCTCATCGCCACCATCTGGCTCTCCTACGGCCTTCCCGCCCATGTCCCGGCTACGGAAGGCACGCCAGCCCATGATCGACATGCCCTCACATCCACTCCACGCGATGTGATCATGAGTTTGCCGGGGATGACAGAGGCCAAAGTGGACAAAGCCGCGGGACAGCTTCTCAAGGAGGGAGCCGGTGGCAGTAGCCGCGCCAAGAAACTGCGTGCCATCATATTAACCCTGCTGGAGGGTGTAAGGGGCGTCCGCGTCAGCGAGCTCGGAAAGATCGACACGAAACAGCAGCAGAGTAAGCTATTGGAGAAGTACAAGCAGAGGGAAATGTTGGGCATGCAGGGCGTGGAAGATCACGGGCACGGGCGTCAGGATGGTACTGCAGAGACTGATCTCGCAGGTGTGGCGGACATGTTTGCGACCTAGGAGCCTCGCAGGAAGCGTGTTGCGAGGCCGCCGACGGCGGATGTGGACAGAGAGAGACTGGACCGGCTGACGGGTGTCATCAGATATCCCACTTGGGGATTTGGGACATCCTGCACTGAATGTTCGGGATATCATGAGGCTGAAGGCGAGGTGGAGGAACAATGGTCGGTCATCAGGGCGGAGGAGCTTTCACCCCACATCATCTACTGTAAAGGATGTTTGGCGTTTCACGACCTGAAATCGCGAGAAAGGGGGCCATTCATATTCGGTGTCAATGTTGTGCCCCTGATCGCAGGGCCTGGAGGCTGTGGATCGGCGGCTGAAGACCTGCGTGAACGGTGGCCCTGCGACCAGTGCCGTGTCTTCCATCCACATGAATCGTCGACCAGCCGAGTCCTCGAGGATTGCACGAAATGCGCGGACTACGTGAAGGACGCACCGCAGTACCCTGCCAAGCACGACATGGAACCGACGATCGGGTACTCTGTGGACGTTCCCTTGGAACCACATATTCCGCGCATTGACAGGGCACGGGCCACGCGCTCAACGGACAGAGATGCACAAGGACGTCCAGTGCAGAGCGATGGGCGTGGCCGTGGCCGTGGCCGTGGCCGTGGCTGTGGCCGAATGGTCGAACCTCCTCCCAACCTTCCAACTCAGACTGGCCTGGCACAGAGTGGAAGTCTGGGTGGTGGACCTTATATCTCAAGTGATCGACCTCAAGGGACTACGGAGGATAATGGTAGACAACGACCCCCTGCGACCGCCAGATTGGGGACCCCTCTGCCACTGGTGCGAGGAGGGTCCAAGCGACAGAGGAAAACTACCGCGCGGGCGAGCGGCAGTGCAGGACTTTTTGAGACAGGCTTTACGACGGTCGACGCGCATACGGGCGAATCAGCAATCATAAGCATGTCGAGGATGAGAAAATGGTATCAGAGACCCAGTCAGTCAGTTGGTGAGACTTCTTGGGCGAGCGCGAGCTCGATGGGCTGGGGCGCGGACTGGTTCCAAGGTTTCAGGCAAAGATACGGTAATTAGACAGCAAGAAATTGGCCCATGATCTGTCTGTCCGTCTGTATGCACATCGCTCATGCTTTCTGGCTACTGAACATCAACGGATCTGAACGTCAATGCTGAATGCAAAGGTCACGGTCGGTGTTGGGGAAGCTGAAGAATGCCTGTGATGCATGCATCCTCTGCACTGCACGACGGAAGACATACAGTATGGGTGCAGTAGGTAGGTAGGTGGGTAGGTAGGTAGGTAGACAGCCGTCTTGGCCTCTTCTACATACTGTAATGTCACCTTTCCTTTCGGAGCCATCTCTATATACATAAACACACGCACGTCGGGTTGTGAGATCCGAAAGGAAAGGAGGAGCTTCGTTACCCAGTACTGTCGATGGCATCCTCGTCTCAATGCCGTTGGAAGGCTCGGATATCCGGACTATCTCATGGTGACGCAAGATTTGGGAGGTATTGGAGCTTCGGGTTGTGGTTGAGATAATGCCCTACCCAATGAGGTTTGGAGGTATTCTGATTTGCTGTGCTGTGCTGTGCTATTTCTCTTCTCTGCATTGCAATCCACCGCACGTCTATTCCACGGTCCTGGCCGGCGTCGCCGCGTATGTCGGTCTCACGAATCTAGTTGGAGGGCACATTGGTTAGCGGGGTCATTTCGACGGAACAAGCCCCGAAGAAGAAGAGGAAGAGGAAAAGACACAGCATGGCACATCCTTCCTTGCCCGTCTTGCCCCTCCACGCCTCTCGCCGTGGCTGGGACGTGACTTTCCCAGCCTGGTCTTCCTTGCGCGGTCCAAAAGCCTACTAGTGTCTCGAAGTAGACGCATGTACTCTTGCTCGCAAACCCGCCGTGGCTTCGAGCTTCAAACGGAAGGCCCACCTACCGACAAACCAGCAGCAACGCGGAGAAGGTCGAAATGCAGGGGAGAAGAAAACATACCGATCACTATTATAGGCCCCACTTTGGCTGCCTAGTAATTCCTTTTCTCTCTTCAAATCGGCATAATATCTTCGCACTTGATCTCTATCCTCCTCTGCTTGTAGTAGGGGCGTCAAGTGGATGCGGGCCCACATCTTCTCGCGCGCCATCTCCGTCTTTTCGCGCTGTCCCAGGAAGATTTGCCGCCAGCCGTAGGTCATGACGCCAAGGACACCGACGAGGTACCATAACGGCCGGAGGCCGCGGGTCGGGATGTTGCGCTAAGAGGAGGGGGAGATGTTAGCGAGTGCAGTGTGCAGTGTGCAGTGTGCAGTGTGCAGTGTGCAGTGTGCAGTGCTGCGATGGTGTAATATCCGGGAGAGGGAGAAGGAGCGGGATAGCGTACGCGGTATTGTACGGCTTCATAACCGCCTGAAGGGGGAAGGTCTTGAGGCATTGTCGAGGCCGGAGTGAGGGTAAATGGTAGAGGATGTGGGCGCCCTGGTTGTGAGTGTCCGTAAAGCCTCGGGTCTACATGTACAGCCACAGACACAGACGCAGACACAGGTGCGTAGCGTGTCGGTGTCGATGTGTACCTGTATGGATAGGGCGCAAGGAGTCGTTGTGGGTTCGTCGAGGAGCTTCAACTTGAAATGAGGTCAAAGTCAAGGTCAGGTCAGGTCAAGGTCAATTGGAGATCACGTGGAGTTGCAGGCGAGGTGGATGGCCGCATCTGGAGGGACGGAGCTGCCGCTTTAATGGCCTGTTCTGTCCCTCCTCGTACGAGACACTTCACTTCTTGCTTTGATAGCACTCCACGCGCCCTACGCACATCCTTAGCATCTAAAAGCATGCATGAGATATAGTCGATAGCTGTCCTCCGCAGGTGAAGCACAGACGTCCAGCACATCGGTCGGCGCACGGCAATTAAATCGGTGCTCTCCGAATATGCAGATCGGCTTCAGAGTCGGCGCTAATTCAAGTATGCATAGAGTGAGATGAGCTCTAAGATTCAGTCATCTCCCTGGGACCATCATGACGATACCTAGGAGTTTGTGCTACTGACATAGTAGGACGATTTCGAGTCCTCTCCTGAGATCAAACTACGTCGCCTCGGCGACGAGCATGAAGACCCCAAGGAAGCCTCGAATCGTTCAAATGAACGAAAGTATACGGGCTATTCCAAGGAGCTTCTTCGGCGTAGCATGGGTCAGGTGGCCCAGCTGTTGTTTGATTCGAGATACGGAGACACACCATCTCTGGGAGATACCAGTAGGTGCTTTGATTAGGCATATTTCCCTATGTATAAGGAGGTGGTTTCTGAGTTACTCATCGGCGTCTGTCTCATGTGACGCGGATTCATCACGTTGTGGACAAATTCTGCGGAATGGTTGACTCTTAGGTTTACATCTGCTTGGTTCGGCCATGCTTTTCTTGACTGCCAAACTTACCCACAGACAGCTGCCGTGCATAGGTCCTCATTCGAGACTTTACAAAGACTTCATGGACAGCAGCTGCGTACACACATGTCGCCGTATCAACATCTCAAGCCACGTCCGGTGCGCACAAGAGCTACTTCTATCAACACACTTTATCGCATTCTGCCCATAGAGGTTCGCCCAAGCCATCTATCATGGGATGCTTCTGCTCCAAGCCGTCTCCTCCATCAATTTCTCGCGCTGCAAGAGTCGTTGGACTTCCAGAGGACTTCCGCGCAACCAGCAGACATTCAACGTCAAGCTTCAGAACGAACATCGGCGCCTCAAGCAGCGAGACGCTGAACTATCCCTTCAGTATCGGGAACGTTGTCGTCATGAACATGCATGACGATTTTACCATCGTAACGATATGTTCCTTCGGAGAAGAACGCCCCCAGCACCAACAGTGACGACGTGTGTGAAGCACATCACCCGCGCCAGGGAGTCGGCGAAACAAATCACAAGCTGTTGAAAGCGACCAATCCCAGAACAAATATCGCGAGCGTGCTGGATCTCTCCAACAGACCACTACCGCCCAACAACCTCCCGGCAGCGTTATCACTGCTACTGGAATTGCCGTCACCTGTTGATAACCCAAAGGGCAGGCCCTGATACCCAAATGTCAAATTCTGCGGGATAGTGGTATTCCAGCACTGGCCGTTCACAATATCCAATCCGGCCAGATCATCCGGCACCTTGAAGAACATGTAACTGTTCTGATTCAAGTTCTTGAACCCCTCAGTATTGTATGGAAACTTGTCGCCCGGATCGGTGGCCGAAGTGTTGCGCAGGAATATACACTGGACTTGGCCCGGATATTGTGTCGCCAACTCGGGATAAGCGCTCATGACGTCCGAGTTACTCGTATCCGCCACGAGGATGAATTTTCGATTTGGAAACGTCTGGAAGATCTTGTCTAGGAGGAACTTGCGGATGGAAAGCGTTGCCGAGACGTCGCTGAAGTTGAGGGGTCGGGTGTCGAAGCTGCCGCCGGGGTAGTTCGCATAGATGTATTCCATGTAGTTACGGGTGATCTGTTCAGGTGTCGTGGTGAGGTAGTGGAAGTGCATGTTTGGGAGGCTGACGGACCAGTTGCGGTAAATGTCGGGCATGTTCATCCAGGGAGTAAAGGGTCGGGCGAAGGAGTTGAGAAGGCCTTCTTTCGGCTGATAGATTTTGGTGACGCGCAGGATGTCGTCAATGTCAGAGATGATGGTCAGGCCCTGGTCCGAGACGAGGTATGAGGTTGCATTGCCTGTGTCAGTTCCCTGAGCGTACACATTCAGCCTCTGTGGGGGTATCTCGCCAGCACCAGGTGTTAATGCAAGTGAATTGTTGTCAACTGGCACGAACACGTCAAAGTCGCCTTCCGGAGTGGTTGGATACGGCAAGGTAATGACCTGCTCTCCACCCGCTGGAGTCACGCCGCCCCCTCCTCCAGATTGCCCGCTCGAGCCAAATTCAGGACTAGGCACTATATCCATTGTCACAGATTGATTCCCTTGCTGCACGACGTAAATCTCTCGCGTCAGGTTGCGAGCTTGGTCCTGCTGCGCTGGTGGAAGATCCGCAACACTCGTGTCGATCAGGAAGAAATTGGCCAGGTCGTCCACAGTGTCGTTGGAAATGTCGGGTTGTTTGAACACGTTCCCATGTATACGCAAGTTCCAGCCCGAAGATGTCCAGTTTCCATATCCTGGGATGTTCAATACCTGTGTGGGAGAAGCAGCCAGATCCGAGCTGCTGGCACCCACCGAGCTGGCCACATCGCTTCCAGTGGGAAGGTTCTGTAGGCCGGGCAGCAAGCCATTCGACACATAAGAAGGTATCGCGCTCCCTAAATCAGAAAACACCGAGTTGACATATGAGTCGAGACCGGCTGTGATATCGCTGAGAACATCCCGCCGTGCTCCTGCATAGGATCCGTAGACCGCAAGCGTACGAGTTGGAGCTGGTGTAATCAATGCCTCCTCCTGAGGGGAGACTTTCGTGGGGACGGCAGACGCTCGTAGCAGAAGAATCGAAGCGGCGGACAAGAGTCGCAGAATCATATTGGCAAAAGATGTCTATCCTATCAAGACTGAGTTCATTAGTAACAGTGTCAATGGATGCATGATAGTCACTCACATGCAATTTAGCTACCTCCCCGCCTTACCAAGTGATGTCGCAAATGACAGACTCGATATCAAACAAACAAGAGAAAGGAAGGCCGCGAGCGCAGAAGGCTAACAGGACAGCCACCGCTAGTTCATATCTTCTGCTTACCTGCGAGACGGCCAGGGGATGAGCATCGAGCTATGGCGCATTTGACGATCCCCGAATCCTGGGGGAGGGAAAATCAAGGAAACTCAAACATCTTGCAGCACGCGCCCAGTGTTGGGAAGTCGGTGCTGATCTTGCTCATCACCAGGAACCAGAAACAATGACGTCAATGTCGCATCGGAGACTGGCTTGGCGGCCGATTAGCGCCAGACTTTATTTAGGAAGCTTCCTAGCGCCCACGTGACACCCACAAACATTGCCCTTGACACTCCTCTCCACCGCGATAGTATCAAAGTATCTGTGTATCAACCAACATCTTCCTCGATGCCTGCCGAAGCGATACAGGACTCCAAGACACGAAAGCTAGAGCAGAGCTGCGGAATTCGCTGACCGTGATGTGACGAAATCGAGGCAAGAATGACTCGGCAAGACGTTGCTATCCATCTGCCCCTTGTTTGACCTGATGGCGTCTTTCTTCAGTCTATTATCCGATCTTCGTGCTTGACAACAGGGGTTCACACGTCTTGCTTACTTCCCTCCATTTACACCCGTCAAGAGTGCTTGTATGTGCTTCTTCCCCCGGCCAAGAAAAGGACCCCTGCACTCAGCCGTCCTGGACTGGGAAAATTGGTTGCAATGGGTATAAAACCTCCAGATTCAATCCAGAACCCTGCATCACTCGGAGCGTCAAAAGCTTGGTGAAGAATGGAAGCATATCTTTCCTTTCCTTTGCTGTCGCGGGTGCGCACTGTCATTCCTTGGATGCCCCTTGGATGCCCCTTGAATGCTTGAACTCGGCGCGAACGGCTCGTGCGCCATGGTCGACGGGTAGCTCACTGGAATGCAGCATTCTGATGATGTTGTTATCATCTCGCGTCCTCTAGGCGTGAGTCCTCAAAAACCAACCACCGCTGCAATCTGCTCTTAAACTTTTGCCGGTTGACAGTCACTCGTTTGGTTTAGAATTCTGCAGTCCTCCACTTCATTCTCTTCACGTTTCCAGTCTTGTTCACAGAATACAGCAGAAGCGCAACCGGGTGGCCCATCATGTGGCCATCATCGTCACTCCTTTTACCTTATCTCGCTGCGCATATCGCATCGGTGAGCGCGCAAGCTCTGTCCACAGTCACATACGGACCAAGCGGACCATGTCCCGTCCCCTCGGTCACAAGTGTTGTTGTTGTACAGCCGGGATACTACAGTTCCTTCTTTCAGTCAGCCTCCTCGATTGTGAACCTCTGGGGCAATGGCAACACGGTTATGATCAACAATGCCCCGACGACGTACATTACCAACACATATATCAGCACAACCATCATTTCCACCATCACGACCACAGTTGTCAATCCTTCAACTACGGCAGCGTCCTCCAGCGGTGCGGATGTTGGTCCTATCCTTACGGGAGGGTCTTCATCGACGACTCCTGCAACATCTGTCTCCATGACCCCTATGCCACCTTCAAGCAGCATATCTCTGGGGCCATCTTCCACCTCATCCCCGATTTTCACTCCCGTCCCCCCTCCAGAGACAACGCCAGCACCCGCGCCAGTCTTGACTTCTACTTCAGTAGACGCGAACGGCAACACAGTCTTGGTTCGAGTTACTCAAACTCCACTGGCACTTGGAGAGGGACTTCCATCGGGGACCATCACTGATCTTCCTGCTTCGCTGGCAGAGAACGGTATCATCGTCGGTGTTGCCGTCAACGGTCTCGGAGCGAAGGTGAAGAGGCAAGCTCCCGCAGGCCCAACAGCGGGTGCTGTTCTGTCAGGGGATGAAGGAGGCGCCGCCCTGGCGTGCGACGTTGCGGTCAGGTACTTTTTGGAGCGGGGACAGTTGACCGATGGCACGGACGTGGTTGGCCGCAACACCACCGACAACTCAGCTCTGATGACTCCCGACCCTGACTTCAACAACGTCACGACAGTGCTGTCCTTCGTTGATGGTATCCTCAATTGGAACTCTGCCGATCGAGGTGCGGCGACCTTCTACCAATGCGGTGATGCCAAAGTTTACGCGGGCTTTCCCAATCCTCCAAAGGAGGACTGCTACATAGTCACCCTGGGAGGCATAGCCGCCACTGCTTGTCCTGTACCGCTGAGGGATGAAGTCGACACGTCTACCTCTACGGACATTCCTTCGAGTACCCCTGCTTCGAGCGACGTGTCATCCACGACAGCGATTGATGTGACCACAACGACTGACTCGGGAGGTACTGGTCAAACCACAACTCCCGAACCGGGGTCCTCGACCGACCAGACTTCACCGTCAGCGTCTCCTTCCTCGAGCGAAGCGCTTCCTGTCTCCAGTACCGTGGAGCAAACCACCCCACCCGTCGTGGCTACTCCCACAAGCGCAGGGACTTCGGTTGCTTCTGCAACAGGAGGTTCGGTAGTCGCAAGCTCCTCGAGCTCTTCAAGTGTTGTCGTTCCGCCCAGCTCCTCTAGCCCGGCAATACCCCAGTCATCATCGGCGGCCGCTACCATCGGACAATCAACTTCATCACCGGGAGCTGTTGCTCAGTCGAGCTCTTCCTCCGTGGTTCCGGCGCAGTCCAGTTCTTCCGCAATCGTGCCCGTGCTGTCAAGCTCTTCGAGTGCATCCAGTCTGCGATCGAGTTCGACTGCTGTCGTCCCGGCGCAATCTAGCACTACCGCTGTAACCTCAACCGCTTCGTCTGCTGGCGCGGCTGGCAGTAGCAGTGTCCCTGCAGGTGGATCAAGCACTACACCCGTGATCATCCCAAGTACCAACCCGGCTACCTCAGCCCTGCCTCCGTCAAGCACAGCTCCGAGCAGCCCCGCCTCAAGTACTTCAGCAGGTATAGTGTCTTCCTCTCCTTCCCCGTCCACTTCTGCCCCCATTGCAACCACAACATCTCCGTCCCCAAGCAGCAGCTCGGTCGTACCACTCACATCGTTCTCGGCAACGGTGGCTGGAAGCTCGTCAACTACCATTGCTGGCCTTTCAACCACGGCGGCCGCAACCTCCCAGATTGCAAGCCCGGTGGCATCCAGCTCCACTAGTCCGATCGTGGCGGCGTCAAGCTCTACCATTGCGGTCTCCCCAACGACGACACTCATGGCGACTACGAATCAAGGCACTACCCAAAGCTCCGCCACGCCTTTCTCGTCCAGCACCCCAAGTATTGCTTCAAGTTCTGGTACGTCTCCCGCTGTGGTTTCCGTCAGTACTTCTAGTGTTGTTGTGTTTGCTTCTACCCTTTCATCTGCCTTGGGCTCGTCAACCACCACCACGGGCATCAGCACTTTATCATCTGCGCCAAATGTCCCGCCACCGACCCTGTCCTCGACTTCAGTTGCAACTTTACCGACAAGTACGAGTGCGCTTGCTTCTTCAAGCTCGGCTGCCATGTCCTCGAGTACCACCAGCGCAGTTGTTATCGCAGGAAGCACAAGCACCACTCTCCCGCTACCAAGCACGAGTTCTTCCAGTGCCTTGGCCTCTACAACGGTTGCTCTGTCTAGCACGGCCATTACCACAGCTCCGTCTGTATCATCAGCGGCAAACCCGACATCGAGTACTGCGCCACCAAGTACCATCTCGTCCGCTGCGTCGTCCGCAGCTACGAGCTCCTCACCAGCTCTATCACCGACGTCTACCGTCGTGTCAAGCTCTAACGCTTCCTCTGCAGGTATGTTCATCCCATGCTCCAGGTTTCTTAGCTATCCTCTTTGTGCCTGTTGGCCGAGTTGTAGACTACGTGTTCATAAAGACAGTTTCGTCATTGCCCTCTCCAATCTCGTTTCAGATGCGACATCGGCTGACAAGTGCTCCTCACAGTATCCTCTAGCGCGTCTATTCCAGGAAGTTCGACGACAGCATCTGTTATTCAATCTACTTCTGCAATGTCTTCTGCTTATTCCTCGCTGTCAACCATGTCTCAAGGCGTGTCGACGAATGGCGCTGGGCTGACATCAACAACGTCGACAGGCCTGACTACGACCGGTGGTGTCACCTCCCTCTCCACCGTCATCACCAGCTCTGTCGTGCAGACGTCAAGCCCGAGCAGTGTTGTCACTACCACTGCTGCCGCTTCAACGACTATCAGCTCAGTCGCAAGCAGTGCCGTCCAGACAAGCTCGGCAGCGGCCGCCAGTTCGAGTGCCGCCGGTTCAAATGCTCCTGGCAGCTCCACCACAGCCGCAACGTCAGTAGCGTCAAGCACCATTATTACCACGTCTGCCACCACGACATCGACAGAGGCACCATCCAGCACGGTATCCAGCGTTGCCGTCACGACCAGCCCCCTGGCCTCGACCCTTTCTACGGCGTCGACAGCCTCTACAAGCTCGAATGCTGCTCCTCCCAGGTCCACGATCTCCACCGCTGCTGGTGCTGCTACCACGATATCCACTACTTCGAGCGCTGCGACCACGATCTCCACCGCTGCGGGTGCTGCTACCACTAGCTCGACTCTCTCAACTGTTGAAACAACTTCTAGCGCCGCTGCCGCTATCTCGACGCTCTCGACAGTTACAAGCGCTGTTACTACAAGTGCAACAACTTCTACAGCTAGTAGCGTTGCCGGTGCCGGTACGACCTCGACAATCTCTTCCGCGTCCACCGCTGCCCCATCCAGCACGACTTCTCCAATTAATACCACTACTCCTTCTTCTAGCACCCTAGTCACCAGTGTTGCTACTACCACATCATCGGAATCGGGTAGTAGCACAACTTTACTGACTTCTTCGTCTCTAGTATCCTCTTCCACTACTGTTGTCACGTCAGCTTCCACTATTGCTCCAACGACGATCAGCACCACGGTGGCACCCACAACGGTCTCGACCACTACTACAGCAATAGCGACGACCACTATGACCACTTCGGCTGCAGCAGCTGTCACATCTTCGACAACAACGACATTGTCCCCTTCACCAGCCAGCAGCTCGACCACGACCTCTGTGGCTTCGTACAGCCCACCTGCGGGTCCGAACGCCTCGAGCTTGGCCTCAACAGTCCTGGTAGCCCAAGTAACACCTGCTGCAGCGTCAAGTGGCGTGCTCTGCGCAGGGGTCAACTTCCAGACCTCCCCGACCGTTCAGCCCCTCCCAGTCCAAACGGGGGCGTATAACTACCAGAAAGTGGCTCTGTCTAACGCGCCAAATGCCGTCTACGAGATCGAATGCTTCATGAGCTCGGCTTCAGGCACTGCGCCGCCCGCCACCCCCAACGTGAATTCGCTCGAAGCGTGCATGGACCTTTGCAATCAGGCTGGTGCAAGCTGCGCGGTTGCCTACTGGGCATCTTCGCTTGCGCAGTGCTCGCTTTTCCCCGCACAGTCTAGCAATGGTCTGTTGACCCCGAACAGCTTCGTCGGTAACTACGTCCGCACCGCCAGACTCCTGACTTCCACTTCTCCCAATGTCATCGATGCTACTTACCTCCTGGCGCCGGGTTACGACCTCAACCTTTGCGGAGGGCCGAACGCCAACTATTACGACAGGACCTTTGTCGGCGTCTATGGCAGAGGCGCTACCGGTACTGGCGGCCCCTTCATCCAGGGTGGATCCCGCAACGACGTGTTCCTGATCACCTGCGCGGGCTACTCGTATTACACGAGCGGCATTGCTGGCTCTCAAGTGGTCACGTCTACTGCCGCCACGACCTATGGCTTCGGGGGTGTCATCACCACTGCTGACGACTGCGCTCGTCTGTGCGAGATCCTGAACGCCGCGGCCAACTACGGAGGGGGTTGCCGATTGTTCGAGTGGTACGGTTCCAACACCTGCAATCTGTACTCCAGCCGTCCTGGTTTCTCCAATGCGCCTGCTGTCCGAGCTGGCGTCCTCGCCGCCGGAATATCCCGCGCAAGCGCCAGTTCCGAGTTCACCGCCGGTAATGGCGGCCCGCAGAGCTATAGGAAGCGTTCACTTCCCCCTGGCGTCGGCTCGTACCGCCAGCACCCCAGAGATGCTCTCGCTGAGACTGATTACCTGACCCCCGACGTCATCCTTCAGTACAGCAGCAACTCATCGGTTTGGTGATTACCCAGAGTGTGGAAGTGTCATCGGTGGGAGCTCCAGGCCAGCTGGACCAGAAACGTTCTTCTAGACTACGACCGCGACGTGGCTGTTAGGGGTTATCGATCTGGAGCCAGGCAGCTGGCCAAGGGGGTCCAATGTGTCATTCATTGCAAGGGGAATTGAAGCGTGCTGGGGCTTCTGGCTGAGCTAGCGACAATCATTTGGTGGTTGATAAACAAAGCGTGTCATGTTTTGGCAAGGATGGTGTTGGTGTACTCGTTCGTTTTCCATTCCAACATTCGGGCATTGTCGGCTTTCGGAAATCCGAGAAATCTCCTTCCATCTGATCTGCGACCGGCAGGGTAAGGCAAGGCATGGAAGGAAGCTGATCCCGTCACTGTCGTCCGAGGTAGTCTTTCACGCCGATCTTTCCCGGCAGGCTTGACTTAATATATTTTGTGATTTGACTGCAGGATGCTTGCTTTCTCGAGGCTCTTTTCATTCTGGGGATGTGCTGCTGCTGCTTCTGCTTCTGCTTCGCCTAGACCACTATTAGGCCGCTAGTGCTGATTGATACCGTAGGGTCAGTTGAGCTTCCATCACGGGGCACACACATTCTACACAGTATACAATATATACAATAGAATGATGCCATGAACTCCCACCGCACCTGCTTCTCTGTCTGTCTGTCTACGAATCCGTCTGTCCGCACGCAGCCTGTTTAACAACACTCACATCTCACGTCCAAGTTGCATCTTTCCCCCCCTAAGCGACAATCACCTACTTATACTTTAACATCACAACGACGCCGGCTGCGCCATGCCCGGAGTGGCCTCGTAACTGATCCGCCCAGCCGGGAGGAAGAACAAGGCCACGAGCTCCCCATTCCGAACCTCGGGATAATGGTGAGTCCCAGGGCCCGGGCTCGTCCACCCGGCGCCCTGCCACCCCTGCATGCCCTTCAACTGGGCCTTGCTGTTCTCGTCGAGCAATATCACGCAGTTGATCTCGCCGTACGGATGGGCGTGGTACTGGCCGCGGTATTCTTCGTCCCCGGCGGTGGCGATGGCGGACGCGTCGTCGCCCTCACCCTCGGACGACATGTACACGGTAGTGATGGAGATGAAGTTGCTCTCGGGCGTCGGGGCCGCGATGCGACCGCGTCGGTACCGTGGGCCGTCGAGTTCAGTCTGCGCGACCCAGCCTTCTTTCAGCCCGGCGAGGATAAACGAGCGGAAGGCGTCGTAGTAGGGCGTGCCGGGGCCGTGGGTGGCGTTGAGGCGGGCTTCGAGTTCGTGGCCGGGCGTTCTGTTCGGGTTTGTCAGTTCGTGGTTGAGCAAAGGATGATGAAAGGGAAAAAGAAGACTTCATCGTCGGAGGGGCGCCGATATCTGCAGAGGCGGGAAAGGGCGATTCTACGAGGTAATCACTCACAAGTTCTTGACCTCTTTGAAGAATTCGTGACACTTTGCCACGAAGGCCCGTGCGTTTGGGTATTTCTCCAGGTCGAGGACTGGGGCGTCGGCCATGGTTCCGGGCTTGGAGCTGAAGATTCGACGTTCGTGGAATCCGAAATGATGGACAGGACGTGATGGGATGGGTTGATGTAAGATGTGATGATACTCTGAACTGCCCGACGGCTCTACCCCCCTTCCGGTCGATGGTCTGGAATGACAAGATGGATTGAAAGGAGGTGGGATGGAGCAAGATTTTGATATCGGCACTCAGCAGGTGTAGAGGGCACGCGTCTTTCTCTTCAAATAAGCTCGGATCGGTCTGCTGTCTTCGCCTCCTTTTATCGTTCAGACTCGTGCACAGGCCACGTCAGTCCCCCAGCTGTGTCTTTGCCTTGGCTGGTCTTGTTAGGACGCCTTCAGACGTGCCGATTGCAAATCACTTCTGGCGTCGTACATGACCTCTGTCGGTGGCGCGCGATGTCAGTATGTAACCATTATCTGTTCGTACTGCACCCAACATAAGCGAATCATGGTCTAGTCAGACGACGAGGTGCTCGGGGTCGAAATAGTCTTCGGTAGGACATTCCCGCATGTGCCGTCGATCAGGGAAAAAGCCGAATCGCTCTGCCGACCGATAGGTAGTCATGCCTGCTTACATACGCTGTACTCCGTATTCCGACTGGAAATGCGGAGTGTGGAGAGTAGTGAGGCCTATTGAAGAATAGTCAATACTGGAGCTGGGTTTTGACAAGGCCGGCGTGGTGCCCGCTCGCACTGTGCAAGACCCCGTCTGTGCCATCTTGAAGCCATCATTTGCAGGGCGTGGCACGGCGTCGGGGTCAATAAGTCAGGATTCAGCAGCACTTACGCACGAAGCGGTTGTTCAAGCTGATCGTGTTACTCAATCGTTAATGCTGGGTTGAACGCCACGCAGCATATGTTGGACGAGGAGCAGACCTCGACCACTTCATCTGGTTATATAAGTTGTCTCACTTATACCCTTACTGAAAGTGCCAAAGGGTAGATTCGAACGCCTTGGACGCAGAGCTACTTCGCCGATTGTTTGCGAATTGTGAAAGCAGGAGATGCAAAGACCATCCATCGCTGCGTCTTTGATCCGGATACTCTGATAAGCTTCATCTGCTCACGCCCACTGTTGTCATCATCATGGAAAGCTTTGACCTGGTCATCGTAGGAGCAGGTAAGTGGACCCTTGTGTGACAACGCAAAATGGAGAAGAAGGGAAGGATCAAACCACGAGGTCTGGTTCCGGGACCATCTAATGCGCTCACAGGTTGGCATGGCCTTGCCATGGCTAAGACGTACCACGAAGTTTGTCCCGATCATACCATGCTCGTCGTCGATGCTGCGCAATCCATCGGCGGAACCTGGGCAGCGGAACGCCTATACCCTGGTCTCAAGACCAACAATATCATCGGCTCGTATGAATTCGGCGACTTCCCCATGACGCCGGAACATTTCGCTGTCCAGGCTGGGCAACATATCCCTGGCGCCGTTGTGCATGAGTACTTGTGTAGATTTGCCAAAGAGTTTGACCTCACGTCGCGAATAAGGCTGCGGACGAAGGTTGAGTCGGCTGAGATGCAAGAAGGTGGAGATTGGTTGCTTCGAGTGTGCACAATTGGCGTTGGGAGTCGTCAGATATCGACTTTGCTCGCAAGAAGGCTCGTTGTCGCCACCGGATTGACCTCCGAGCCGCATCTACCTGACTATAAGGGCAGGGAGAGCTTCACTGGTAACCTCCTCCATTCGCGCCAGCTGAAAGACCGGGCAGATGATATCCGACAGTCAAAGGAGGTCGTCGTGGTCGGAGCTAATAAATCCGCATGGGACACTTGCTACACCGCAGCAATGGCGGGAGCACATGTTAGTATGGTCATTCGGCCAGGCGGTGGGGGCCCCTCTTGGGTGTGGCCGGTCAAGCTCCCTTTTGGACTCTCCTTGCAGAAGATGGCGACGACAAGGTTCTTCACAATGTTTGACCCTTGCATCTGGAGTGAGAATAGCGGTGGCTTCGGTTGGGCTCGAAGAGTGCTGCACCGAACATGGCTTGGCCGGCAAGTCGTGAAGTGGTTTTGGAAGATGCTCGCCATTCCCGTGCTCTCAGCAAACGGCTATTCCACGCACCCTGAGTTGGCGAAGCTGAAACCTTGGAGCTCAATGTTCTGGATGGGTAACTCCCTGGGAGTACACAACTACGAGACAAATTGGTTCGAATTGGTAAAGCAAGGGAAGATCAACATCCATATCGGCGATGTGACGTCCTTGTCGGGTAACAAGGTGCTTCTCTCGAACGGCATCGTCCTTGTTGCCGACACATTTGTCTCTTGTACGGGGTGGAAGGTGGCGCCGCCGATCGAGTTCTTACCGGAAAGCATCACCGCAGAGTTGGGTATTCCGGGGTTAGGTGGCTCAGAGGATACATCCCTCCTGGAACACGCAGTGGAGGAGATCTCGGGAGCTGTCCCAGAACTGCAAGCAGGTCCGGTCAAAACATTGCCCGAGGGCTCGGCCCCCATTACTTCGACAAGGGACAGCAAAACATCCACACCGTACCGCCTGTACCGCTTCATGGTGCCGCCAACCCTGAAATATCTGGAGTTGCGAAATATAGCCTTCATTGGCGCACATTTGGCACTCAATGCCATCGCGGTCGCACAAGCACAAGCGCTATGGCTAACAGCGTTCTTCGAGGACGGGATTCCTCATCTGGAGCGTTCGAAGTTTGACGTCAACGACATCCAATATCGGACAATACTGCAGAGTGAATACTGTCGACTCAGACATCCTCCCGCCGGCGGCGGGGCGGGGGAGAGATGTCCGGACTTGGTCTTTGACGGACTGCTATACACTGATCTGCTGTTGCGAGATGTCGGACTAGAGACCTTCAGGAAGCGTGGTAGATGGCAGGAACTGTTCCACCGCTACCTTCCGAAAGATTATGCAGGAATGAGCTTCGACTTAGCGACTCATCTGCAGCGTGCCCATCGGGCTCAAAATGCTGGCGGAGCATCGTAGCAGGAGGACGTGTAAGACCTTGCATCAGCTCAAGCAGGAATACTCTCCAAAATACCGCCGCAGGTTCTGTTCCTTCTTCCGACCACTCTCGGTGCCTTGTAGGCCCCTGACACGGGCTCTTCGGTTCCAATCCCTTCTTGTTCTTGTCAGCCGGGTTCGCACAACGCTGAAATCGCTTGTCTCAAGAATGTGGACCTTTGGAGTTCTGGGGTAGAGTGCGCCATGGCACCGGCAGAAGCTGGGGCCGAAGTTAAAACATCCGATATAAGTTCCGCAGGCACAATTTCTCTCGCAATCGACCATAGGATATGGAAAACAGGGCTTCCCGTTCGCTCAGCCGTACTTAAGCCATATGCCGGTCCGTCAGTACTAAGGTGGGTGACCACTTGGGAATCCGGGCTGTCGATTGTTTTTGCTCCTTTTCCTCTCCCACTTGAATCGAGTTCGAAGAGAAAGACGTCTGCAGGTGTCTGAACCCACTCATGCTAGTACTGCAAAGAGATTGGTGATGGTATTTGTCTGGTGCCGGCATGAACTTTTTCACCTGGCTTGCATCTAGCCACTGACATTAGCGTACCGAAAAGTGCCGGGACTGCAGAGACTTGGAGAATGTGCCCACTTCCACTCCCAGGAGCGCGGTCCTGACTCTCCAGTCGAAGTACCCGGGCCTCTGGTGGGCAAATAACCACTATACATGCTTTACGAGTAACAAGCCACGATTGAACCTCACCAAAGTTCTGACCCACCGGAAGTGGATGCAGGCGTTTCCCTCGAAGATCAAGTCTCGCCACCAGATGACCAGCTGCTTTGTGGTGCCTGTATGTATAGCAACGACTTGATAAGGGCGTAACGGTGAAGATCATTGAAGTGGACTCTGATGATCATTACGAGCAGCTGCCTTACAATTAAGTGCCATTGATGTCAGCAATGCGAGGAAACCATGTGTGAACGGTCGTGACTTGATTGTAATCGGACCAAATGCGAAAACAGGCAACAAACTGCGACGGGGACCTTCTCCGCCTAGGGCGCACGTGACAGGAGGCTGTTTTGCTTGGCCTCGTGATCGTCATTTCCTGCTCTCTCCTTCTCCTCACTTTGGACTGATGACATTTTCAAATGGCTGCCTCTGAAATCTCGCTGGACAGAGACATGGATTGTTTTCGTGGTCTCAGGTTGAATTGTTCAAAAGAGCCATGGTGACGCGAGACCCGTCACCTCGTTCCGAGAGACTTCGACCCGCAAAGCTTACCGGAAATGCATTCAGAATAACGTCCACGACTGCATGCACCGATCCAACTTCCCTCGCGTACCTTTGCCCGACGCTTTCGCACGAGCCGCAGAGACACTTACCGGTCCTCATCATTGAAACCGAGCCCGAGGAGTCGAGATCCCTCAGTCCGGCGAGCAGCGGGCGCAGGCAAACCGCGGAGTTCTCCCAAGCGACCGGTAAATGTCTCTACGGCCACGGCTGCGAGAAAAGGTTGACTCTGACATGACGCGGTGGCAGCGCGAAAACTGTGCAAGAGAGGGTTTTCAAAGCACAAACGGTACCAGTCAGGAATTTCGATCGAGTAAAAAGCGAGTTTTATCGAGTAATGGCGGTACATGGCAGGGCTCGCCGACGGCCGAAAACGGGCTAGCACATCCGAGTTCCTTATCAAGGGTCCGATACCCGCGGCCAGAAAACGGTTAGGCGTGGCCCGCGCAGACACATGCGCCCTGGACCACAGCCTCCGTGGGCCTCCCTCTGTTCCCAACGATAACGGGCGCACGTCAGCACAACGCTATCCCGTCTTCCTTTCCCACCAAATCCCTCTTCCGCCGCCTCTGCTTTCCTAACTCTCTTATCGCTACTCGATAAGATCGAGTAAGAGATAGCGGCCCCATATCCTCCACGGCGCGTCGTCTGGTCTCCCTCGCCAATCGCGACGGGTGAGCATTCATGATCTGTCGGACTCCTCCGCATGTATCGCTCCACCGTCCACTATGGGACCTGCCTGGGGATCCCGATGAGATCAATCCTCCCACGCCGTGGCTATGGATGGTGTGGCTCGAAGCAAGAAGAGGCCGTTGAGTGGAGGTAGATCCTTTCTTTGGTGGCTTCTTTGTTCCATCCCGCTTCTAAACCCGCCGGAATCAACAAGTGCTGAGACACGCAGTTGACTTGCATATCGCTTATCATATTGTTGATAAGAAGTATATCTCCCGATTTCACATGCTCAGCGTCCTCACCTTTCCTGTTTGTGTTTTGCAATCCTCTCTATCCTCCGTACATCGAGCCCAGCAAGCGGCCGGGCCTCTTCTACTTACCGCAACCATGACTAGCTTTCCCAGGCCCTGGTCCTTCCACAACTACCCAACGCCTCCGAGATCCCCACCGAATGGCTTATCTGAAGATGGGTACTTCGACTCCCCGATAACCGTCATAGCCTCGTCTCGAGCTATCAGGTCAGGTCGGCTCTCCGCCGCCACTTTGGTTATATCCAACGCCACGGGCAAGATCCTTGCGACATATGATTCGATCGTTCCTGCATCCGACTTCCCTCCCCATACCCCATATACAGACTATTCCCCACATATACTGCTCCCCGGATTGGTCGACGCACACGTGCACCTCAATGAGCCTGGAAGAACAGAATGGGAAGGCTTCTATACCGGGACCCAAGCAGCGGCTTTTGGCGGCGTCACGACGGTGGTGGACATGCCATTGAATGCCATTCCTCCCACGACCACGGTAGCCAACCTACAGGAGAAGATCAAGGCGGCGCAAGGAAAATGTTGGGTCGACGTGGGCTTCTATGGAGGCATTATTCCCGGTAACGAGGCTGAGCTTAAGGCTCTCGTGAGGGAAGGTGTCAGAGGGTTCAAGGGATTCCTCATTGATAGCGGTGTGGAGGAGTTCCCTGCGGTCTCGTCGACAGATATTCAAAAGGTGTTTGCTGAACTGGCCGATGAGCCAACCACGGTCATGTTCCATGCCGAAATGATTCCGCCGATTGCAGATTCGGTCGGAGACGATGTCCAGATTTCGTTACCCCCGATGCAGCCTCATGGGCCGTTAAACGCCTACAGCACATTCCTCGAGTCGCGGCCGCCCTCGTTCGAAACTTACGCCATTGAGGAGATTTTGTCCCTAGCCCACCTGGCTCCTAACCTTGCTTTGCACATTGTGCACTTGTCGGCAATGGAAGCCATACCCCTGTTGAGGAAAGCACGAGCTCAAGGCATCAATATCACCGCGGAGACTTGCCCCCATTACTTATCCTTGGCAGCCGAACAAGTCGCTCTTGGCGACACCCGGCATAAGTGCTGCCCGCCTATCCGCAGCCAGTCAAACCAGGATCGACTTTGGGAAGAGTTAAGACAGTTCGCCGAAGAAGGCGTGATCAAGACGGTGGTGTCGGATCACTCCCCTTGCACGCCGGATCTCAAGATTTTACCTTCGCATATACCCGGGCATATCAGCCCCCCCAAGGACACGGCGAAGTCGCTACAATTAGAAGCCGATCGAGGCGACTTCTTCTCCGCATGGGGCGGCATCTCATCCGTCGGTATGGGTCTACCCATCCTGTGGACAGAAATGTCTCGCCGTGGGTTGGCGGATACGGATTCAGCCATCACCGACGTTGTGAAATGGTGCTGCACCAACACCGCCCTGCAGGTCGGTCTCGAGAAACAGAAAGGAGACCTGGCTGTGGGATTCGATGCCGACATCTGCGTCTTTGACGACACGAAGGAATGGGTCGTTGAGCCTTCAACTATGCTCTTCCGGAATAAGTGTTCCCCGTACCAGGGGAAGACGATGAAGGGGCAGGTCAAGGAGACCTGGCTGCGAGGGCGACAGGTATTTGTGCGAGACGGCAAGAACGGCGGATTCGTCGGGAGAGAATGTCGGGGAATGTTGCTATTGGAACCGAGGTTGAAAGAGTTGAAAAAGGTCAAGAGTTGGTTCCAACGTTGGGTGTATGATTTTGAGAAAGCATGAGAGACATGCGACCATATTAGATTGATATCCCACTTGAACTGAGACCATTCCGGTTTGCATTTTTCTGTTCTTTCTCCCACTTTTCTCGCACTCGCCGTCGCATTCCACCGTTGATGCCTCTACCCCATATCTCCTCCTTCTCCATCATTGTGGCCGCGTCGATTGAAACCGCTCGACCATGTGCGTCTGTCAACATCTGTTCTCCTCTATACTCCCCAATCAGGGTTTTACGCTCTGTTTTGCTCCGCTCCTTCTGTTTGCTCACCGCTACCTTCCTCAGATATGCCATGTACACAACCACTTCAGCCACACCCACCACAATGCCTGTCGCCAAGGATAGCAGAACCCGCACCCCGTCATTTGACCACCACCTCGTCAGGTGAAATACTGCCATGGCGCAAAGGACGATGCTGAGCAGGATATTGAGCACCAGCGAAGGACTTATATCGTCTTTCTCATTGTCGGACGTCAAGCCTGCAGCTTCTCGCTTCGACACCAGGCCGGCATATTCGCGCTGTTCCTGTTCCTTGCGCAGACGATCCATGAGAGCAATGTATTCTGCTGAGGGTTGGGGTTTTGGTGGTGCGGGAGGGATATAGACATGAGTGCCGCGGAGGAGGATGTCTAGCGTGGAGCTTCTTTGACCTTGAGGCTTGGAGAGCCTGCGGGAGAGGGCGATCAGTGTTTTGTGTTCAATCGGTTGCTCACAGGTTGTGGGGAGACTCGTTTCGTCGTTCGTTAGAGCTGAGATATCAGTAGATGAGAGAGAAGAGATGGCGGAAAGAATCCGCGGAGTGGTTTGGAGGAGGACCATATTTAGCGAAAGTGCTATACAGTTCAGATCTCTACAGCCCAGTGCAAAGCGAATTATGGGGTTTCAAGAGGTTGATCGGACATGGACGCAGCCTTGTCTGGAGGATCAGGCTGCAGATCGCGAACGGTGGGTGAACGACACCCCCGCTTTGGCGGTCGCGCTAAAATTTTGACGGACCATTAACAATAATAAAGAAGTGGGGAACTTTGAGTCGAGCCTCACCTCCACTTCACTTTCCTATCGATTGGGCTAGTTGACCTTGCGATCCTGCGCGATCTTCAATGCACAACCCATCGTTTGTTCGCGTTTCGGCCGCGAGCTACGCGGAGTTCGCTTCTACACATGGCATGAGACCGCCATCAGAATTCTTCGAATAAGTATGGGCAACACGCAGAGTCAAGAAGGTGACTCTGCCGAGCTTGCGACACAAGCTGGGACCGAGGACTGTGAGTACGCTCTCTCAGTTGCGGAGGATCGCATGGTAGTTGAGCTGACCGCGCCTTCAGTAGAATTTGATCTCTCCCAGATACCGGACGACCGCGATGTCTCTGAACAAAACACACCTGCCCGCGTCCAAACCGATCAACAACTCTCTGATGCTTCCACGAATGCGCTACGCCGCACCGATTCACCCAGGCCGCAGAAACCGGCGCGACGAAAAAGGCAGACCGTAGACAAGCAAGCTGGTAGGAGTAAAAGCGAGCGGAAAAGGAGGAGGTCGTCCAATAACACAAACAATGAAGCCGCAAGCGATATACTGGTTCGCGAGTCGCAACCTGCTCCAGAGTCCTTAGATCCAACTGAAGAAGATCGGCCATTAAAGGAGACAGAGCCTGAGACATACCACATCTACGCCACTTCCGACGAGAGCGATGTGGAGGATGGGGATCATCGAATGACAGGACGTGTGCCCAATGGCTTCAAAGCGGTCAACGGCCCCAGTCATTACGGCATCCCCGAACTCCAAGATGAAAGTGCTGATGAGGGCGGCAGCGACGAAGAGGATGCGGCTCAGGCGTCAGGGCACGCAATAGACCCCGACTCGGCGGTTGAGGCTCTTAATCTGCTGGCATCAGTGGCAGGAACTCAGCCTTCAGCAGCAGGACCTGCGACCCAAGCCGCCATCAAGCTTTCGAGACCGAGACAGACTAGCGAAGGCCGATATACCTGTCCCTGGTTTGACACTCATGGTTGCACTCAGACTTTCGCGCAAATGCAGGGAGCCATCAGACATGCGAAGCTCCCACACGCAACGACAACCGTGGAAGCAGTTGTCCAGGCGCCCACGACTACTCAGACAACTACTGTTGCTCAGACCCAGACTGACCAGAGTGTGGATGCTCCGCAAAAGGCCGAGATTCCTCCGCCAAAGGTCACTAGCGAAGGCCGGTATATGTGTCCCTGGGTAGACGTCTATGGATGTGACATGACTTTCGCCCAGCGGAAGGGAGCCATGAGGCATGCAAATCTCCACACGAAACAGTTTACCTGCTTCGTCTGCAACAAGGCGGTGGCCCGCCAGGATACGTTGCTCAAACACATGAAGCAGCATAATGGCATGGAGATCGCAGCGGCGACGAATGCCGATGGTGAAACGATTCAGAAAGGGAACAAACCTGGACAGCAGTCAAATAAGCTACTTGAAGAAGTCGGCGCTGAGGCTGAGGAACCGCAGCAGGACGTATCAGACGACGTCTCAGGGGAATTCGCAACGCCCGAAGTCGCATCACGCTCTGGCGAAGATGCTCAGTGGAGCAGCGTCGAGAGCGTGCCGCGAGATGTCCAGCATGTGGGCGATACTGTGATGCAAGGCATCGAGATCAATGGAGATGCTGCACGTGAAGTGTCCAACTCACCGTCCACTGAGCCATCAAGTATTTTCGATGAAGAAGACACTATCGCGAAGCAGACGCCGATCGCTGCGGGCAAGTTGAAGCGCAAGCGATCCGTGGAAGACTCTGAAGGAGTCACCCGACAGAGTCTTGAGAGAAACAGGAAACGCAAGAAGGCATCGTGGGGCACGCCACCCACCTCTATTCCATCCGTTGAACCAGTCAGACCGGAAACGCCCAAAAGTTCAGCTGTTGAAGCAGCAGCCCGAAGTCGGCAAATCACCGATAAGATCGTCCCACGCCTACAGACTAGACAAGGCAGCATGGACGATTGGGCGCAGAGGTTTACACCCGGTTCTAACCTTAAACATCCAACTCTTAACCCTACACCTCCTCGTCCGAATACGCAGCAGATCGAGGTCGTTATTCCGCAAACAAGCCAAGCTGGGCCTTCTAGGTTGAAGCAGCGGAGGATACGCGCACCGCCTTCGGACGAAGCAACGGCTGTAGGCAATGAGGACGCTGAAACTGATACCTCCACCAAATTCAGACGCAAGAAGCTTCGGAAAGCCACGTATGCGACACCGAAGGGAAAGAAGCGTGCAGAGCCCGACGTGGAATACTCGACACCGGCAAAACAGGCCACGATCAAGGAAGGCGAGGAATCTGAGGCTGACAAATCGGACAATGACGGGATGTCGCCTGTCGATATAGCTACGTCTGTCGCTAAAAGGACGTTTCCGGGAAGACAACAAGCTCCGACCGCAGATAACGATCAGGACTCGGATTTCGATGTGACTCGCGCTCCCGAATCAGATAACGAGACGACACAGGCGGAAAGACCAGCCGCACCCGCGAAGAAACCGAGAAAGAGCACTGGAACCAAGAAAATCGAGCGACCGAGCTCTGCGGATGCTGTTGAATGCGTTCGGTGCCATCGTGTTTTCGCGAGCCAGGACCAGCTCCGCAAACACCAGAAGAAACGATCAGCGCACGTCGGACTGGTCAAGTGCCACGACTGCTCCGAAGAGTTCTATGCAACTGCGGGACTCATCCGGCATGAGAAAGACACTGGTCATGGGAGAGGTAATGGCCTGCAAGGACGAGTTGGTGCTTTCAGCCAAGACGAGGTCAATAAACTCAATAAGTGGAGGGATACATTCTGCGACTACCACAATATCAGCCGGACAGAGTTCAACGATATGATGACAGGCACGCTTGAGCGAGGCAAAGGTGCCACTTGGAATTGGGCTTTTGTCAAGAGAGCGGAGTTTCTCAAGGAATACCTCAATGTGCTGCCCAACAGGAACAAGCGGTCCATGCTACGCTACCGCGAGCGGAATTTCCAGAATGTCGAGGGCATGAAAAACTGGTCGGCGGAAGATGATAAGGAACTCATTCGGTTGCAGAAAGAGCTGGGCACGAAGTGGGCGGAGATTGCTCGACGGCTCGGCAGAAATGCAGATGCGGTGAGCCAACGCTGGCGCCATAAACTGCAGTACGGTGAAGTCGAGACGGGCGAGTGGTCCCAAGCCGAGAGAGCCAAATTCCGCGAGATCCTAGAAGAGTTCTGTACTGACAAAGATGGGAACGCACTCGAACATATGCAGATCCCATGGAACAGAGTCAGCGAGAAGATGGGATCGCGGTCTGCCCAACAATGCTCGAACCATTACCGCACTTTACATTCGAAGAAGGAACGCGGTAGATGGGTCAGGGTTGACGCGTTGGAGAAGGCACCTGGTTCAAGTCGGCTCTTGAAGACCAGTAAGATGGCGCTACGGTTGAGTGGGCAGACGAGGGGCAAAAGGACTCCTAAAAAGGGCCTCTCTGAAGAATTTATCCGAGAAGATGACGAGGGAGATGATGAATCTGATCCTGCTGAGGAGGATCCCGAGGACGAGCGCACACAGAAAGACAGCCCAAATGCCCAACGACCTGGATCAGATGTTGAAGACGAGGAGGAGGACGATCCACGCTCAGGCACCGAAGATACCACCAGCCCTGCACCTGTGACTCGCAAGCGCAAGCCGCTTCCCATTAAAACGCCCAGCAAACCCATGCGATCCAGCCAGCTCTTCGAACAAACACAAACAAACACCTCCGCACTGAAGCCGTCTCAGACAAGTAGGAGGAGGAGAAGTGGTCAACCAAGTCAGGATCGACAATCTCCGAACATTCCCATCCAACGCCGACATATCAGCTCGAAGACGCCTCTGAAAGAGCCCCGCACTTCAGACAATGGACAGCTGGATGGCGACGTTGAAGACGACTCTGGGAACGGCGATGAGGATGCGCGAGGGAAGAGGGAGAGCTCCCAAGAGCTCGGCACCATCAGTGATACCGATGCTGACGAAGACGGAAACGAAAACGAAAACGAAGCCAAAGGAGATGAGGAGGTCTACGACGAGAGTCCTCCCGATGACTCTGCTGATGAACCTGATAATGAAATGGCCAGGGCTGAGCATGAAGAAGAAACTCCAGACGAAGACGACGAGGCAAGGGACGACGAGCAAGCTGTCCCATATGAGAGCGGCGGAGAGGAAGTTGCTAAGAGCGACGGCATTGCAGGAGATCTGGTAGACAACGGAGCCGAGGAAGAAGACACTGACGATTCCGTCGACACAGACGAAGCTACGCAAGACAGCAACGAAAGCGACACAGAAAGCGCGAGCGAGGACGAAAGTGTTCCAGAATCGGGAGAAGAGGACGATGCGCAAGAAGACGTCCCGGCAGCGGAAGCAGAACCGCCCACATCAAGTTTCATGGCCAGCATCAACGAGTCTGCCAAACGGGCAAATATCAAAAAGGTGCGCAGCGGCAGCCAGAACCACGGCCAGACCATGCTGGGATTTCCTACCTGGGGAAGGCATAGTAGGCGAGACATATGGCAAAGGGAGAGTGATGAGGACAGTGACTGACTGATCCTGATCTGGCAAGATTGCCAGGCTTCGCATGAGCCCCATATCCCGAACAGTTGTCCCAGTGCAGCGTCGGGTAATTCCTTAAGTCACGCTGATACGACCTATATGCTCTCCTCAGTGGCATTGCATCTCGATGCGGTCCGTGACGGACTATCAACGTTTGTAACATTACGGAGTACAGTAGATCTTTATAAAGTCTATTGCGAGCACCTGATTAGGGTGGCACGCAGTAATGAGATACCCGAGCTATAACTTCTCATTCTCAGAGTACAACCAGAGGATGTACTACAACAACGCGAAAGACGGCGCTCTCATGGTCGGTCCTCTGACGGTTGCTTGGGGCTCCACTCGACATATATTCAAAGGCTCCAAAGGGAGCACACTGTTAAGGTGTACGTAGCTCTGTCCAGTCAATACTCAAGAACATCTTCGTGTACGAGTCGAGTAAAGGGAGCATGACCTTCTTCATTGCTCCCTTGGCCAGATTGGTGTCCGTCGCCCAGTATCTTCGTGCGTACTCAAGTCGAAAAAAGTTGGTCAACGTTCGCAGCCTGAGGCTGGGACCAGGACCAGGACCAGAGGGAATCGTTCGCAACATACTAGAGTATCATCGCAATTCTGCCCGATAAGCGTCTAGGCTCATCGTGGATCAGTTCTCGTCAGTGAAATTCTCAAAGCCGTCGTTCTTGGACCACTGTCACATTTGATATCTGTTGCATAGAGCTTGAAGCCGTCAGGCGAGGTCGAGTAGTCTTTCTCATGTGAAGTAGCCCCGTCGAGACAGGAGAAGGACCCTTCACGCAATCAAAGGCGAGTATAGGTTCTCGCAGGTGAGAAGTCTATCTGGATGAGTGCAGACGAGAATCTGGTACCCCGTACGAGTTATAGTGAGAAAGGAAGTGGCTTCTGTGCGCAGGACTGCAGACGAGCCTCCATTGAGCGCGGCATAATGCAGCGCACTTCTACCTCAGAAGGCAGAAGTAGCTTGATATCTCCTGCGTTCTTCTGTATTCTTTTTCAGGTGAGCTCGATAGAGCTTGCTTGTAGATCGTTTTCTCCGAAGCCGAACTCCTCCACCAATATCCAACTCGTTGAGGCAGCGGGACTCGACCACTACCGTTAACTAAGGGAGGCGAGATGTAGAGTTATAGGTCTCTAGCCGCGTGGGCGAACTAGTCTAGACATCATCAGGAGCTTCTCGTCTCGACAATAGGTTGGGACAGAGACGTTCGATCGGGGGCTTGTGAGTTGCCCTGTGGCCGAGGAAAACGAAGAACGATGGAATTTTAGGGTCGAGTCCGAAATCCCACGGTGGTGGCGCCTCCGCGACCTGGAGAACGGACTATGTTGTTGAAGGAGAAAAATTTGAACAGTCAAAATATAGCCCGGTTCTCAGTTGTCTAGGGGTGAAAAGAAAGAGCAGAGCGAACAAGGAGGTTTGGGGCCAGGGATCGAAGTCGAGTTTATTGAAGTTGGAGATGAACGACACGAAACACGAAGAAACACGCAGTTTCACATACAAGTTCAGTCCACCTGGCCTCACTTCTCCCTCACTTCCACCTGCGCTCGAGTCACTCACAAACTTGGTCCCATACTGTGCCTGTCTGTTCTTCAGGACATTCTGGGCAGCCCTCACGTTAACTGCAGCTCCCTCGCCTCTGTCCTCGATATGCGCGACTGAAGCAGTTGGACCGTAAAGGCCCTCGCCCTCCTTTCCACGCAGCCTCGTCACAATGAGAACCTCGAACTTGCCATGGAGATGCGTTCTGCTCCCGCTTGTGCAGTTGTGCTCAGCTGTTGCTTCCACACACACATCCCCCTCGGTCAATGTTGACCTACAGGCTTCCTTTTCCGCCGGGCCTTTCTTGGTAGAGTTGCTGTATGCTCCCTTCCCCCACTCCCTGTCCAAGGGCTGACAAGCACGCAGAGAAACGGCAGCACTCGAGAATTCATCCTCCTATTTCCCCCTCCTTGACCGCATTGCCGATGGCGTCTTTACAGATCTACATTCGGAGCAAGAGCTGTACACTAAATTCCTCGATGTATTACAAGATGAGGGTCACATATCTAATCCCGAGTCGCTTTCCTCTTTCCAGTTTGCCCTCGCTCTCCATGCTGCGGCGCCCAGGGTCGAGGCTCATTTCCAATACTACAACACCTCCGTCCAACCCCATTTGATGGCCGCTCAGGATGCCGTTTGTCCTGTCTGGATCTACCTGGACGGCCAGCAATTCTGCTCCCCTGCTCTCGACCGTGCTCAGCAGGCGGTGATCATGCCAGATGCTGATGACGATCTTCCTTTCGATCGAGTCCTTGGTACATCATCTGACGGACCTGCCTCGATTCTGTACGCAGACATCACTCATCCGTTGTTTGGTCAATCCCATGGCGTTGTGAGCCAGACCGCACGACAGGGCAAATCAACATACCGGGTCCGCTACAGACCGTCGAGCCTTGAGACAAAGAAACCGATCTACGTTTCCGGGTATGGTGTCGAGTTGGTACTCAAACGTACCGACTATATCGTTATTGACGACCGTGACGCTCACAAGCCGGAGGACGCTGCCTCGAATCAGCTGTCGTTGGAAGACGCCAAGGACGACAACCTCAAAGACCTTAAACCCTTGACTACTTCCGAGGTGGTAAACCTTGGTCTGAACGCTGCCAACTTCATTGCGGCAAGTTCAGATCCCCTCGAGACTCTGCTGCAAGTTACCTCGGATTTTCCCCGGTACTCATCCCTCCTAGCTTCTGCAAACGCCAGCAAAGAATTCGTCCTAGAACATCGCGGAAATCGAGAGAGATTCTTGCCTTCAGGCTACAACGTGTTTTGGATCAACGGCGTCCAGATCGAGCCTCGCCAGATCAATGCCTACTCCCTGCTCGACCACTTAAGAAGGGAAAGGCGCATTATTGGCGAGCTCAAAGACCTCGGGTTGACCTCTTCGGAAGCCATAAGTCTCCTCTCCAGCGAAGTGATTGCTGAGGCACAGACCAACGAACTCCCACAACGGTTTGACTGGCGCGATGACTCCGAGGCCAACGAGGTCTTGATGTGGCTGAATGATCTTGAGCAAGATAAGCGATATAATGCGTGGTCCAAATCTCTACGCACTTTATTCCAGAGGACCTATCCGGGCCAACTGCCCCAGATAGCCCGTGATATCCACAACCTCGTCGTCCCCATTGACATGGGTAACATCAAGGACATCGAGCTGATTGCCACATCACTGCAAAGCTTGGTCCGAAGATCAGTGCCCTTAAGAATTGCTCTCCTCCCCACTGGTGAAGGTGAGACAGCGAACACCTACGCCAAAATTGCTTATCACATCTTGGATACATATGGTTTGACGGCTCTGATGAACTTCTTCTCCGACGTCGTCGCCTCCAAGAAGCTGGTCTCCAACCCGGAGAAAAGCTTTAATAACGCAATCAAAGGTCGTGCCGTTCGGCAAGGGAAGCACGCGCAGCCCTACCAGGTTGTCCTGGACGACGTGGGTCTTAGTTTACGGCTGCAGGCGAGAGATGACTACCTTAAGCGCTTAGCCTTGGGCGGTCCAGACCCGCCGTTCCTGATCAACGGAGTCGTCCTTCCACGGATGGACAATTGGTTCGAGCTTATGAGTGCCCGACTGTACTCGGATCTCCAGATAATCCAACAAGCCGTTATGCAAGAAGCGATCTTAGAAGAATCCTGGATACCCGAGTTTTTTCTCTTTCAGGCTGTCAAAAGCCGCAACGAGTTGGTGTTTCCCGATGATCCGAAGGATGTCAATATCGTCGATGTTGGCCTGCTATCAAGTCAATTTGCCGATGTGTTTGCTCGCCTGCCTAGAATCCTTGGCTCAGAAGCAACGTTGTTGAGTGATCGAGCTCATCTCCTTGTCATTGCCGATATCGATTCCGAACGCGGCCGAGGCTTGATTTCGGAGGCACTGTTGTTTTATCAACGATACCCGGAGATAGAGATGCTGGTACTACACAATCCGAGCGGTGAGGCGCAGAACTCCAACTATGCCAATGCTTTGCACGCACTTGTGCAGAATGGCGCCCGCGACTTGACAGTTGCACAACTTCAGCAGTTGCTCAGCGACGATCATAACACGTCGGCAGATGGCTCAAGCGAGTCTTCTGCTGATTTCTGGGCTTCTCAAGTAACGCTAGCGCGAGGTCTCGGGTTGTCAGAAGGCCAGAATGGATTGTGGCTTAATGGTCGCCTCCTTGGGCCCATTGAACAGCCTCTGACCAGTGCTGATCTAGAGTCATTGCTCGAAGTGGAACGAAGGGAAAGGATAGCTCCGGTCACAACTGCTATCACTGGACTTGCATTGGAGGACCGGTTCTCTGACGCCTTGACTCTAGCCAAAGTGAGCTCGCTTGTCGCTCGATCCCTTAAATCCGACCTCCCAGAAGGTTTGAGGGAGTCCGCACCTTTGATCAGGATGGATCGTTTCAAGATCTGGAACAGCACACACACGTCGATCAACCTATCCAACTCGGCGGACCCGACCATCCAGATTGTTGCCGTCGTCGACCCAGCTTCCGAAATTGTGCAGCAATGGGTGCCGATCCTGCAGACCCTATCGCACCTTAGTGGGGTGGGCGTCCAGATCTTCCTCAACCCCAAGGACAGACTGACCGAGTTGCCCGTCAAACGATTCATTCGCCAAGTGATCAGCGCGGAACCAAGCTTCAACGCTGATGGCTCACTCGCAATGCCCAAGGCTTCATTCGATGGTATCCCAAGAGACACACTTTTCAACCTCGGGATGATAGTCCCACCGTCGTGGTTGGTGGCACCAAAGCAATCCATTCACGATCTTGACAACATCAAGCTCAGCAGTCTCGCAGAGGGCGACAACATCGATGCCACTTATGAGCTCGAGCACATTCTTATTGAAGGGCACGCGCGTGATGTTACCAACGGCCCACCACCTCGTGGTGTACAACTGTTACTGGGGACTGAGCAGGAGCCTCATTTCACCGATACTATTGTCATGGCTAATCTAGGATACTTCCAATTCAAAGCCAACCCGGGATACTGGCAGATATCATTGAAGCCCGGCAGGTCATCAAAGATCTTTAACATCGAGAGCGTTGGACCTTACGGCTACTCCGCCAAGCCGGGCGACGAGACCACTTCGGTCGCCCTATTATCCTTCCAGGGCTTGACGCTGTTTCCTCGTCTGTCCCGCAAGCCTGGTATGGAAGAGGAAGATGTGCTGGAAGCATCCGGATTCGGTGGAGCCATGGACTACTTCAGCAAGGGCGCATCGTTTGCCTCTTCGGCACTTTCGTCGCTAGGCTTCAAAAAAGCCTCAACAAATGCTGACATCAACATATTCTCCGTCGCCTCTGGACATCTATACGAGCGGATGCTCAACATTATGATGGTGTCTGTCATGAAGCACACCAAACACAGCGTGAAGTTCTGGTTTATCGAGCAATTCCTTTCGCCTTCATTCAAGACCACGCTCCCTTCCCTGGCCGAGCATTATGGCTTCGAGTACGAGATGGTGACGTACAAATGGCCGTACTGGCTACGAGGACAAAAGGAAAAACAGCGGGAGATCTGGGGCTACAAGATCTTGTTCCTCGACGTGCTCTTCCCGCTGGACTTGGACAAAGTCATCTTCGTGGATGCCGATCAAATTGTCCGGACCGACATGATGGAGTTGAACAAGGTGGATCTGAAGGGTGCCCCGTACGGGTTCACGCCCATGTGCGACTCGCGCACGGAAATGGAAGGCTTCCGCTTCTGGAAGCAAGGATACTGGCAGACATACCTTCGAGGGAAGCCGTACCATATTTCGGCGTTGTACGTTGTCGACTTGAAACGCTTCCGCCAGCTTGCCGCGGGGGATCGACTGAGACAGCAGTATCAAGCCCTCTCGGCCGATCCGGCCAGTCTGTCGAACCTTGACCAAGATCTACCCAACCACATGCAACATAACTTGCCGATCCACAGTTTGCCTCAAGAGTGGCTGTGGTGCGAGACATGGTGCAGCGATGAATCGCTCGCCAAAGCAAAGACGATCGATCTCTGCAATAATCCGCAGACCAAGGAACCGAAATTGGATCGCGCGAGAAGACAGGTCCCCGAATGGACGGAATACGACGAAGAGATCGCTGCTGTCATTCGCGCTGCGAAGGAAAAGCAGGACACCGATGGGTCTAGAGCCGTAGTAGCGGGGCACGAAGATTTGAACGAGGCTGCCACCGATGAAGGAAGCCAGGAGAAGCCGGTCAGCGACGAGAGGATCCGGGACGAGTTATGATGTATTTTGCCATCTCCGTCTGTTGCTTGTCAGACTCTGCGAAGCTTTCGGGGATAGAAAGGATCATAGACTGTACAATATAACACAACACCACACAACACTGTCGTTCTGAAGAAGCTTTCAGGAAATAATTTCGCAAGAAACCCTGAATTGGCTCACTCCTCACTGCTCACTGTGTTTCCTGGAGTCCGGCGGTCATCGAGTTCTACAGGAATATATGAATGATGTATCGGCAAGGAAATCGTCGGCGAGGAGTGAACCTACTATAGTCACTTACTTACTGTACATTCGAACCATCGCATACAACAGTGTTGTTCTGGAGTTCTACGATGAGTCAAATATGTAGTTCTTCAGGTCGAGACACACACACACACACACACACACAGACGGAGCGAGAGAGAGAGAGAGAGAGAGAGAGAGAGAGAGAGAGAGAGAGAATGTAGAAATCCTCGGTTTTGCTCGGTTCCGACGGGGCCGAGTTAACTATTATTATTATCGTTATCATCCATTCAGTCAAATGGTCCACGTAGTCTCAGAATGTGCAGATGGATTTCAATTCTCGATATTATGTGGTGGTGTTGTAATCCACTCATTCACCCACTCACCCACTCAACCACTCACTCACTAAATCACCAACATACTCTGTACATCTCATTTTGACGCGTAGCCCATCCGCCCTCGACATCTCCCCTGATCATCGAAGTTCCAAAGTCGACTTCATTCAGGCTCCAAATATCGAGGCCCAGTCAAAGAACGAACTTTCCAGCCCAGTCGGCCAGCCCAGCTGTCTTACTCACGAATCCTCGCCGCCACCCGGTTGGTCATGTATTTCGAGATGTTGCCGATGAAAAGACAGGCAATGATGGCGCAGGCGCCGAAGCTGATGCTGGTCAACCACACGTATTTCAGGCTGTCAGCGTACGCCCAGCGACTGCCTATGGCGGCCGCGTCGATGATTTGCGCGTTCACGCCCGGCACGGACGTCAAATTCGCAGGCGCGCCCAGGTAAGTGGCCACGAACTGTTCAGCCGAGGAGAGGGGAAGGCCCGCCGCGACGGCGTATTCCCCGATATAGGCGGGCAATTTGGGCGTGAGCTTGTTGATGAAAACGTTGTAGTAGATGGCATATCCGATGGAGCCACCGACGGCGCGGATCGTGAGCGACAGGGCGACGCACGTGGCGATGCTTGTGTCGGGCGTCACTGTGACGGCCACGGTGGCGGCGGGCACGAGCACGGCTCCGACACCAAAGCCTGTCATGGTGCCGAGGCCGATGGCGAGGCCTTCGCGGTCGGGGTTTACTGTGGCGAAAGAGCCCCCGAAAGCTGTCATGATAATGCACCCTGCTAGGAGGAGTTCGCGGTTGTGGCCCTTGAACCATGAGAGGGCGGCGTTGGCAATGACTGCGCCAAAGGTGGTGGACAGTCCGGCGGCCAGGCCACGAAGGCCGACCTTGACCGGATCAGGGTCGAAGATGCTGCTGAAGGCCAGGGGGAAGAAGTTGAGCATAGCGTAGAAGTTCATGCCTGTAGACGGGATGTCAGCTCTGGTACCACTAACTCAGCGCGCCACAGCACGTCGAGGACTCATGCTCACCGGCGATGAAGGCAATCCCATACGCCATTGCGACGATTCGTTGCCCCGTGAACATTTCGTGCGGGACCATCGGATCCTTGCAGTACTTCCACTCCCAGACCACGAAGGCGGCAAGAAGAAACACGCCAACGATGAGTTGCGCGATCACATAGCCACTCGACCAGGGGTGAGAGTACCCGCCGGCTTGGAGAGCGACCAGACTGGGTGAAATCGTTAGACAAAGTCTCGTGTACGATGCGAGCAGGAAGCCTTACATAAGTGTCAAGCCCATGATTGACAGCGCTCCGCCGATGTAATCGATCCTCTTCAGAATCGCCTTGGCAGCTTGGCCCTTCGCCCGAATCTGAGATTCTGGGAAGTAGACGATAAAGATGATGACCCACCAGAGGCCATTCCAGATCCTGTCATCCTGCGTCAGCTACCGACAACCCACGGCAGGGATGCCCCTTTCACTCACAAGCAGATCCAGATGCCCCATCGCCAGGTGTGATAGGTGGACAGCAGCTGCGCGTAAAGCAAGTACGGCGCGAATGGCAAAACGAACAACGTCACCAGAGCAAGATATATTCCTCGCTTGTTGACAGGGACGAGCTCGGAGGTCCTAGTGCGGCGAGTTAGCCTCATGAGCCTCGTCGCATATGGAACACCACTAACCCAGCAAGAGCTGTCAATTCGCCGATCGCAGCCCCAGCCCCAGCGAAGCTCATTCCCACAACGCCTGCGCCAAACGAGCGGGCCGTCGCCAGGACGATGCAGCCCATCATGAGTGCCACGCCACCAGCAAGGGTAATGTTGCGTCGACCAACGAGATCCTGGAGATAGCCACAGAAGGGTGCCACTGCAGATAGGGCAAGGGCATATGACACGGAGAGCCAGGCGGATGCCTCAGATCCGCCAATATCAGCAGCGATGAAAGTAAGAGATCCGCCCACGAAATAGAGCGGTATCTGCGAACCGACGTAGAGGCCGCTGAGAGCAACCGTGGCAACGAAAGTCTTGAGCGTCCAGACCGTCTTAGTCTGGTACTCCGGCGTGTCGCTGCTTGGCTCAGAAGGGCTTGCAGTCGTCAACTCCTCTTTGACCTGTGATTTCTCGTCATAATGGGCATGCTCGCGATGCTCTGTCATCTCCTTGTCGTGGAGGAGTTCGGCATCGTGCTGCCTCTCATGCTCGAGTCGATCTGTGTTCTCTGGTGGTAGGACACTCATGGTGGGTCGTGATTCCTGCCCTGACGCTCCAAGCTGCGGATAACTGAGGCCTGGTTATGGAATTCAAATCCAGGAATGCTATGAAGGAGACAGAGACACCAGCGAAGAGGGAACCTCTGGGCCAAATATCATGCCATGTCGCGCCTCCCCGCTTCTCCGGATCGACAGTATCAGACTCTGACCGTTTGGCTGGAACACCTACCTCGGTCTCGAAGTGTTGACGAAGCTGCAACCAAAGTCTGGGGTTTCAGAAACAGGGGTCTGTATTGGACTAGAGCTAAGGGCTTATGCAGCTCGCACATGGTGTATGGTCGCTTGTGACTTGGCTCTAATGTCGCTGTTGGTCTGATTGGCGATCTGTCGTTTGTCGATGTTGAAAGAGAGGCCCCGAGTCAGTCGTTTTGACACATGCGATGCAGAAATCTGGACTCGTGCATTCGTTCGAGGCTGCGCCGTGGGCTTTCGTGGGAAAGGAGTGTGTCGCATCCCACTTACAAGCTACCCGGACTCGATGTCCACAGCAGACGGCGCGTCTCAATCGGTTGAAGAAGCCCAGCGACCGAGGAGTCTCGTTGCACCGGGCATTCTTGTGGCCAAGGGAGGCGCCGCCGCGGTCCCCCAGCCTTACTATGGTGGGCGTTTGGTCGTTCTCCAGGCCCCACTTCTTCAACCATGGACCCTCCCCCGCAATTTCCCCCTCTTCCTGAAGAGCCGCCATAAAGTAGGGTGCATGGCCACATGGGTCTCTGGGGAAGTAACCGTTGCTGTACCCTCGTGTTGAGACTTCCGTAGCGCTTGATGTTAGCCGAGCTACTTTACGTTGGAAGATCCGCGATCCCTCGGTTGATTGTTTGTTGTGCCTGGGTGCTTGGGACCATGCCTGCCAAATGTGCACATATCAAATTGCTGATTAGATGGCTATGTTGTCGTGAACGAAAGACAATACCATCGGCTAGTATCTAGAGACGGGCCCAGCCCTGTGATCGCGTGAGTAGCCGGCCGCTGGACCTGTGTCCCAGGACCGAGTAGAGAGAGACTGGAAATTGTTTCCTTTCCAAATTAGCAAAGGGGAGGCCAAGTGGTCTCCCGAGGTCCATACCGAGGTCTGCCAGATACGCAGATCGAGGAGTGGTCCAAGTGGAGGTGGAAGGCCTGGGCGGTCTGAAGCAGAGAGACCAGTACTGAGTACGTGCCGGTCCACAGCATTTTCCCATGTACCACTCCTCGTAAACGGACACGTGAGTATAAAGGTCGTCTCTCTTCGGAGCAGAGGAAAGCTCCGCCGACCGACCGGGTCCTGATACACTGTTTGACTCGTTCGTTTGTCGAGACGTTTACTAGTTCACCGGATCGTCGGAAGCCGCAACATGAAGGATCCTGCTGCTTACAGACTTGTTCACTCACCGTCTCTGTTCGTCGTTGTTAACATGACGTGGGACTCGTAGCATCCATATGCCTCTCACTCGTGTACCTCTGAACAGGCACCGCCCCGCTGAAAATGGACGGTTGTTCGCCCGACGCTATGCCGGTTCGGTGCTGCTTTCCCAATTGGGTGGGTGCGGTCGCTGGTACGAGTACACAGTACATTCTGGGTGGACGGTTCAAGGCTGAACTCGCGTACCTGATGAGTTGGTGGTCGGACCCGAGAGGCGTTGTCATTCAGGCAACATCTTTCTCCTTTGCGTAAGTGGCTAGAGGAGACCAAAGCCGGCGCTTGAGAAGCCCGTGTCTCTCACAAACTTGCTCAAATCTGGACAGACAGGGAATCTCGTGCACCGTAGATGGGTGAAAGGTTCAAACACGGGACGGGGAACAGTGTGCGGCCCACTGCTTTCGTCTGCCGTACGTTCACCATGGTGGGATATATGAGGCCCGGCAATCCCTGACAAACGTTCATGATTGTGCCACCAGGATCATAACAGAAGAGCCAGCGGACTAGCATTCAGAGAACCCTTTTTGTAAAGGGAAGCGCAACATGCCGGAACCATTTGACCTCTCCAAACCGAATCGCCCCATTCAGGTTGGAGTGATACTGTTGAACTCGTACGTGGAATGTCTGGTGCTTTGCGCATGATGATTGACACACGACACAGGGAGACCGAGGTATTGGATGTTGCCCCGATCGACCTGCTGCATTCTATGTCAAAGAAATTCGTTGCAGCCCTGGAGCCATTCTATCCGGGAGACATCGCGGCTCAAGCGTTAGACATCGAGTTCCACTGGGTCAACGAGACTGGTAAGACGGCAAAACTGACTGGAGGTATATCGCTTGTGCCGACCGTGAGTTGACTCGAGTTGGACCCTGTCGGAACGCTCATCATTCGTTCAGGACACCTTCGCGAACTGTCCACCACTCGACATCGTGCTCATGGGAGCTCATGTACAACTTGAAGGATACTCTCCGAGCCAGGCTGAGCTTGAGTTCATGCGGAAGAGCTATGATGACTGCACGGCCTTCATTACGATTTGTGGAGGGTGTCTCGCGCCTTTCCAGGCTGGCCTGTTCAAGGACAAGACGGTGACAGCGCCACGATTCATGCTCGACCAAATGCGCCAGACAGCGCCAGAGATAAATTGGGTTGACAAGCGCTGGCAGAGGGATGGCAAGCTGTGGACGAGCGGGGCATTGCTGAACGGCTTGGATCTCATGCGTGCGTTCGGCACTGAATACTGGGGTGGTGAAGGCACTCTGTTGCAGTTTGCGCTGGAATCCGGGCACTACCCACTGAGAGATGTTGGATATGCCGACGCCCCATGAAGGCTGAAGTGCGGTCGAAATCGAGGTAGAAAGATGTTGGATACGCTGACACCCCCATTGAAGGTCTAATTGTATGGTGTAAAGCGAGACGGACAGATGTTCGTCCGGTGCTGCAATGTCTTCCCGGCAGAAAGTGAGCAAGGAGTGAGAGGAAAGTGAGATCGCATATGAAGTTCAGTAGACCGACGTAGAATCACTACGTCGAGGCATAAGTGTTCGAGACGCAAGTGGATATGTAGCCAGGAAGCTTCGGGTCGGCCTTGACATCGTCGCTTACATACCGTCGTCGGAGGCGTCAGCTTCACTGCCTGATGCAAGGTGTGAGGGCCAGGCTCCTGAGCTCAGTGATTGTCCTTGTGAGAGGCGAGGAGCTGTTCGGAGAGGCATGAGTGCACATGCTCTCTGTCGCTGTCATTAAGGTCAGCAGGTGCTAAGAGGGCTTCGGGTTGAAGAAAAATCAACGTGCCTCTTGTCTTGGATGTGGACCTGGATCCGAGGGTATTGGCTTCGACGATGGGCGAATCCTCCGGCAGCGTCGACCATGATGCCTCGCTTGTGGAACACAAAGCAGCCGTGGCCCGAATTTCCAAACAGGTGACCGACTTCCACACCAACAAGGTCCCCTTCCGCATCTTTCACGGGAACACCAACTCGACTCGCTTGAGTGAGCGTCTGCGAGACGCCACAGTGGACATCTCCTCCCTCAACCACGTGCTCTCGGTCTCGCCCTCGAAGCAAACGTGTCTGGTCGAGCCGAACGTGCCCATGGACAAGTTGGTCGAAGCCACGTTGCGGCACGGTCTGGTGCCCCCTGTCGTACCCGAGTTCCCCCGAATCACGGTTGGAGGCGGCTTTGCGGGCACAGCGGGCGAGAGCAGTAGTTTCAGGCATGGCTTTTTCGACAGATCCGTGACTTGGCTGGAGGTTGTTCTTGCGGATGGTGAGGTCGTGACGGCCTCGGAGGAGGAAAGACCCGATCTGTTCCACGGCATGGCAGGCACCTTTGGCACACTCGGCGTCATCACCCTCTTCGAGATGCGCTTGTTACCTGCGAAAGAATTCGTCGAGCTGTCTTATCTGAGGGTGGGGAGCATCGAGCAGGCACAGAAAGTCATCAAGCAGGTTACAAAACAAAAGGAGACCGACTTTGTGGATGGAATCATGTTTGCTCCGGATCAAGGGGTCGTCATGTCCGGGCGGCTCGCTGATCGGAGCGGCGAAACCAAACATCTACCTGTTGTCACGTTCACCAAGGCGTGGGATCAATGGTTTTACCTGCACGCCGAGGCGAGAATGGACAGCATTATGCCGTCCTCCACATCGACACCAACATCCAAGTCTCCGTTCTCGTCTCCTCCTCGCGACTTGATCCCGTTGACGGACTATCTCTTTCGCTATGACCGCGGCGCCTTCTGGACCGGACGCTTCGCATACACATATTTCTACGTGCCCTTCATTCGCCCCGTACGCTGGTTGGCCGACTACTTCATGCACACCCGGATCATGTACCACGCCTTGCATCGTTCAGGTCTCTACCAACGCTTCATAATCCAGGACATGGCCCTGCCGAACAAGAACATGCCCGAGTTCTCCCACTGGCTCGACACGGAGTTGCCGCACGTCTATCCGAGGTGGTTGTGCCCCTTGAAGCCTGGGGAAGGCGTGAGTATGAATCCGCATCTGAGAAATGGCCCACTCGCGTCGACTGCAGAGGTAGACTCGGGTTCTGACTCTGGATCTGCTACCGCCACAGATCGTGCTGAGGGGGGCGATGAGGATGATAACCAGTTCGACAACGCTCTGCTCAACATTGGCATTTGGGGCGAAACTCCTGCCGCATACCTCCAAGTCACGATCAACCGGCTTATCGAACGCAAACTCAAATCTCTGGGTGGCATGAAATGGCTGTACGCACAGACCTTCTACACCGAAGACGAATTCTGGGACATCTACGACAAGAAATGGTACGACGCGTTGCGAATGAAATATAAAGCCACGGGCTATATACCTAGCGTGTTTGACAAAGTCAAGACACGGGATATCTTGGAAGACGTCGCAGACGAAGATGGAAAGATTGTAAAGAAGGACGTCAGATTACCTGTCGAACGCGGCCTGTGGAGCGTGTGGCCTCTAGCTGGAGTGTACGGGGTACTGAGCGCACTGAAGGGAGGCGACTACTTGAGGAAACGGTAGAGAAGACGACTTTGATAGATAGTAGACGGCTGCACATATCTGCAATATAGACTTGGAATGGACTGCCTCGTGCACGATGGTTGCATCTATCATCCAGAGCATTCCGGAGGTGAAAACAAATGCATACAAGTAGCGAGAAGTTATAAGTATAGACATATACTCCGCATGTACGGACCGAGTAAGTGGGACACGTAGGACCCACGGTCCAGCACGGAGTAGGCTGACTGGCCAGAAAATGCTTCCTCCGAGTAAAAGCGAGCGAACGGTCGGATTGATTTTGCCCCATGATCTTCCCCTTTTTTCCCGCCTTCATTCGTTCGACAAGACCCTCTCATCTCCCCAATGCGGGCCGTGATCCCACGCTCATACCCACGACTACGATTGCCGTAGATGTGTGCCCGTAGCGGCCATCTCATAAGGGCCCACACCTCCGTGCGGAAGGACGGGATCGCCCGGAACTTCGCTCTCCGGCTGTGGGCTCATGCGTCCCTGCCGTTGCAGGAAGGCCTCGATGCCGCCCACGGCTGGCGCTGGGGCCGTGTGCATAGAGCTCGGACTGCTAGCCCGCAGGGAATGTACCTCGGTGCTGGGCTGGGTTTCGTGCGTGTGCTGCCCGGGTGGGGGCATCACCGTGCCGAAGATGTCGGTAGAGGGCGAGTGTTGAGGATAAGCATGAGGGTTACCGGCGCCCATCATATGCGGGGACTGCTGCATCGGCGGTTGTCCTGCGTAGCCTTGCGGGTAGGTGGCCGGGTAGCCGCCGCCGTAGGGAGCGCCATTCGGGAGAGGATTGCCGAATGCGTCGGTGACGGGCATGGCCGTCATGGACATGTGTTTGTTCGAAGGCGACATGTAGCCGTAGTTTGCCGCGGGGGGCACGTAGGCTGGGGGGTGAGTCGGGCCCATGGCCGGCGTGGTTGGCGCGGTTGGCTGTTCATTCTTGGCCCGGCGTCTGGATCGGCGGCCACAGAAGAAGATGAGCGCCGCTACGGCGATCACGACGGCCGCACCACCTGCTTTGAGTTAGAGAGCGATAAGACGGGAGCAAGACGCGTTAAAGGCCGCCCGGAAGAAATTTGGTTGCGGCTTACCAACTGCAATCCCGGCTATGGCTCCGGTTGATAGAGTTGAATGGTGCGAATCACTTGACTCGGGCGTGGCTGTTGCCGGAGGCGCAGATACCGATGTGCTGGGCGTCGAGGAATATGTGGCGGTCAAGCTCGTGGTGTATATCGCTGTGGCTGTGGATGTGGCGGTCGTTTTGGACGGATCGTTCTCGTCCGGCCACGGCTCTCCGGGCAGCAGTGCGAAGTCAGAATCGGCCGCGTATTGTTTCTGAGTATCGAGCGAGACGCTGGCATTGGGATTGATGACCCCGACCATCTGGTAGGTGATGCATGAGTTCGGAGCACCGCAGTAGAAGAAGATGGGGTCTGAGTCGTTGATCTGAAGAGTCCATTTCGGTGGGTCGGCGAGGATGGCGTCGACGGGTTTGAAGCCAGAATAGAACCCGACCTTGCCGATACCTGCAATTCAAAACATTTAGCTCATGGGGTCGTGGACGTTCGACTGTCAAGTAGCTATAGTCTGGGAAACAAGGGGTTATTCGTCGTACCGGTCATCTCATAAGGAATACATGGATTTAGGTATTCCGCGCGAATGACCGAGTGGTTTGTGGGATAAAAGTCGAACTCTAGGACGATACTGTCAGCGATGAACCTAACTTCTGGCTGTAGAGCTGGGTATATACCAACGAAGCCGCCCACAGGAACCTGGACGACATCAGGGGCAAAGGTGTGTCCTGCTCGGCCGACCGCAATGGTGGTTGTGAAAGCCTGGGAACTTGTGCTGGTGGAAGTGCTGCTGTCTGTGATGGACGGAGTCGTAGTGCTCTCTTGTGCCAGAGCTGTAGGCAGCAAAGCTGCGAAGATGAGATACAAGAGCCTCATACTTGCAATATTGCCTCAACCGAACGACGAGGCCAGAGAGACGTGAGAGTGAAGCTGAGCAGCACGACCGGTAGTACAAGTGCAAGTGAACGACCCATCTGCCTCGAGTAGTCTTCTCCCACACATGCGATCGGGCGCTGGCAGCCTCCAGGGCTTTGACCAAGCAAAAACCTCCTCATCGTATGCGTCGAGCGGTGCATCGCGCGTGGCTAGATGCGACTGCGGCTGAGTCGATTTCATGCTAGCTACCTTCGGTCTTTCGTGGTATTGGTTTCGACGTGACTGGCTCTTCCAGCCGACCTATCTGTCAAGTCGTGCCCCGTTCGTCGTAGGGCGGTCTAGGGTATGAACCGCAATGGACCTGGAACAGACCGAATTCTGCGATGGGAGCAGCAAATACGGGCGTAAAGCCACCGTGAATGGCGAGCCCAAGGGCTTGCTTCCTTAATGCTTCGGCAAAGTCCCAATAATGCGTCCAGTGTCACGCCTGGGCTGGAAGAACACGAGGGCGGCGGCGAAATTATGTTCGCTGTAGGGTCTCGACGGGCTGCAGCAAGCGGGCCAAGCAACACAGCCCTTCCCTAGCCAATGAGCAAGCATTGGGTTGGGGCGAAACAAGACCCTAGCTTAGCGAGGCCAAGCTAACGTGCTCTTTAAGTGATGGAAATAAGAGCTTCCAAGAGTCGAGCCCTGTGGAGGAAGTGCATGAAGCTGAGTGCTAGATCGGACCGGCACTCTTGGAGACCCTGAAGAAGAGCATCACTGGCAGGTCGCAAATTGTCGGCAAAGACAGCTGAAAGGAAACAGAGATGACCCAAGACGACTAGGTTGCACAGCCTGACGCTGGCTCGCAGGCGGGAAGGCCAGCGACTGGAGCGCCAGGAATACGATTCCATGAGTCTTGCCCCGACAAGCCAAAACGCTGTGCGTCCCTGCCGATGCCCTTTGCCTGACCCAAAAGTATCAATGGCTGGTCTCTTCACTGGTCGAATGAGAGAACGCCTCGTGCACACCGGAGCGCGAATGATACTTTGGCGTAGGGCTGAACTGACCCCTGCGACCGATGCCTCTAATATGGCATGGGCGAGTCCAACCTCTCTACTGGAAAGGCCACCCTCCAATGGTGATTCTGAACAGCGACGGATCAGCCTGAATCTCGGCTTTACGGGCGATCAGCTCTTCCACGTCCCAATTAGCCCACAGAAATCTTCCTGATTTCAGAAAGTCGCCTTCCCCACTGGCTAACCATACCATGAAATTCGCCGGCAATTCTGGGTCGTCCAAGAAGTCACCCGCAGGCACACGATCAAGACCCACCATGACCTTCTCGACCATCTGGGTCTGAACCACGCCGGGGTGCACCGTGAAGACTCGTAGCTGCGGGCTTTCCTCCGCCAGGTATTCGTCGAGCTTTGCCATGGCCAATTTGGACGCAAGGTATGCCGAAGTTTTGGGGAAGTGCGAGGCAGGCAGATGACAAGACGCGGCGTTTGTGTTGATATATGCCGCATTCGGACGGCACTTGGGTAAGAAATGCTTCGCGAAATGGGTTGCAAATTTGGCGTGGATTTCGAATGCTTTCCACCAGTCGTCCTCGTCTGCACCGGCGATGGAGGTCAAATCGGGCAAGTACCTGAGTGGAAGAAGGTCAGCTTCGTAGCATTACAGCGACTCCCTAATCTGTTGACCATACCCAGCACAGTTCGCGAAGACGTCCCAAGCACCCAGTTCGACTCGGATATGGTGAGCAGCGGTACCGACGCTCTCTGCCTTGGAGATATCTGCCACCGACACCAAGACAGTCGCGCCCGGGTATGCTTGGGCAATGGTCTCCTTTGTCTTCTGAAGAGTCGACTCTGTTCGTCCTACCAAAGCAATCTTTCGAGCTCCGGCCTTTGCGAACGCCAGAGCGACGGTGGAACCAATGCTCCCATGCCCTGCTCCAGTTACTATAACGGTCTTGTTCTCAGCTGATAGTGCGGGTCTCGAGGGGTCAATGGCCGCATAGCTGGTTTTCCGATACGTCTTGGTGAAGCACGGGTACGCCATGGTATAAGGAGGGGATCCGGACGGGTTGAAGCACGACCAGTGATGCGGACAGGCGAGATGATATACTTCTCTTCGCTCTTCTCTCACATCCACGCGCACTCAAAGCTTGAACGGCGAAATGGATCATCCGAGATCCCTGATAACCCTGTCGCCGGTCGTTTAAAGAATAAGTCCACCAATTCTCCTCGGTGCCTTGGGCGCCCGATGACGAGCACGTCAGGTGCCTGCGAGCGGCTGCTAGTGGATTGGCTGTACAGTGTCAAGGTAGGTATTTAGGGCGAAGCATCCAGGTGCCTGAGGCGCCTAAAAGACACTCATCACGTTCCTCGAAGATCCCGAAGAAAATTCCCCCGCATCGGCCCGGTTATCCACGGCTATTGCACATGCCATCGTCGCAGACCATCACCTCATTCTTCCACACAACAAAACCCGCAACACATTTGACCGTACCACCACAAGAGGGAGTACAGATCCTGACACTATCGCCGTCGACACGAGCGCCGCAGCACTCAACCACAATGTCGTCGTCAAATGGGACACGCCTTAATGCTGAAGGCACACACCTCACTTCCCTCGAACTGATCGGCCAGACCCCCCTCATCCGCCTCAATAAGATCCCCCAGTCCCTCGGCATCCAAGCCACCGTGTATGCGAAATGCGAATTTTTCAACGCCGGCGGCAGCGTCAAAGACCGCATAGCGCTGCGCATGATCGAGGAAGCCGAGAAATCGGGCCGCATCAAACCGGGCGACACGCTGATCGAGCCCACCAGTGGCAACACGTAAGAGCAGCCAGACGAGCACAATATCCTGGGAGAGCACGTTTGAATCCATGCCCCACCTGAACGTGAATGTGGACGTGGTTACATGGTGCTAACAGCAAGCCTAAAATGCAGTGGAATCGGCCTTGCCCTCGTCGCGGCAGTCAAAGGCTACCGCACGATCATCACACTCCCTGAAAAGATGTCCGCCGAGAAGGTCGCTGTGCTGAAAGCCCTCAACGCAACCATCATCCGCACTCCCACCCAAGCGGCCTTTGACTCCCCGGAGTCGCACATCGGCGTCGCCAAGCGGCTGGAGAAGGAGATCCCCAATGCCCACATCCTAGACCAGTACGGCAACCCGGACAATCCGCTGGCTCACGAACTCGGGACCGCAGAGGAGATATGGAAGCAAACAGCCGGCAAGATCACCGCCGTGGTGGCTGGCGCAGGCACGGGGGGCACGATCACGGGCCTGGCGCGGGGCCTGCACAAGCACAAGGAGTCGATAAAGATCATCGCCGCCGACCCGCAGGGCTCGATCCTGGCTCTCCCTTCGCAGTTGAACGAGGAATTCGCCAACCAGCCATACAAGGTCGAGGGCATAGGCTACGACTTTATCCCAGACGTGCTGGACCAGAAGGTCGTGGACAAATGGTACAAGACGGACGATCGAGATTCGTTCCACTACGCCCGCCGGCTCATCGCCGAAGAAGGCCTCCTCGTCGGCGGGAGCAGCGGGTCCGCCCTTGCGGCGACGATCCAGGCCGCAAAGGACCTCAACCTGGGGAAGGACGACGTGATCGTCACGATCCTGCCAGACTCCATCCGGTCGTACCTGTCCAAATTCGTCGACGACGACTGGCTGGCCGCGAACAACCTCCTCCCACCGACCCCTCCCGCAGAACCACAAAAGCCCTCCTCGCCGTCGCAGTTGTCGCGCACCCCGAGCGTCAGAAAGGACGACCCCTTCCACGGCGCGCGCGTCAAGCACCTCCGCCTCAAGCCCGTCCAGACCGTCACCTCGGATTCCCCCTGCAGCGCGTCCATCGAGGTCATGCGCGAAAAGGGCTTCGACCAACTCCCCGTCCTGGCGCCCAGCCCGTCACGCAGGCTGGTCGGCCTCGTCACGCTCGGCAACCTGCTGTCGCGCATCTCGCACGGCCGCGCCACGGGCAAGAGCCCCGTCTCGGACGTCATGTTCGACTTCAGCCACATCGGCGAGGTGTCCGTGGACAAGACCGACATGTCCGACTTGATGACCACGAGCGCCGATCCCGCAAGCGAACCCGCGGCGCAGGAGAAGTTTTCGAGCGAAATGACGGACAAGGAGAACGGCGCCGCAAAGAGCAGACCCCGGGCCCAGAGCAAGAGCAAAGGCAAGAGGAAACAGTTTGTGGAGATCACCGTCGAGACGCCCCTGAGTGCGCTGAATAGGTTCTTTGAGTGGCAGAGCGCGGCCATTGTGACGGAACGGGACGACAAAGGCGCTCTCAAGCCCACGGCGGTGGTGACCAAGGTGGATCTCTTGACGTGGATGCTGAGTGAGCAAAAGATTTAATAGCGCTATGTTTGCTCCAGGAGCTCGATCACGCAGGGCAGCAGTTTTTCGTCGAGGATGACCAGATTCATTTTATGCCCATAAGAGTATTGTATTGCGATGAAACGGTGGTGCATGGGACGGCGCTATTGGTGTGGTAGGGACCATTCAACATGAGAGATGACCACCTGGCCTGCAAAGCGAGGCACTTGAACCAGAACTGGGCCACTTTAGAAGAAGCCGTTTGAGTGTACTTCTACTGGGGTATTCACGCAATAAAATTCGCGTCCGCGAGGACAAATAATTCTATGGCAGATCTGAAAGACTTACCTGTGAGTTGCGTTGCAGCACCCTGCCACGGCGTGTAGTCCGTCATCAGGACTTGAATAAGCCCGGCAGAGGCAAGCAACAAAGTAGAGCACGCAAAATCGACGTCCGAGACAATGGGGATGGGAGAGGGACCATGGCATGGTGAAACGTATCGAGGGCAATGCGAGCTGAGTTAAGATTAGTGCCGTCGCAATGTTGAGGGTTTAAGGGCGGACCGTCTGGGACGCAACGACTAGACGGCGGGAAGCGCTGAATATACGGGTAGAGTGATGTCAGCGAGATGCGAGAAAACGACGACGACGACGACGCGGACGTGGAGGACGACGCCGAACGCGGGGTGCTGCGACGAGGGAATACGCGTGCCGAACGGAAAGGGGGGTTGTTGTACATCTCGACGACGTTAGGGAACGGAAGAGGCGCGGGAATGTGCTGTCTAGCTAGGTACCGTCCGATTTTTCGTACGTATCGACGCTCCGATCGAGTACTCGTAAGCTATCGCTGATGCTTGTGGGTGACGGGGAAAGTCGTTTGCACAGGATCGATCCTGCACAGGTTCGTCCGCTCGAGACCGATCTAATTCCCATATCAAGTCAATCGCACCGTGCTTTGCTTCACCTGGATCTCTCAGGCCTGCAAGCTCCGCAGCGAAAACACCACAGTAACACTGTTAATGAAGAAGAGCCAGGAAGGAAAACCTGTTTAAAAACCATATCCACCGAACACAGCAACTTTTGGCCGCGCCCAAACTTGCAATTAGCTCTCTCGTCGCCATAGCTCAGTCGCACGATTCGGGACGGCAAATCATGGTTGTTCATTCTGCAGTGTCGAGCTCGTCGTGAGCCGGAGGAGGGGAGTCAAGGGCTGATACGGGTGTCAGCGTTTGTTTCAAAGCCGGTTGGGCCAAGCTCCTTCTGAGTCGATTTCCATCATACCTTTGCGGTCGTCACCATTTGCACCGGCATCGCGGTCATCATCCCGACGGTCTCGGTCGTCCTTCATGTCACGATCCCGATCACGGTCACGGTCGGCAGGGCTGCGGGAACGGCGGCGATCATCGTAGTCTCGGTCGCGATCTCTGCGGTCACTGCGGTCATCGCGGTCCCGGTCGCGGCGATCATCCTTCCGAGGGGAGTAGTCGCGGCGTCGAGGCGAGGGGGAGCGACCAGAGCGGCGAGGGGGGGAGCGTTCTCGACGGCCGCGGTCACGACCAGCCTCATAACGCCACGTAGCAGAGGGAGGAGTACGCGCCCACTGCGAGAGAGTGGTCAGCCATTGTGAGTATAATTGTGATAGAGCCTTTCGTACCTCGATCTTCAAGACATCATCTCTGCCAATCCGCTTGTTGTGCATCTCATGGTAGGCGTCGTCGGCATCACGTCGACTTTCGTACTCGACAAAGGCGAAGCTGTCCACGCGTCAGCTGAAGAAGTCTATTGACAAGCTGATGGTGACTTACAGTCTGCTAGAGGCGGTTCGCGGAGCAGGGATGTCGCATCTTACCAGACGACCATAGTGCTCGAACTCGTAGGCCAGGTCACGAGCACGGGTGCCATGACCAAATCCGGTGACATAGAGCGTGGTGCCAGATCGAGAAGACATGGTTGTGAAGGGGCCAGGTGGCGAAGGAAGAGTGGCTTGGTCAACGTGGTCTCAGCAGGCTAAAAACAGGTCTGATCTTAGCTGCAGAGGATGACGATGCAGGGTATGATTGGGAGAAAGCGACTCGTAATTTCTTGATAGAGAAGACGCGAGGCTGGATAGATGAATTTGTAGCAAGAAGGAGGATGAGTTGGTGAAAGGCAGCCGCCTCAACCTGTGACGCTAAACCCAACCGGGCGAGTGCGAGTCTGAGTCTGAGACTGTGACTGTGACTGGGTCACGCAGCCCGAACAAACAAGACGCTCACTGCCCCCGGTCGCTTCTACAGCTGGTTTCTTAGCCAGTCTTGACGCCTATACTCTATTCTTCACGTCCGTGAGTCGTTCTGGTTGACGAGTCTGCCCTTTGCGAGCCGCCGCTCGGACAGTCGCCTTGTCGCTTGCGCTCTCCACCTGTCCGACTTGTCCCGTATCCGTCGATTCGGATATCACCCTTTGCTGAGGCTATCTTTCCCAGTGGACGACAGCCATCCAGCTGTGAGCGACCGAGACCTTATCCTTTAACACCGGGTCCTGAGGCCATGGGTAGGAAGGGATAAAGCTCGCCATACACAGTATGCCCTCCCACAGATACCGAACATCATAGACAGAATTTTCCATGGACGCCGCAGATTCTATCAGCACCCAAAAACCGCTCGCTGTGACACCTCTATTCTTACAGCTGTATCCCTTGGCACTTGCATCACTGCCTTTGCGCAAAATACACCAAAGTCATGCGTCTCGGAGAAAAAGAACCGGTTACTGTCAATGGTAATATCGGCCAGAGCTCAGTTTCCCTTGCGGATTTACCCAGTGTCAATCAGGTCAGTATTTTGGGCCCATTGTTGGCTGGCCCTAATCTCAAGTAGGACCCAACCGCCATGTCGACAAGCGATATTCTTCTCCCAGTGCGGGAATTTCTGTCCGCGCCGTTCACAGCCGCATTCTGTGCAGGCGGTGTCGCAGGCGCCGTGTCCCGAACGGTCGTCTCCCCCCTCGAGCGGCTTAAGATCCTTTACCAGATACAAAGCGCAGGCCGCAACGAGTATAAGATGTCTATCGTCAAAGCCTTGAAGAAGATGTACACGGACGAGGGCTGGAGAGGCTTCATGAGAGGCAACGGCACAAACTGCGTACGGATAATACCATATTCAGCAGTGCAGTTTGGCGCATACAATGTCTACAAACGGTTTGCTGAACCATCGCCTGGTGCCGATCTGGACCCTCTGCGCCGGCTGATCTGCGGTGGCTTAGCTGGAATCACCTCCGTCACATTCACATACCCCCTGGACATTGTCCGGACACGCTTGTCGATTCAGTCCGCTTCATTCGCTGCGCTTGGGAAACACGAAGGAAAGTTACCAGGCATGTGGCAGACCATGGTGGCCATGTACAAGAATGAGGGTGGTGTTCTTGGCCTTTACAGAGGCATCATCCCCACAGTGGCTGGTGTGGCTCCCTACGTTGGCCTCAACTTCATGGTGTATGAATCTGTCAGGCAATACTTTACCGAGCCGGGCGAGAAGAACCCTGTTTGGTATAGAAAACTTGCCGCAGGCGCCATCTCCGGAGCCGTTGCTCAGACATGCACATATCCTTTTGATGTGCTACGGCGCCGGTTCCAGATCAACTCGATGAACGGCATGGGCTACCAATACAAGTCAATATGGGGGGCAATCACCACCATTGTCGCTCAAGAGGGATTCTTCGGTCTCTACAAAGGAATCGTGCCCAACTTGCTGAAAGTGGCTCCAAGCATGGCTAGCAGTTGGCTCAGCTTCGAGATGACCCGGGATTTCTTAGTTGGCCTGAAACCGGAACCCGACGCGGCAGAACCATTATGAGTTCCGGGAAGGCCAGCACAGAACCTTTTGTGCCAACTGAAGCACCTTTTGGGAAGTCAAAATGAGCGAGAGCTTGTGGCGAGCAATTTTCCCAACAGATCGTGAGGACTGAGGTACTCTTCCTCGGGTCTTCAATCTGTCCCTACCAGAGACAGGGAAGCCTAGGTGGTGGCTGTTGTACATTTCATGATACAATGGAGGATGGCGACATTTCCTGGAGTCAGGCAAAAACGGACTAGACAGGATGGCTGGCGGGCATTTTCAGGAGTAGCAAAGACTTGTTTCAGGCAGCTTGAGCATTGGTTCTCGCACAAGATCACCACTGAAAATTAAATCGAGTCGAGACCCGTGCCACCATGTTAAGAGTGTGAGAGCCTCAGTTGAGGATCTTTGTGAGAGGCCCCGAAGCGTTTAGCTCAAGTTGCGGGCATTAACCCGAAACGGGATAGCTCTAAATTTGAAATCTTGGCAACACTTCTGCACACACTGCGTTTTGAGCACCCACTAAATTTGAGATTGACCTCGTGAGGACGACGTCGACGCTTTCAATCCTGCACAACCTCCACAAACCGCGATTATGGGTATGCGCATCCTACGGCTAGAGCTTCTGGAGCAGCTGAACTGACATCCTCGTTCAGGTATCGACCTCGATCGCCATCACGTCAAGGCTAGCCACCGAAAGGCCCCCAAGAGCGACAATGTCTACCTGAAGCTCTTGGTGAAGCTCTACCGCTTCCTGGCCCGTACGTTTGAAAAATCGAGTTGCAAAATGTAAGGCGAATGCTAAAAGCCCGGTACAGGCCGCACCGACTCCAACTTCAACAAAGTCGTCCTCAAGCGTCTCTTCATGTCCCGCATCAACCGTCCCCCAATGTCCATCTCCCGCATCGCCAGCAAAGTCTCCACCGAAAGCGCAAAGAAAGCCTACGCCGATAAGACCATCGCTGTCATCGGTACCGTCACGGACGACAACCGCCTGCTCACCGTCCCGGAGCTACATATCGCCGCCCTGAGATTCACATCTACCGCTCGCGCGAGAATTGAGAAGGCCGGCGGCGAATGTCTGACTCTCGATCAACTGGCCATGAAACATCCGACCGGTAGCAATGTTGTGTTGTTGAGGGGTCCGAAGAACGCGAGAGAGGCGGTCAAGCATTTTGGCATGGGCCCGCATAAGCACAAGAAGCCGTACATTGAGAGCAAGGGACGGAAGTTTGAGAAGGGCAGAGGTCGCAGACGGTCCAAGGGTTTCAAGGTGTAAACATTGGGTCATGCTCGTGTTACGCTTTTACCCGGTTGGAGATGATGAGTCGAGCAGCATGTGCCGCCCAGCGGTCCCGAACATTGGCGTGAACCAGGGCCGTGCGACGGTGATGACAGTCATGGCGTCTACTGAGTGCGGTCGAGTGAGCTGAAGCCCGTGGGCGAACAGTGCACTAATCTCTCACAATCCTCCATGCGAGCTACCATGTCCTTTGGTCAAGAATTCGGACTGCATGTTGATGAGCAACGTGAAAACTTCCACCTGGAGAAGAACAATTCATATGGTCAGTCCAAAGAGGTGGTCGACCTGCTGCTGCCCCTACTGCTGCTCCTGCTGCCCCTGCTTCTGCTTGGTTTCTATACTTTTCCCTGTGTCAAGGCTCGCTGTCTCTATCAGAACACCCTGATCCTGCTATTTTTGACAGGCTCGCTGTATGTGCTTTGGAGTCCACTTCACTGCCTCACCTTTGTGGTCTCTCTACCTGTTCCTGCCTGGCCTGAGTGCTAAAATCCGCTGGCACAACGCAAAGCCGCTCTCGTTCGTCAATGGTCCCTCGCCCGCGGATGGCATCGCTCTTCGTAACGTCCACACATGCATAGCCGTACACGTGCGTAGGAAGTTCATCTCGAGCGAACTCGGCTAGTTCCAAATCGTGCACACATTTCGCACATATCAACTCACATCCCATTGGTGCGTCGGACTCCACCGCCCGATATGCCAGTCAAAAGATTCCAGATTCACGTCGACGTCTCAGTCAACATGACTCGAAGGGCGCAACGTGGAAGTACGTATTTGTCTTTTACGAAGAAGAGCCAATGAGAGCGTCGAAACCGTGACAGTCTGCATGTGTCCCAGTTGCGCTGGTGGAAAGAAACCCTGAACTCACAGACCGGCAAGAGACCAACGCAGAAACTGGTGGAAGACTAATAATAACAGATTCGGGGCAGAGAGGTAGGACCAGCATTAACCACGAGGCCCGTCATATTGGAGAAACTCCTTTGTCAGGATCTTGGACCTGCAATTTTCCAAGTGCACACACCTCCTGACAGCCGAGACTATATCAACAAGGCTTCAAGAGAGGGATCAAGGCCGCTGGAAATATCTTGTTGTACCGGATTCAACGAAGTCTTCAATTGGCACACAGCGACCACGATCCTCACAGGGACTGCACAGTCTCTGTTTCTCTCCTCGGCATTACGAACTACAGTCGACATCCACGTTGAACAAACGGCCCATCCTCCGCCAGCACTACGGAGCACCTTTCCTAACGTACTTTGGAGAGATCAAAAAATCAACCATGTCCCTGACATCCTCCTCTCCGCTGACCTGCGCCCAGTCCGCGTCTCTCGCCAGCCACACGCTGTCGATCCTCCCGCTCTCGTCCCGAAATGCCGCCCTCACAGCCATCCACACGGCGCTGCAGGAAAACAAGTCCGCCATCCTGGCCGCCAACGCCACAGACATGACCTTGGCGCACCAGGCCTCGGCAAACGGCGAACTTAGCCAGAGCGTGCTCAAGCGCCTGGACCTCTCCCGGCCAGGCAAGTACGAGGACATGTTGAAAGGGATCCTCGACGTGCGCGACCTCCCGGACCCGATAGGGAGGGTCGATCTCCGCACGAGACTCGACGACGGACTCGAGCTCGAGCGCGTCTCCTGCCCGATCGGCGTCCTGCTGATCATCTTCGAGGCGCGGCCCGAAGTCATCGCCAACATTTCGGCACTGGCGATCAAGTCCGGCAACGCGGCGATCCTGAAGGGCGGCAAGGAATCGAGCCAGTCGTTCGAGGCCATCGCGCGCGTCATCTCCCACGCGCTGGCTGGCACGGAGGTGCCGAGCGACGCGATCCAGCTCGTCAAGACGCGGGATGTCATCGACGACCTGCTGGCCCTGGACAGGTACATCGACCTGGTGATCCCGCGCGGCGGCAACGACCTGGTCCGCTATGTGAAAGAGCACACGAAGATCCCCGTGCTCGGCCACGCCGACGGCCTGTGTTCCGTGTACCTGCACAAGGACGCCGCGCAGATCAAAGACACGGCCGTCAACGTGGTGGTCGACTCCAAGTGCGACTATCCCGCGGCGTGCAACGCCACGGAAACGCTCCTCGTGCACGAATCCGTGCTGACGACCGTGTTGCCCGACGTGGCGACCGCGCTGCTCAACAAGGGCGTGAGCCTGCGGTGTGACGCGAAGTCCAAGGCCGCGTTGAACGAGACCCTCACCAAAAGCCAAGCCGCGCTGCTACAAGACGCCCGTGCCGAGGACTACGACACGGAGTTTCTGGACCTGATCATCGCGGTGAAGACGGTGCCTGGTGCGGAGCCTGGTGAGCCGCAATCCCCGCTGGCGAACGGGCATGCGTCGTCCGAAGACGCGCACGACCCCTCGCTCCTGGCCGCCATAGCACACCTCAACGCCCACTCCAGCCACCATACCGACTGCATCGTGACCGCGTCGGCGGCTGCGGCGGAGAAGTTCCTCTCGGCAGTGGATTCGGCGGGCGTGTACTGGAACGCGTCGACCCGATTTGCGGACGGCATGCGCTACGGCTTCGGCACCGAGGTCGGGATATCGACGAACAAGATCCACAGCAGGGGTCCCGTGGGACTGGAGGGTTTGACCATTTACAAGTATAAGCTGAGGGGGAAGGGGCAGGGCGCAGGGGAGTACGGGGATGGAGAAGGGAAGAGGAAGTTTATGCATGAGAAGATGGAGGTTTAGTGGGCATGGCAAGGTGTCGGAGAGGTGTCAATGCCGCAGGGCTGGAGAGTGGTAGCGCTCAGCGGAGTAGATCCTGAGGTTGTACATATATTGTTTTGTGTCCAGTGCATCATGCTCGTGGGAAGACATCCTATGCTATGGCGTTGAGGTGGCTCTGAGAAACGGAGGACTCTATTCATTCAATTGAGTCTGCCTTGCGTCTATCGGAATGTTCATGTCTCATCAGCTCGTGCCTTTCTAATAATGCGACAACTTGGTTGGGGGGAAGAAGTTTCGCTTGCTTTCTTGCCATCCCGGAGCACTCCAGATCAATCCGCCCCCATGCGAATACCCCTGGGCGCCCAGGGAGCCAAAACTTGCGCTCAACAGCAACTCGGCGACGTCAGACTTACTTCTTGATCAACAGGGACGTTCCTCCCATTTCCTCCGGTTGATCCAACCCCATGGCGGCTAGGACGGTGGGCGCAACATCTCCCAGCACGCCATCCTGCTTCTTAAGGCTCCATCCCTCTGGGGCATTCGCCATCACAAACGGCACCTTGTTGGTCGTATGCGATGTCTTGGGCTTGCCCTCTTCATTCAACATCTCCTCTGCGTTGCCGTGGTCCGCTGTCACGAACAAAACGTACCCCTCCTTTTTGCAGGTTTCGTATACGCTACCAATGGCGGCATCCGTCGCCGCACAACCTTTGATGGCTGCTTCGTATACACCAGTGTGCCCGACCATATCGGGAGGGGCGAAGTTGTTCATCAGGAACTCGTACTTGTTGTCTGATATGCGCTCGCTGAGCTTGTCTGCCACCTTTTGAGCGCTCATGGGTGGCTCGAGGTCATATGTGGCCACCTTCGGACTGGGAATGAGTTCTCGATCCTCGTTCTCAAACTGTTTCTCGACCCCGCCGTTGAAAAAGAAGGTGACGTGCGCATACTTCTCGGTCTCGGCGACGTGGCATTGCTTCACACCTTTCTTGGCCAGCCATTCGGCCATGACGTTGCCCATGTGTTGAGGTGGAAACGCCACTGGGAAGGTATAGTCGGTCTTGTATTGGGTCATGGTCGTGATCTGGATTCCTGGAGGATAGGGGAAGTCCGGTTTGGGGGATCGATCGTAGTCGCCTAGGAGTTGGGTGACTTCTCTAACTCGATCAGATCGGTAGTTGAAGAAGAATAGTGTGTCATTTTCCTTGATTCTTCTCTCATCCCCGCCCACAATGATGGGCTTGAGGAACTCGTCATTCTCGCCCTTTTCGTATCGAGCCTTGATGGTCGCGACAGGGTCCGAGGACTCTTCACCCTCACCAAGCACAATGCCCTTCATGCCTATCTCGACACGGTCCCATCTCTTGTCCCGATCCATAACGTAGTATCGACCAACCACTGTAGCTAGCTCCCCAATACCTAGTTCCTGCAGCTTGTCGAGCAGTTCTTGCATGTAGCCGGCAGCGCTCTTGGGATCGGTGTCTCGGCCGTCTCCGAAGAAGTGGATGAAGACCTTGGGCACTTTCAACTCTTTAGCAACTTGGAGAAGGGCAAATAAGTGTTTGATGTGACTGTGGACACCTCCGTCGCTGATGAGACCGAGGAGGTGCAGTCTCCCATTCCCGTCGACAGCTCTCTGGAAGGATTTGCGGATATTTTCCACCTTGTTCATCTCGCCCTTCCTGATTGTCTGGTCGATGCGCACCACATCTTGCCAGACGACTCTGCCTGCGCCAATGTTTAGATGGCCGACCTCCGAGTTTCCCATCAGGCCCTCGGGCAGACCCACAGCCAGAGAGGAAGCCTCGAGCTCGGTGTAGCCCTGAGCCGTCTTCGAGCCGTCTTTGGCAAACTCGTCCATGACCGGAGTCTCGGCAGCAGCGATGGCATCACCCTCGGGAGGGGAGCTCTCTGACGGGATTCCCCAGCCATCAATGACAACTGGAATCGGGCGGTTAGCAGTTTGATTGGGACGGAAGGTGTCGAAGTGCCGTACTCAACACTGCCTTCTGGTCTACCTTTACCATTTTGAATCACAGAAGAGGACGTTAGCTATGAGAAGCCCTATAGCGAGAGTCGACGACGGTAACAAAGGTCAGACAGTAGCAACGTAAAATTTTGACAGGGAACGATGAACTGGAAGGGAGAGGAGGGGTGTTGATTGGGTGTTTGAGCCGGGGGGGCTACAGAGCTGCAGCCGCGGGGTTGGGTACGTCACTGGCTCCCAACGCGCACCAACCACCTCCAACCCGCGTCCCAACGCTGCTTCCATCCGCCCATGGCGCCAATGGCTCTCCTCTCCAAACACGAGCGAACGCGGTGTGATCGTCTGCGTTTCGCTCTGCTCTCACAGGCTGTTGCAAGCTCAATACTTGCTTGTGTGTGCCATGGTCAGATTGACCGTGCTCTAGCTCTATCCGGGCGTGGCCATCCACTCGTCATCTCAGATCTCGGTTCCCTACTCGTAAGAGTCCACGCTCCAGTGGCATGCCTCTCGGTACCTCACCCCAAGCTCCTCACGAGGACACATAGGGTGCCGAGATCAAATCCTGGTGGCAAAGATGACTCTGGGTGAGCAATATAGAAGCTGCGCTGACAAGGTTGCCCCCAGTTTGGTTCGGCATGTGGAAGAGAGAGAGAGAGAGTCTATTGCAGCACATTCACCGTCCGTGTCGCGCATTACCAAACCCAGACACATCTCGATCTATTCCCCCCGCATGCTACCTGGATTACTCATGCAGCGCACATTCGATGAGCCGACCGCTTTCGACCTTTTATGGCTGGGACCGGTTTGGATAGAGAGTGCGGGATAGATGCAGGCCACGCCTCGCTGTTACATCTCTGCGCTCAGTGGGAAGATAGATCCGGAGCAAGGCCATTGGTTCGCCCTAGTCCTGGTCGAGGCTTCGGTGGAACCACAAACTGCGCCAGTCGTCGCTGGGCTCGTCATGCTGCGGACCCTATACCCGGAAACATTTCCCGGTACGAGCCCGGTGATGGTGGTAGGTACCACCAGTCGCCTCCAGCTTGGTGAGAGAGCCGCGCTGCCGGTTGCCACAGATCACTTAGCGGGCCGCTTGATCTTCCCTTGCATGACGCAGAAATGAATCCATTTCTCTCGAATCGCATGCTAACTTCAGCAATTTACTGCCTGATACCTGGCGTGGATCGAGCTTTTAGCGACAGACAGGTGCCGCCAGCCATGCGCTTCTAGCGCAAAGCCCACATGGGCGCTCCTTCTCCTCCTTGATAAGACGATCTTCACTCGACATTTCCGTTCAATATTTCCGTTAAACCTTCTCAAGTCGCCGTGCCTCTTTCACGTCTCTACCCGTCCGCTTGGACTATTCTACGGCGTAAGCCACGCCTCCAGACCGTTTGCAGCAATCCAAGCACAAGGAAGCCAGGCCCATGTCGACAAGAGCAGAGGGCACTGTGGGCCATGCTGGTGCATCACGTGGCCCAGGGAGCCCAGACCGGCGTCATCAGCGGCACTCCCCGCCAAAGCCGCCGTCGTCGAGAAAGGCTCTTATGACAAAACTGCGCACATCACATGCTTGTGATCGCTGCCGGCTAATGCGAACTAAGTGCTCCGGAGGCGATCGTTGTACCAAATGCATCAAAGACAACGCGGCCTGTGTTTACGGCGACCGGAAACGGGAGCGCAACAAGAAGTGCATGACTTGAGGCCGTCGTTCGACACATGTGCTGACACTCCACAGGGATCTGGCCGAAAGCCTAGACCGTATCGGCCTGTTGGAGGGCGAGAATGGCAAATTGCTGAAGGTCCTCCGTAGGTTAACAGAGCGGCCGGATTTTCGACCGGAAGAGAATGCCGACATTATGGACATCTTGGCCAAGGTATCTCCTCGTCCAACACATCCTCTCCGAGGAGGCGCGTCTTCTAACAAGGCTGAAGTACTCGGATCAAGAAGAGGACGAACCAGAAGCCGACTCGAGCAGTCAGTCGCAATCCCGTACGGCACCTTCTACTACTCAACACGCGTCATCCACTCGGGGTCCTGCGCGAGCCGGCACGGCGTCCGGTGAGAACAAAGCCGGCTCAAGCGTAGGCTCTCCCGGGAAACAAGGGGAGCTCCCACGCATAGTCTCTTTAGACAGGGGAGGAGGCGCCTCTGGCTTCGTCGGGAAGATGTCGGAGATTTCTTGGATCCAACGTGCATTCGAGACCGTCCGTGGATATCGCGATGACAATCCTGGTCGTGTCCATGCGGCAGAAATGGATGTAAACATCGCTACAACCACAGACTTTATCTATTTTATGGATGACACCAACGTCCTGGCTGTCGACGAGGACTACGTGGATCAGTACCACTGGCCCGCCAAAGAAAGCGTGGTACTCCTGTCCGAGGCTTTCTTTCACGCCATGCAAGGCGCGTTCCAGTTCGTCCTCCGAGAGCAGTTCCTGCAGCAGGCATATCAGTTTTCGGCCACGGGACAACATCTGTCATGGTCCACGAGGCGTTGGCTGGCGTTAGCCAACCTGGTGTGGGCAATCGGGTCCAAATGGTTGCAGATCACGAAGTTGAGTGAGCCAAACTCGAATGAGGACCATCTCATCTACTATGCCAGGGCTCGCGCTCTAGGTCTCGATCACAGGGTAATGTTCGACCATCCTGATATCGAACGCGTTCAAGGCATCGGCTTGCTGTCGTTCTACCTCCTCATCAATGGGTCCATCACACGGTCCGTCCCACGGTGCTTGAAACGTTGACCTTGCTGACCGTATTGATAGGGCCTGGAATACTTTGGGCCACGGCACTCGCCACGCTACGGCTTTGGGTCTCCACCTCAGAGTGACAGACGAAAGTGTCAGTGAATTGGAAAGGGCCCGGCGTGCGCGAACGTGGTACTCCCTGTATAGCCTGGAGATATTGATCGCCGAGATGACGGGGCGTCCCAAATCCATCTTCCTGCTCGACGTGACGATACCGATCGACTTATTCTGGTCGGTTCCCCAAGAGATTCTTGAATTCTCGGGACAAGTCGACGACTTCTTGTCTCCAGATGGGTCCAGAAAGATCTGGCTTGAGTACCTGCACGCCGGCCGCAATATATCCCAAATGACCGGTGGCATGGTGCCCTGGAAAAGCTTTGCCTCGGTGGGACGCGAAGTGCCCACTTCGTACTTGCCCCAACGACTGTACCTCTGCCGCCTGAGCGACAGAGTGGCCTCGCAGATGTACAGCGGCACCTCGGGAGATTCGTGGTCCGAGATACAAAACAAGATAAGCAGTCTGCAGTCCGAGCTGAGAGAGTGGGCCGAGAACCTTCCCGAAGAGCTGGCTATCCAGGGGCATAAGCATGTCGATACGGATCCGAGGACGAAGATCGAACTGGGCATGTACTACCACAGCGTAGAGATGATTCTCAACCGGCCCTGTCTGTGCGAAATCAATATCAAGGACGAATCCACCCGCTCGCAGGAGTTCAACCGCAGCGCTGCGCGAGCGTGCGTGCATGCGGCCATGTCGATGCTGGCGCTCATGCCGGACTATCCCACCGCGCATGAAGCAAATCAACTTCTTCCGTGGTGGAGTCTTCTGCATTTCGTGGCGCAAGCGACGGCGGTGTTGATGCTCGAACTCGCCCTGGATGCGCAGCACTGCCGCGATGAGATTCCGCAGTTGGCCACGTACTTGCGCAAGGCCATGGGCTACCTGTGGTGCCTGACCGAAGGGTCACTGTCGGCGTATCGGGCGTGGAGAATCTTCCGCCAGCTGTTGACCGAGGTCTCGCAGCGGTACGAGGAATTGGATTTGACGGACATTCCTACGGACGCGCAGCCTCCGCGCACTTGGAACGAAGAGTATGAAGAAGCTACGAGGAATGCCGTCTCCAGAAGCCGAAGTAGAGAATATCCGTTTCCCGCGGAAAGATAAGTCATGCCATGAGGCACCCCTAAGCCAGGAGATAGTGGACTTGGTCCTAGGATCATTGAGCTCTGCTCCCTGAGAGGCACCAGCCGGTGAAGCAAAATCTAACCCCGGACAGTTCACGCAACATCACATCAAGAAGCAGACGAAAAATGCCAGCACAGCGATTAGATACCCAGCATGAATGAATCAAGCAGCGTCGCCGGAGCCCAGCTGACACGCACATCAGACCTGGAATAGATCTCGGCCCCCGTCTAATGGTCCCCTTGAGCCACGCTCCCGCCACGTCGCCCGTTAGTTCGGGTGTGATGCGGCATTGGCACTTTCCTCCATACATACCGTCCTCATTCTCGTCCTCGTCCCTGGCATTTATGCATCGGGAGTGTGGCTGTGGGGCGGTGTGGACCATGTAAGGAAGCGTGCACCTCTTCCATACCATCATCGCGATCGCCATGGTCATCCTCCTCTTCCTCGCCCACTTCCCACTCCCGCTTGCCGTGCACAGGACGAAATCGTTGTACCTGATGCGCCAGCCGGCATGTCCGCGAGAGCGCTTGGAATTGACAGCAACGTCGGAGAGATATGCACAAAGCTGGACTCGCAATGTAACCTACGCAACGTCCGCCAGATCCAAAATGAGTCCATAGCACCCTCGGCGCCCATTCCGGTGGCAATACAACCATGGATTTACAGTCCTGACGACATTGAATTTTGTTCTCCTTCCCCAGCAATTGCTGCCTTTGATTGACCATCAAGGTCTTGAGTATCATGGCATGGCGTGGATTTTCCGCCCGTGCACCTCGATTGCTGAGAGTTGACTGAAGGTGCGCTATGGCTATGTTGACCGATACTCCAGCAGAGAGATCCAAATGGACTCGGTGTCGGAGCAGGAGTAAGAGAAGTGAAGCATCTACAAAAGTTGATTCGGTGTCGGAGCGGGGGCGAGAGAAATGTAGGATCTAACCATGATTACGGAGTACGTTCTCGCTTGAGAAGCATCTGCAGATATCCCAGGGTGATGGGCAGGTCTGCGGTGAAGGGCAAGGCCGAGCCTCGTGTATGGAGGAAGACGTACAGTGTGAGTATGAGCACAGTATGAGTGAGCACTCTCGAGTATCTATGTACTTGGTCTACCCTGCCACGCGCGCATATCCCTTGGAGACAAGGCGACAAAGCGACAGGGCGACGACAGGCCGAGTCCGCATCCTGTATCGTGGCTCGCGTGGACATGCACTCCGGTCCATCTCCATCTCCGGTCAATCCCCCCCGCGTTTTGCGGCCGCTTGTGCAGCCTCGGCTCGACTGATGCCCCGGACTGGACTCCATGTCAGGACTCCGCAATTGGGGGGGGGGGGGGGTTGTGTGTGTTGTGTCTGGAATTATATCTTTACTGTTATAGTCCCGTGCTCGCTCTGGAAGACATATAACCTTCATTCCCGATCAGGCCGATTCATGCAAAGGCAGCGGGGCCTAGACACGGCTCTCTCTATCTCGTGTCAGAGTTGACTGAAACACGCGTGAGTGAAGACGAGGGGGTGTGCAAGGCCTAAACACCAATTCACTCACCTCAGAGCACTCGGCATCACATACAGCTACCATACAGTTGTGCTGTGCGATAGCGATATCTTGCTTCTCGCCTCTAACTTCTCACCGCTCACCTTTTGTCTTTCACCTCGGCAACCTCCACCACAATGCCCTACCTCGATCGAAACGGCGTGAAAATATACTACCAAGTTCACGATAGAGGCAACGACAGCGACAGGGACAGCAATGCGGCCCCCCTCCTCCTCCTCACCCACGGCTTCTCGTCCACCTCGGCCATGTGGGCGGCCCAGATCCCCGCCCTGTCCCGCCATTTCACGCTCGTAACATGGGACATGCGCGGGCACGGCCACTCCGACTACCCCGCCGACCCGGCCGCGTATTCCGAGTCCCACACCGTAGAAGACATGGCCGCGATCTTGGACGCCGCGGCAGGCGGAGGGTCGCCCTCCAGCTCCCACACCCACGCCCCAGCTATCGTGGGCGGCCTCTCCCTCGGCGGCTACATGAGCCTCGCGTTCTACCGGACGTACCCGGCGCGCGTGGCCGCCTTACTCATCATCGACACGGGGCCCGGGTTCCGCAACGACGACGCCCGGCGCAAGTGGAACGACACGGCCGAGCAGACCGCCCGGTCGTTCGAGGTGCGTGGATTGTCCGTCCTCGGCGGCATGAGTGCCGAGCGCGCGGGCGTCGCGCATCTGCATAGGGATGCGACGGGCCTGGCGCGCGCCGCGAGGGGCATGCTCGCCCAGCGCGACGCGCGGGTGATTGCGTCGTTGGGCGACGTGAAGGTGCCGAGCTTGGTTGTCGTCGGAGCGGAGGATACGCCGTTCTTGGCGGCGAGCGAGTATATGGCCAGGAAGATTCCGGGGGCGAGAAAGGTCGTCGTCCCGAAGGCCGGGCATGCGGTTAATATTGATAATCCCGATGGGTTTATGGAGGCTGTGATGCCCTTTTTGGACGAGGTCAGGCGAGAGGGAGGAGGAGCAGGAGGAGGTGATAGGGCGAAGTTGTGATCGTCCATTCAGTATTCGAGCTTTGAAGAAGCATTCATTATTCGGGCTGTTCGGGAATTAAAATACTGGTTGTCCTACTGTAGATAGGTAGGTACATGTCGATTTTTGGGACATTCAGGCGAGAAAGACTCTTTCGCTGCACTTTCTTCTCGACGGAGCTACGGACAGTGCATAGCCGTCTATGTTGGGCATCTGACGAGGTATGTACACAGTAAGCCTGAGGACCATTGACAGAGGGTCAAGATGCGGCTTGTGATACGACTCGAGATCCATCTCGTGGACCGGCCGGAGAGCCAATTCGTGAACTGGCTTCGGGTCCATCTCGTACACGGCTCCAGATCGGCGCAATGCGCCAAATGGAACTTGGACAATCACCATGGAATTAGGGGATAGTTCTTGTCTTCATCTGTCTGACCTCCTCCTAGGGGTCTCGCCGGGCGGTAGCAACACGGCACTTCATCACTGACCAGCCAATTCCATAGTTCCAGCGCGCGCGGACTGTCCTCTTTGTGTCCAACAACACGGACACCTATTTCGCCTCTGTAATCTTCAAGCGTCAGCCTCGAATCGTAACCGTCCTGGGGCCCCAGTCCGATTCTCCAGCAAATTCCCCCAAGGGTCCCGCACTCCTCGCGTCTGAGGCATCCCGAAGACGGCGGTGATCCGGTGGAGAAGAAGTTGCGAAGAGATAAGGTCCGCAATCGCGATGAATCTAAGGTTGACGAGCTCCTCGTAAGGCTGGTTCTGGCGCACGTCGATAGGTGCTCCTGGCACGGAGCCGGCCACAATATCAAAGTCGTGCCACTCGAGAAGGTATCCACCACGTCTGGGAATACATAGTGGTGGATGTTGTCGATAGGCATGAAGATCCACGAAATGCCATTCCGAACGAAAAGATTCTTGACGGACATAAGGATCGGTAACCTCATCGCCGCTGTCGTTGCTACGCCCGGCATCGAGATTGCGCTGCTCGTCCTGGGTGCTACCTGTCGTAACCGTGTCGAGGTCTTGGTTGCCATCATCTGCAGCGCCGCCGTATGCTTCCTCTTTGCCTCTGATCTTGACATCCTCTGGATGGCCAGGGAAAACAATAGCGATCGGCAACAGGGAGCCGTTGCTGCGCTATCTTATCTTCCCGTTCTATTGTCCGTGTGCGGAGGAGCTCGCGCCATAGGTAAGGAAGGAAGACTTGTCGCTATTCTTCACTGAAATCGAGGAGAATCTGGCCACCATTTGGGTCTTTTTCGAGTTCGTCAAGTGTCTTTGCGGCGCTGATCTGCTGCAGGCCTTTGACGGACGACGGCTTGGGACCGGTGGTGTCTTTTATTGTCGCGCGGTTGTCCATCTTCAGAGGAGCATCGAGGACTTGCAGCTGACGTGGTCGATGTGTTGGAAGTCTCTGTCTCTGACATTAGAGCACATTCTTTGGATGGGCAGACTTGTTTCATATCGAAGAAAGATGTGCAATAATCTTCACTTACCGGACACAATTGATTCAGTCAGCAGTCGACTTCACGAAGCTCGAGCAGGGGAAGCACTTGAGGGTGGATGGGGGTGGAGGGCAGATGATGTGGTGAGAAAACGAGTGGTAGGTTGGGATGAGACCAGGGAGCCAGCTTTCGATAGGTACGCATGGGACTCTGTGTGGCGAGATGTCCTCACCTCAGATCGCGATAGTCGAACATGTTCCCAATGATAAAGAGAGCAGCAGCAGTGTACCGTTCTCGCGCATTCCTTCACTGCCTTGCTGGACCACACAGCAGTCTTCCGCATCAGCCCCGGAAGGTGAAAAGCCTTGCAGGTGAGGAAAAAGTCACCTCTTGGGAGTTCACTCAGTCAAACTTAATCACAAGTACACAAATGAAAACCCAATCCTCGAAATACCCAATGAGTGATTCTTCTGGTGTTGTCCCTGCCGTGGAGGCGCGGTTCAGCTGAGAGAAACTACGCCAGTTAGACCACAGATCAATGCATTTGCCATATATCCGGGCCTTTGTATCCTGCTTCCCGAGCCGATACGCCGTCCCTACCGGAGGGTTCCTCGTACTCCTTTATTCAAAAGGCGTAACGGTCACTGTGCGACCGCGAATGGGTGAACATATGGTGAGGATCCAGTAGATCTGGAATCTCCCGGAGATAAGCAAAGGCCCGTGGGTGTCACTCCTCGAGCTTGAGAATCCTCACTTCTGGGAGTGCAGAACGAGGCGCCTGAATTGACTAATTCCTCATGTGAATTCATTCATTTTGTTGTTGACCAGGATTAAAGCCTCGAGCGGTCCGGCCGTTGCGCAGATTGATCTAGGCCGCCAGGATCATGAGGAAATGAGACAGCCTACAGCCTCCAGATCATCAAAATGTAAGCAGGAGCTCTCCTATCAAAGCGAGAGCTCCTGTGGTGGTTCGAGCCACAGGCAGGAAAGAAAAGGGAGAGGACGGAGTGAGCAAGATCCGTAGCGCGTAGCTTTCAATGCTATCACGTGACTGTAATACCCCACACAATCACGGCAAGTTAGCCGGGCCCTGGATCTTGCCTCCCATATTCACTGCAGACACCAAGTGCTTCGAGTGCCTCCTTTGACCAACAGGCTAATTATGTACTTACTCCCCAGGTTTAACTCTCACAGAAGGTAACTGCAGCAAACTTGACCTGGAAGCCTTTGAATTTTCAGACGGCCCGCCGTCGAGGAAGAAAGCCCCGGTGGAGGACCTTCTCGAACCTGCCCTCTCAGCTACAAATGTGCCTGCCGGCAGGTCGACTCTTCGTTTATTCCCTACGGCCTCTCCAACTTCAATGACGACGACTTGCCCTGGGATCTCGCGTATTCCGAGGCTGTTTTTCTAGCACCTCCATCCGCACTCTTTCCGCCACCACGATGAAGTCGACGTATTCCGTGAATGCGCTCAAGCGCTGGTCTTGCAAGAGCAAGAATTTACCCAGTGACACCTCGACGATCAAAAACATCCACGTGTACGATTTTGACAACACGCTCTTCTGCAGCCCTCTGCCCAATCCGCTAGTATGGCATTACCAGACGATCGGCCTCCTGCAGACATATGAGACACTCGCCTTCGGGGGATGGTGGCATGATAATAGCATTCTCGCTGCAACAGGCGAGGGACTTGAAAAGGAAGAACTGCGGGCATGGGAAGGTCATTGGAATGAGACGGTGCGCGAACTCGTTGAGCTGAGCATTGCCTCCAAAGATACCATTACCGTTCTACTCACGGGGCGAGGCGAGACCAATTTCGCAGACCTCGTGAACAGAATATGCAACTCGCGCAAACTCGACTTTGACTTGGTCGCCCTCAAACCCGAAGTCGGCCCTTCAGGGCAGCGGTTTGACAGCACCATGAGCTTCAAACAAGAGTTTCTGAAGGAACTGGTCTTCACCTATCAGTCCGCCGACGAGATCAGAATCTACGAGGATAGGCCCAAACATGTCAAAGCGTTCAAGGAATTTTTCGAACGTCTGAACAAGTCTTTTCTCTCTCACAGAGTCGACGAGCCACCGCCTCCTCGGAAACCCATCAATGCCGAAGTCATCCATGTCTGCGAGTTGAAGTCTCTTCTCAACCCAGATACGGAGATTGAAGTGGTCCAACGGGCGATCGCTCGACACAACGAAGCAATCTCCTCGGGAGCCCCTACCATGACCAAGACCCTGCGCAAGCACTTGAAGATTGACGAGCACTTTAGCTATTTCGGCTACATGATCAATCAAACCGATTCTGCCCGCCTCCTCACTCTGTTTCAAATTCGACCCGATCTCATTGACAACGGCGAAGTCCGGCTCCTCGCCTCCAGCATTCTCATCTGCCCCTTCTACCCTCGGAATGACATCCTGAAGAAAGTGGGTGGGCGTGGCCACAAGGTCACCTGGCAAGTCACCGGCATTGCCAAACATGGGGACAGCATCTGGGCTGCTCGAGTGGCACCTGTTAACGAGACGAAGATTTACACACAAGATCCCACCCCAGTCGTTGTACTTGCGATCCGAAAAGGCGCCAGACAGATCGACGCAAACAAGATAACGCAATGGCAAGATGTTCCTCCTGACAAGGCATTCATGTTCGTCACCACAGTGGCTGACAAGGTCATGTTGAAGATCGAAGACGATCACTCCTACCAGCAACACCACCGTGGCGGCCGTAAACCCTTCCGGGCGAACGACGGCAACACCAGTCATAAGCGGAAATTTGATGACTCCAACTTTAAGAATAAGGAGTCCTATGCCAGGGGGGCCGCGGGCGGAAGCGATCGAGATGAACATGTTCAAAGAGGAGGCAGATTTGCACAGCGCAATGCACAAAGCAAGGCGAACTTCAACAATCGCAACAACCCTAACATTGCCGGAAATCGAGCCAACAACCAAGGTGCGAATGCCAACGCCAGACAACGGGGTCCAGCTTCAGGTGCAGGGGGGTCTAACAGAGGCGGTAGGGGTGGCGGTGGTGCTGCCGGCGGAGGTGGCAACCGCGGACCTCCAGCATACAAAAGCCTCGATGACTATCCTCCAGGCAATTTCGATGGCGCTAATGACTCCAAAACCGGGACTGCAGAAATGGTCATGAACTACTAGCAGCGGTTCGACGTGAGTCTTATGGACTATTGATGGATGGTAGTTTTCGAGACATGGGTTGAGCGGAGCCATGATCGTCAACTACGTGTAGCAATGAGTGTACTGGGCTTATCATGGCGCATCATACGGACATGGATGTGCGCATCGATCAACCCACAATAATGATTGGGCAGCAAGGCGTTCACGGGGCTGCACAATCATGCATGGAGTTCAACGCAGGTGTACTATGACCGTGTGTTGGCAACTTCAGTTTGCCTTTGAGGAGAAGCCGTTTTCAAGTGTTGACATACCATCACTGTCATGATACAGGCAACTCATGCGAGCCACGGAACCAGGCGAAGTGCAGGGTTTGAAATGCATCACCATTCAGGCTGGTAGAATAGAACCAAGTGGCTTTTGTCTACCAAGGAATGTACATTACCGACGAGCTGATCAGCATGTACTTACTAGAGTGAATACGATAATGAAAGAGGAGCAGTGTTTTCCGTTGTATTGCTTTAATCTTTCCGTGTGTACATGGTACTTTTCAAGTTGTCGACTTTTTGTTCCCATCAATCCGCCGTGTATGTCAGACTGCAATGATGTACTCCGTAGTAGTGGTGGCTTTTCCTAGACCATCCTTGCCCTCCACAGTGTGAGGAGCCCTATGTACCCATTCTATCTATCCCTTGTATCCAAGATCCGTTGCCTTTGCCGTTGCCGTTACCATTGCCGCGTTATTCGCTTCACTAAATGCATGGCTGACTTGCCGTCCAATTGCTTCGCGCAGACTAGAGTAGATCCCCGCATTGCCATGCTTGATGCCCTTTGTTGCGTTTGATCAATCGATTTATTGTTGATGGACTTGCCGCGCGCGAGAATAGTCATCTTCGCCGCCGGGACGATAGCGTGCGATTGTTGTGATAAAATGTGGTGATGTGGTGTGATGGAAGATTCCAACGACCCGTCGACCGTGATGCAATGTGCCGTGATGGTGCATGCAATGACCTTTCGAACTGCGAGTGGGTGAGTGTGAGTGTGTGATTTGAGTCCTCGCGACGACGGGGATGGAAGAAGACCGCAGCGCTCTGTCCGTGCTGACCGCCAGCCCAGATGGGGGATTTGTGCCGCTGTGTGTGCTTGGTGAGGATGCAACCAAGATATACCTTGCGAGGTGTAGTGGAGCCAGCGAGTGGTGATTCTGGGCCGGTGCCGGCGACTTTGCTGGTAATGCTTGCCCAAGGTAAAGGCGCGTATCCTTGAGAGGTCGACACTCAGGCACTTCCCGGCCAGCCGTGCTTGCTTTTGTGCATGTCCGTTGTGCAAGCTGACCGTCAAGGTCAACATCGTGGCTGACGGTCCTCTCGGGTCCCTAGAGTCACGGGAGGTCGTGTTTCCCAAAAAGATCCCCGAGCTCTTAATTACTGCTTCAGACGGCACGTTAGAAGCCATCTCCCACATGCCACTCCCTCCCGCAGTCCCTCGCCCTGGTCTGCGGATCATAGCCCCTCCGTACGGCCAACTCTCGCAAATCGTCCAACTGCTTCCCCATCTCCGCACTCTGGTGTCTCAGTTTCTTATACTGCTCGCTGCCCCACGAAGCCTCGCCCTTGTCCCACAACTTGACCAGTTTCTGGTCCAGGAGCTCCTTCTGCCTCAGCAGGTTCAACCACGCCTTCAGCCCTTCGTCCCCGCCCTCGAAGCAGATGCCGTACCCGTCGCAGTAGCATTTATGCTGCGAGGGGCAGAACGTGAACCGGCCCGAAAAGATGTACTGCCACGAGTACTCCATGACGCGGCCGGAGGTCTTGTCGTCCAGGGGCGTGTGCAGCAGCCAGTCGCGGTAGTGGACGTAGTCTGCACGGGCGCGCTGGCGGATGCGCCGCCCACTGACGGCGAACTGAGCACAGCAGGGTTGCGAGAGACTGTCCGGGATAGGGACGTCCTCGCCAAACAGGTCGTGGAACAGTTGTGACGTGAGCGCCGGTTCCTCGGGTTTGTGGTGGAGGTCGTACTTCCACCGCGATTGGTCCACGTGCAGCCAGTCCGGGCATCCGGGGTCCAGGTGGCAGCGCGTGTTGAAGTAGCCCTGTCGCACGACGTGGGCGTCCGAGAGGAGCTTGATGGTCGTGGCCGACGAGACGTCCAGCAGCACGTTGTTGTGCCAGGTGATTTTGTGCGGGTGGAAGAAGAGCACCACGTCCGGCAGTGAGTCGTAGTGGTCGATGATGTACGTCAGGTAGACCATGGCCTCGTGGCCCTTGTTGGCGGGCAGGCCGGACCGGTCGGGCCCGTCGACCGTGTAGATCTTCTTGGGCAGGTCGGGCAGGTCGACGTCCAGCCAGGAGACGTCCTCCTTGGAGAGCCGGCCCATTACCAGCACGCGCGTGTAGTTCGCCCCGGCTGGCTTGGCCGTGCCGGGCGTGAAGAACCGAGGATCATAGAGTGATGAGGCGTCATTCTCGCCGTACAGGTATGGTCTCTCGGGAGAGAAAGGGAGGAAGTGTGAGAGTAGATATATCAATGTCAGGGCTCCGAGGGCCAGAGACAGTACGGACGTCCGTCGGAGTAATAACATGGTCGAAAATGATATAGGTCGGGATAGTATAGATATCAAATCGAACTCATTTCCAGGATCAGTATCATTACCATTACCGGGGTTTCATGCTTTCAGGCAGTGTGGGTGTACGAGTACACCTCCGAGGCGTGCCAGGCTGAAGAATGCGACTCAAAACGGGCGGAGTCCGAAGTCCGCACCGCGGTCGCAGAGTCCCGAGATATAACTTCTGAGAAAGTGAGAATTATCGTATGCAAACAGATGGATGTCACTGACGATCAAAATGCGAGGAAGACTGCCAAACAAGTAACGGTAAGAATGGGAACGAGGAATGTGAATGGGAACCTGTTCCTTCGTTGTGTGCTGTAACATAAAAGGGATGATCACTTGCTTGCTGACGAATGGGACAAAGTAACAGTGTTGCTGTTTGTCTCAGCTGTGGATACGACAAGCATGCGTCGTCTGTATTTCAGCCCCGTGCCAATGTCGCACCCTGGCCGTTGTCTCTCGTAGCTAATTACTGCTGCTGCTGCTGCTGCTGCTTGGGGCCAGGATGCGAGCTCGAGAAATTGCTGGTCGTGGATAGGGAGTAGGTATGTAGGAGTTGTGTACGGAGTACAAAGGTAAATCTCTTGGCTGATGTACGCAGCTTGGAGACTACTCGTGCACTGCATCCCGAGTACGGAGTACATGGGGATGCTTCAGAGGCACTGACCTTGGACCTCTGAAGTTGGCTCGGACGTCCGCTGAAGCTGGCTTGTGAGATGTCCTCCAGCGGACACAGATCCATCTAGCTGATCACAATGAGAGGAGTTGCGCCGTCGCTAATGCTCAAGATCTATCTGTAGTATGGTACATGCAGAGGTTGTCGGGTCTGCAATATTGCCGTCCCTTCTCCTGTTCGTACACTCGTCAATCACATCGCCCGTCCTTCCAGCCATCTTTCCATCTCTCCTTCCAGAGACTGCAATCAAACTCGGGCTTTCCCAGCTTGACATTGACTGCATTGTGCGCTCGACATGCCCACATGCCCAGTTCATCCTGGCCTTTGACCTTGGGCTCGTTCCCAGGCTGGATCAACCAGTCTTGAAAATCCTCCGCGCAGACATAACACGGGTAGAGCCTGGAGAACGCGGAGATGAACTGTTTCATGATGGATTGTGTCTCGGGCGGTGCGACTTCAGGGTACGTGGCAGCCATGCTGTGCAGGAGCGTCCAGGTGGAGCGGCCGAGTTCTTCGACGTCGGGAGGACAGTCTGATCGCGGAGCAACCAGCGCGGCGGCGGCGGCGGCGGCGGCCTTGGGCTTCTTGCCACTGGACTTCATCATGGCAAGCCATGCGGCGGACGAGGTACACGTGCGACATCTGGACTTGTATAAGTGCGCCGTTTCTCGACCGTGCCGGGGCATCGACTTACGGCTTCCCGTCCTTGTCCAGAACAACTCCCGGGGCGACTTTCTGCTGCGGAGTGTCTTCGTTGCTTGAACGGGACTCCTGGGAGCCAGATGCCTTACCAGATGGGAATGGAAACGACATCTGCTTCGGAGACTCCAATCTCTCACGCACCTTCCCTCTGCGACCACGGCGTCTTTGACAATAGTGAAGGAGATTACGTACTGGGGAGTCCTCCTTGCAAATTAAAGGCGCAGCCTTGTGAATGCCGAAATATCCGACGCATCAGCACGTGACGCGTCATGCAAGGCACCATTGCACCAGTCGCGTAAGTTTCCGCTTACGTACTGAGCGCCATTAGCGCCTTCACGTGTCTGCTCTGTTTATGCGGGGAACCTCGACAGTCACAACACCGAACCGAATCATTGATCGACTGCGCCGGTGCGACACCCATTCACGCGTCTCTCGTTTCTTGTGCCAGCTGCCGTTCCTCACGGTCTGGACTCGGCATGTCTTCGTCTGAGACTGAATTGTCGGAAGTGTCCAAAACTCCCACACCGCCCCATCATGAACTCGAGAACTCTCTACGGCGCGCAGTCATCAAGGCGCAGAAAGATGAAGTTGACTTCTCTTACAAGTATATACGCACAGCCGCGGAAGGGGAGTTAGGGTTGACGCCCGGTTTCTTCAAGAGCCACGAGAAGTGGAATCAACTGAGCAAACAGGTCATTGAGGAGCAGATGGTACCTAGTGCACCGTTGACACACGAGCATGTGCACGCGGTTGACCGAGATTAGGAAGCCGGACCAGAGTCTCACAGCCCTCCTCCGAAGCCCAAGGCTGCAGAATCAAGAAATAAACCGGCAAAGCGCAAATCTGCCGAGAGAGAACCTGCGCCGAAGAAGAGGCAGAAGATCACGAAGCAAGCCGTTGACCCGGATGGCTCTGAAGATTTGTCGTCACCTCCAAGCGGCCTTGCTTCAGAATTTGAGGAGGGAGAAGACGAGCAGCCCAAGAAGAAGCAACGAAACGCTCCAGCGAAGGCTCGCGCGACTAAGTCGAAGCCTGTGAAGGGCAGGAATATCAAGGCTGCAATATCCGAGGACGAGGAAGACGACAAGGAGGAGGACGAAAATGGTGCTACCAAAGCGGATTCACCTGAAGCTGCAGTAGAGACCAGACCGGCTGGCAAACCGGCTGATGCCGACGCCTCGGACAGCGAGCTGTCAGTGCTCATAGACGAGAAACCTCCGCCCAAGAAGCGCAAACAGAAAGACTCATCCGGCTCGAAACCCAACAAGACCACGACCAAATCCTCCACAAAGGCTAAACCTGAGGCAGAAGATCCCGACCAAGCCGAGATCAAGCGCCTCCAAGGCTGGCTGGTGAAATGCGGCATCCGGAAGCTCTGGGGCAAAGAGCTCAAACCCTACGAAACTCCCAAAGCCAAGATCAAGCACCTGAAAAGTATGCTCGCCGACGTTGGCATGACTGGTCGATATTCCCTTGAAAAGGCCAACCAGATCAAGGAGGCGAGAGAACTGGCAGCCGATATCGAAGCGGTGCAAGAGGGTGCAGAACGATGGGGAGCTGTAGAGGACGAGGATGGTGGTCGAGGTGAGAAAGACGTCGACTCCAGGCCACAACCCGGTGCGAGGAGGTTGGTCCGAGGCGCGCGGAACTACGACTTTCTAAGCAGTGATGGCGAAGAGACCGACTGATCGTGGTGGATGGCCAGGAGGGCCGATTGATTTGAGTTGGACGGTGTCTCTTGAACCTCGGGACGTGGTAATTTTCGGTGTTGTGTAGACATGAACTTGTTCGAGTGGCGTGTATGAGTGCCATCAGCATTGACATTGTACGATATCGCCATGGCAACAAGAAGCTGTGCTTCACTTGATAGCTTTGTTCCCGCTCATGCGTTGCGCAACGAGGCTGAAGACAGCGACGGATGAAATGAACAGAACTAGATTGTAGAACTGCGGATATAAGGCATCAGTTGACCTGAACTTGATGTCGGAAGACCATCAGGGATCGAGAGAAGGGAGTCTTACGGCGTTTCGAGAGTATTCGTTCTCTTCAGCTTCTGTTCGCGCCTCGACAAAGAGGCGGCGGAGGTTGGGAAGAGCCATCTTTTGGAATATGGCGATAGTAGTGGAGGAGGAGTATCTCCTCGAAGGGTGATAGAACGCGACTACGGCATAAAGAGCTTCAGAAGCAATGCTCGAATTTGGAGCGTGGTCGATGATGTCTTATGCTCCGCCGAAAATTCTACCAGCTCGGTAAAGTACTTCCCCGTAGTGGAGGAGCTCTACAGAAACTCAGCTCCCGATGAAGTATCCATCATAGAATTTTCTGACTCGAGCACAAGTTTGCACCCTTTTCACCTGGGTTGCATTGTATTATTGTGGACTGCCAAGATGCTACCGAGTACGAAGCTGAGATTTTAGCGACTCGCTCAACGCTAGTACTCCGCGGAAGGACGACGGACTCAAAATGTATATTCATCGAATTCCCGGGAGAACACACCCTCTGCCATGAGGCCAGCGGTGATTATATCATCAGCCTCACCATCAGGCGCCCTGTCCTGAGATGGAAGGCCGGTCACAAATCCATTACGAGCACCACCGAACTTCGGCGCTGGCTCATGCTGAACGACTGTGTGGAAGCTATTTGCGAACGAGAAGCAGGCAGTTGTGGCTCCAAGAAACCCTTCGCGATGCGGCTCAACACGTCCCGGCAGGTCTACATGACGGATACCTCTTCGCTACTGTCCTCGCGGAAGCCAGCGCAGCATTAGCTTCTCGAGTGGATGGCCCTCTTTGTTTACTTCCCTTGCTTACTTTCTAGGCCAGAAAACTGCCATTGGTCGAGCTCACTTGCGAAAATCCAAGGATGGCTCAGCCTCACCAACTTCTCGCACGCCCTGTCATTGACTCGCCCTACCTGTCCATCGCCTTAGTGCTTCCATGCAATATTGACATACAGCATCGTCACTCATTGGCTTTTGCTATATGTGATCAGCCTGAGCTTCGAATCGTGTTCCAGAACAGGCAACATGTGGGCCCCAGTTGCTCGCAGTACTACCGCAAATGGGCATAGAGCTGCATATCAACTCCGGGTCCTGTGTAGTTTAGGGCAACTTAGACGTCTCTACGGGCCTACCATCTGGCATGCCTTATGGAGTTGATCGCATCAATATACATGTTGAGCCTAACCAGCCGTATTCGCACAGGAAGGTGTGTGTTGGCTGACATGCAAGGCCCTTTACCTGCCTAGGACGGCGCGCCTACTTCGACCACGGCATATAAGTACATGCAACGGCTTACGATGGTACCTTCAGTCGCAGGACGTTATTCCTCAGTTCAGGCATCCCTCGGAAACTATGGATGGGCATCCGCTTGCTTCGATTCCTCCTCTTACACTCCAAGAGGATGTCAACCGCCATGATATCAACCCAGGCGACATCGTCTCCAACTGGCTTGCGGCCCTAGACAAGCGACCCCAGAATGGCCTGTCCACTGATCTTCCAGATCTGTTTATTGAGGACTCCTGGTGGCGTGACTTTGTCGGCCTGTCATGGGATATTGCGACAAAGCACGGCCTTGGTTCTATTGGAGAATACCTCAATACCTCGACCACAGGCTTTGGCAATCTGGAAGTCACCAAGGCTGGTGGTCTGCAGCCGGCTCTGGTCGATATGCATGGCATGATCTGGGTTCAAGGCGGCTTCACGTTCAAGACAAGAGACGGTTCCGGTCAAGGCCTTGTTCGGCTGATCAACGTCAGCAAGACCCAATGGAAAGCCTGGACCGTGTTCACACAACTGGAGAGACTCAACAGCCAGGATGAGATCGATAGACAGAGGCTGAGGCAAGATTACACGCAGACCCGACTCTCGAATGGTGTCAATGGAGGGAAGGAGGAACCTCAAGTTTTGATCATTGGCGCAGGTATGTCTTGATAGCCATTCAACTGCATACGCTCAGAACTGTGTATTAGGTCAAGCGGGCCTGACTCTCGCTGCACAACTTAAACACATGGGCGTCAAGGCTCTTCTCGTCGACAGACTCCCTCGCCTAGGCGACTTCTGGCGGTCTCGCTATGAGACGGTCCGTACCCACACCCCCATCTACACCGACCATTACCCGTTTCTGAAGTTCCCAACAACCTGGCCCCGCTGGCTTGAGCGAGACAAGATCGCCGACTGGATGGAGCACTACGGCCAAATCATGGGCCTCGACTACATTCTCAGTACGACCGTCCAGAGCATCGACTATGATGAAACCTCGCGTGTATATACCGTAGAGGTGGAAAACGCGGACGGGAAGCACACTTTCCGGCCCCGTCACCTGGTTCTCGCCACTGGTGTGTTCGCCAACACACCGATCATACCCGAAATTCCCGGCAAAGAGACGTTCGGAGGCGAAGTCTACCACTCCATGCACCACAAAGGGGCACGTCACGTCGGCCCTTCCCTGTCTCAAAAACGCATCGTCATCGTCGGCAGCGGCACCTCGGCCCACGACATTGCGCAAGACTTTGTCAACAGTGGGGCCCAAGCCGTGTCCATCGTCCAGCGCCATGCTATCTTCTCGCTTTCCGCCAAAGCGGCCGAGGACGCATATTTCTCACTCTGGACGCAGCCGGGCGTCAGCACTGAAGAGGCTGATATCATTGCCAACTCGTTCCCCACTGCCGTGGTCCGAACGCTCAATATTGGCCAGACGGCCATGATGGAGGAGCACGACAAGGACCTCCTCGAGGGTCTGGAGAGGATGGGCATGCAAATCAAGAAAAGCAAGAAGGCGGGGTATGGGTTCATTGATCACTTGATAGTCAGAACGGGACACTTCTACGTCGACCAAGGCGCGAGTCCCATGATCGTGGACGGCCGCATCAAGATCCATCACTGCGAGGAGGGAGTCAAGGAGTTCGTGCCCGACGGTGTCGTGCTGGGTGACGGAAAGCAGGTGGACGCCGATATCGTGGTCCTGGCGACGGGATACCACCGGAATGTCCTGACCGTCAAAGAACTTATGGGTGACAAGGTCGCTGACGTGGTTGGCGATCTCGGATACATGGACAGCGAGCAGGAGAGGATCGGCGTAAGTTGCGGGCACATTTCACTTCTTCTCCCTATGCGTCTGTTTGTACTCCGACGAGTGCGCACTTTCTGACCGAGACTACAGTGGTGGCGACCGACTGGATGGCCGGGCTTGTGGTACATGACAGGCAGCTTCGTCTGGTGCCGACAGTACTCGCCGGTCCTTGCTTTGCAGATCACGGCCCTCGAGCAGGGACTCAATCCGGAGTATTGGGAGCAAAAGAAGAGGAACAACAAGGGGTTAGGAACAATCCCGCGTTGAGGTTGATTGAGATCGATCGTAATATGAGTTGAGATTGAGATGCACGTTGCATTCACTGTCGCCAGGAGGGAGAGTACGAAGTACATAGGCGTACTGTACTTCGCCACTTAGGCAGTCTTATTCACTTACAATAATATCGATACGGCACATCGCTCTCGGACCTGCAGCAGTGGGAGCGCCACGAAAACAAAGTTCCAACTAACCCATAATCAATCTCGTTGCACCGTCTGTATGCGACGAGTCCAAGCAATCTACATGTCGAAGGTCGGGTCGGACAAGATATGTTCGCTGTTTAGTAACTGCTGATGTCCTTGATGGGCTATGCACGTATGCTCTCCATATCATTGAGACTGACTTTCATTCAATGACCTTACACCCACCCTTTCTCCATTCATGGAATCCTCTCGTCCAGCGAGCCGGAGGTCCAACGCGCCGTACTTGTCGAGGAAGGACCCGATGTTCTGCGCACGCTACTGATGCCGGTTTGCCTTTCTGCCATCAGACAGACGGGCGGACGAGAACAGCCTGCGTAGAGACGCCTCGAAAACGTCATTCGCCTCGCCTCGCAGTAGCAGTAGCAGTGTATCCATGTACACTATAGATTTCACCTCAGAAGTAAATCCATATTCGCTACGGATTCCGCAGTAACAGTGAACCCTATACACTATACTGTAAGTATACTGTAGGGAGGAGTACGAGGTATGGCGCTCCAGAGAAGAGGACTTCTCGATCTCCTACCGCTGAAAAGCAGCCAAATGCTGCACATTCTCCTGATCGACATTGCCAATCGTCCCCCTGAAGCCCCCCTTTTCCTTGACACTCGCGATCTCAGCACCCGCGCCGTTGTTCGCGGTAGTGACCTCCGTCTTGCCCACGACGGTCAGGAGGACTTTGTTGACATCCACGCTCTGTGCACCACCACCGCTGCCACACGACGCCCTCCACGCGACGTGGTCGTCCGGTCTGACCAGCACGGCGTCCCGCTCCCAGATGGACCTCACGTGCGGCTCGTCGGGGAGATGGACCCCCTTGAACGGAATCGCCAACTTCGTGGCGTGCGGCTCAAACGCGGCGATATACTCCGCCCCGGGCGTGAAGTCGACGAGCGTATATTGGGGCCCCTGCCCGAAGAGGTCGAAGACGCTGGTTTCGCCGTCCTTGAGGAACACGTGCGGCGCCCGCGCCCCGGGCCACGTCGAGGGGATATACGACTTATAATTCCAGGGCGGTTCCTGTGTGCGGTCGTGTTCGTGGTCCGGCACGACGACGCCCGAGCCCGTGTAGCGGTACCCGAGCTCGATGCCGTGGTCCTGGTTCTCGCCGTCGTGCTCTTGCAAGTGGCGCGTGATCTGTCCGCGGACGTCGTCCCCGCGGGCGGTCTTGGACCTGACGGCGTCGCCCGTCTGGGCTACCAGGTCTTTGTAGACTGAATGCACCTCCCAGTGCACGCCGGAGCGTTCGATGTTCCGTGCCGCGACGGGCCGTCGCTCGGTCTCGTACGACCGCAGCAGCGAGGCGCCCCCATGACCCGCCAGCACGGCGGCCAGCTTCCACCCGATGTCGAAGCTGTCCCCGACCGCCGTGTTCATGCCGTACCCGCCCGTCGGGATGTTCTGGTGCGCGGCGTCGCCCGAGAGAAACACCCGGCCCCCGTCCGAGATGTACCGCTCCGCGATGCAGATGTTGGGCCTCCAACTGCTGGTCACGAGGACCTCGTCGATGGCGATGTGGCAGGGGGGGCCCGACCCGCCGAGCACGCGGTACACGGCCTCCCGGGGATCGAGCGTCGACGTGTCAAAGTCCAGCGGCAGCGGCGTGTGCGCCGTCCACGTGTCGACCTCGTCCTGCGAAATGATGACGTGCCCGCTCGTGAAGAAGATGTGCCAGAACTGGCCTTGGCGGTGCAGTGCCGACAGGTCGCGCGACTTGAAATGCACGAGGTAGAGTTTGGCCGGGCTGTGAGCGAGCAAGAGGACTTTTGTTAGCAAAGACGATCCCAATACAGTGATCTTTCCCCCCGGTCGCCGTACTTGTAGCACAAACGTCGGGACGGTACGAGGGCGGACTCACACAGGACCCCCGATCAGATCCACCCCGATGGCCCTGCGCACGCGGCTGCCTCCCCCGTCACATCCGACCACATACTGGGCTTTGACGCGGTGTGTCTCCCCGGTCACAGTGTCGGTGAGTTCGCACTCCACGCTGTCGGCCGTCTCGGCGAGCGATTCGAACTTCATCCCAAAGTACGAGTCGATGAGCGGTTCGTTCTGGATCCGCGGTTTGAGCCACGCCTCGAAAATCGCCTGCGAACACCGCTGGTACGGCTCCCTCGGCATCGACCCGTCGTTGGTTGCTTTGATATGCGTGCGCCACCAGTCGGGAGAGGGAAGGTCCTGATGGAGTCAGCAGGTGGTTATATAAAATGAGCGGGCGAGACCACGCAAGCAGGACACAACCGTGCATTGTACATTGCACACGCCCTGTTCTGCTCTGGCCTGCTCTGCTCGGCAAACCGCAACTCGACGTACCCATTTCATCATGAGCTCTCCTCCCTCCGACAGGCCCGTACTGAAATTGACATTGAACGAATAATGCTGCGGGACACCTAGGGGTCGTCGAGAAATGCACAATGAGCCCTTCTCTCCTCTGGGCGATAATCTCAGTGCGGTCGTCGTGTCACCGATCTTCAAGGCCTCCCGTACGCGGCACAGACCTTCACGCACTGGCGTTACGTACCTACTTCCCGCAGCCCGTGATCAATCTTCAACCGCTTGAGCAGCTCCATGCTCCGACAGTTGGTAATGTCCATTTTGGGCCATTTCGTCGTGTCGAGGTTGCGTTCGACGAGCATGCATCGCGTGCCATGCTCGGCCAGTTGGAGGGCAGCGATCAGCCCGGCAGGACCGGCCCCAACGATCAGCACGGGCGTTTCGTGGTGGTGGATGGTCTGAACCTGAGGCCCGAAGTGTCAGTAGGGTCAGTCGACTGAGTCGATCGTGAGAGAGTGGGTGATGGATGTGTGGATTTGTCTCGCCTGGACAGACCAAAGCCACTTGACTCTGAATTTCACTCACCATGTTGGAACCAAGGAGACTTCAGAGTTCACAGACCACGGCGTTGCGACTGCAAGAACGATCGTCGTACGATGTGTCGAGCGCAAAGGCAGATGGTCGGAGCGAAGCATTTTAATTGATGTACGTGTGATAAGGCACCCCCTCCACCTCTATACGACACCACACAGTACGACATGCCGGGGGAGTTTAAAGAGCGAGGCGCTCCACTAAGCGGTACGAGTACCATTGTGGTGATCCACAGTTCGTACTCCGTGGTCAGCTTCGCTTTGAAGTACAGTAATGAGCACATCAGGCGGAATTGAGGCTAGATCACCAAGCAAGCCACCTAGCTAACGGTCGCAGCTCCGCAACTTGGTATACCGCTACTCCGCTAGTATCTCGTGTATGCATCTATCGGCCGATGACCCCGTGTACTCTCGGTGCGGTGAAAGGGTTCGGTGATGATGATTATGATACCATGTGAGCGCTACCCCCGGTGGTCCCACTTCTGTGTTTGACCTCGTCAGGGCGGTGTCCTGAAAGGCCGTGCCTGGCCGCTAGACTGTCTCCGCGAAAGGGACACGTGGGGAGAAATGTCCTTGTACGAGGTATTGCTGACATGCTCGACATCGTCGTACGCCCCTTGCATATGGAGGCCTTACAGGATGTCAGAGTAGCAAATGGAAAGAGGTTACTGTAGGAGCGGAAGCGGGAGAAGAACTCGATGCCATTGACAGATACATCTACATGTTGAAAGTATCGTAGGAATACGTGCTAACGACTGTGTTCAAGTTTGATCCCCTGCGACCAGCGCCGCGACGTCTGACTCAAGCAGCCACCGCCGGCAAATCATACTGGGCCGGCGTTGCCTCCAGCGCATCTGGCGGCACGGGCAGCTCTTTGCCTGCATCCTCGATCTTCCCAGACATGAAGGCTAGAGGGATATTGGGACCCCAGATATGTAGAGAGTCTGGTGCGGCGGGCTCTCTGCCAAACGGGGTGTCCTCGTTGACCTGGTCACTGTCGGAATAATGCTCCACGATATTCCCGGAGCCGTCGAACCTAGCAAGCAGACAGATCTCAGCAAAATGTCCGGACGACATGGCTGAAGCGGCGAACTTACCAGTAGTCAAAGATCTGACTTCCGAGGACGTGTCGGCCAATGCCCCAGCAGTTGGTCCATCCTTTAGATCGGAGCCAGTCGTGGCCGAGCGTCTGCGTGTCGAAATCATTCACTTCGTAGCTCGAGTGATGGATGAATGGTGGTCGTCCTTCGGGGCCGGCAGCCACGAAGAAGCTCTGTGCATTGTATTACTCAGCGGGCCCCGCAGACCGGCATCTGACTTACGTGGTGATCTGTATACTGCTGTCCGAGATCGATGTGACAGAAACATGTCTCGTCTTTTCCAGTGGCGGGATTGTACACCGCGTCCGTGGGTTTGATGTTGATTAGACTCTTGTAGAAGGAGAGCGTGCTCTCGAATTTGCTGGCGGGGACAATGAACCCATAATGGCCGAGCTTGTGGATGGCCGATGGCCCAGTCTTGAAGCGTCGAAACGTCCCTTTTCTGGGCTTCTCAAGTGCGAGGTTTGGGATGGGATCGGTCTTCTCCAAAGGTGGTGCCGGCCCGTCGCTCTCTCTGAGCTTCTGGCCAAAGATGAAGCCGACAGGAAAGCCGTTAGGATCCTCGAGAGTGACGACCTTTCCACCGCCTGGGGCCTCGCTATCTTGCACCGCGGAGGCAGTCGGATGAGCCGCCGCTGCTTCCAAATCTGCTAGGGTATCAACGACCCAGTATGCCCCTTTGAAGTGTCGCTTCGCATCTGGCGATTTCTCCGCAACATATATGTATGGTTGAGTACCATATCCGCGGAGGTAGACTCGTTCAGGCGTACGATGCGCTTCCACAAAGCCGAAATCAAAGAGAAAGGACAATGCCCGTTCCAAGTCCGGATGCTGGTACACCACATGCGCAAGCCGAACAACCCGAACCTGCTTTATCGCCATGTTTTGGTACTGGTGAAGTATTTAAGAGGACTTGTCGGCGTACAAGGCTCGAGGACGTGGTTCTGGCCGCTCGTTATAAGGTTGAGGTTTACCTTCACTGGGGTAATGCGAAGCTCTGGGCACGGAATTTTGACCAGGACAGCCATATAAGATCAGCTCGACACGGTTTGAGGAGCCCGGGGACTCCCTTTCGGTTCCGCTGTTGATTTCGCAGCGGGATGCCGAGCCTGGATCCTACAGGATCCCACAGGTCCCGGAACGGTCAAAGACGGTGTCACACGAAGGCCGACCACGTGACACGGACATTCATGGGCTGCATGTCGAGTACCAGGCCGTGACTCGTCAGGAGCATGCTCATATGCACATGTGCACATACCAGTCAGGCTTTTGTCATGCCGCTTAAAAGGCTTTTCGAAGTTGAGGTAAGTCGTCCAACCTGGCTCAGGTAGGCATATAGCCCAAGTCACCTTTGTAGCCACCGAAGAAATCCGAAAATCCAAAACCAATCTCATTGCTGCCATCGTAGAATTCCTGCGGAAGTTGTGGGAAGTTCTGAGGGTCAAACATCGAGGCATCGTACTCCGTGACATCCGGATGAGTAGACACGTTGACCGATGCCGAGTAGTCCTCCTGCAGTGGTGGTGGCTGTTGCTGGGGAACTTCGGGTGGACCTGAGTACGATGCGCGGTCGCTGAGAATCGAGCCGTTTCTATCCCGCTTATTGAGGTCAGGCGGAGTATTGCCACTCAGACGTGGCATGCGGAAGAAGACCGCGTATCGTTTTGCTAGTTGCCTCTCTTCGGCATTCAAGGTGCCTCCTCTCTCGACCATCCTAGCTAGTTCTAAGATATCGTTAGCATAATCTTAGCTCACTTAGATGGTCATACCTGAGACAACTGATCCCAGCTTCCACCTCTCACTGAAATGTGCCAGAACAAGCTTGCCTAGATCGTGGCTCGAGGCAATGAGGGGTTGGGTCTTCAAAATATCGCCGTCGACATAATATGGCGGGAGCATCATGCAGGTGAAGAAGGGATGCGCGACGGCTATATACCTCGAGTCCCAGAGGCTGATAATCCTTGACAAGTCAATTGCACGTTGCCGGAGTGGCGACGATAGCCCTGCTCCGACACTCGACACACTGCGGTCATCGGGCTCAGCAGTTGAAATCCCAGAGACCATGAATGTTGCGGCCATCAACATGAGGTGTGCCCCGATAACCCAATTGCAGCGGGCAAACGTCGCGGGCGTGAATGTCAGTGTCTCCGCGTCGAGACGCAACGAGGCGGGAAGCGCCAGCTTGAAACAGCATATTTCGTTCTCCAAGGTCAACTTCTCGTCTGGGGATATATCTTGCTTCTGCTGCAAACGGTCGTGAACGGTGGCCATGAAGTGGTTGGCGACGAGGAACCATGCCCTTTCGTCTTGGTTGTTGCAGTCCTGGAGCGACCTCCATGATTGACCGGGAAGCATGTTAAGTTGCGCGGACGGGACATCCACTCCAGCAAACCACGCCTCATCGGAGATGGGCAATGCAACCGCCATTCTCTTTCGATCAATGGAATATGGATTCCGGGAGACCGTCGAGGCAAAGGTATCGAGCTCCCATACGGCCCACCAGGCACGCCTCATTTCTTCCTTTTCAACATGCCCAATCGGCGCAGGCGGGCTCCAGTCCTCGTCGTCCACTTCCGAGAGACCCAGGTCATATGCTAGCCTCACGCAGACACCAATAAGAATCCAGCCCTGGTGGGTGGGGCCCGACGTGTAGAAGTCTAGGAGACGTTAAAGCTAGTCCTGTGGTAGCATAATCTGGAAAAACCAAGGTGTAGAGAAGGAGAAAGGAGAGGAACGGGGTCTACCAGGCGCGTACATGGCCTTCGCAACACATAAGTTGGAGGAATGGAGGGACTTACAGTTTGCGAGCAGGATGCAGCCTTGCAAGTAGGTCAAGGACGGATTCCGCAGTGATCGAGCTTGAGAGTAGAACTCTCTTGCTCGATGGGCAAATTCATATCCTCGTTTGTTCGGCGGCACGCCGGCAAATCGTGGGTGGGTAGAAAATCTGGCGGACATGGCAAACATGCTGTAGAACAGAAGCGATTCATCCACCGGCAAGCCCTGCATGACATCCCCATCGACCAGTAACTGGCTTTCGTACTTGGCTTGGAAATGGGGTCTATGGAGGATTGGCACCCATGGCTGCACTTTATCGAAGAATAGGTTGAGCAAATCAATGGCGACCGAGCAAGTTATCGTGCTTTCAGAAGCACTGGTCATCGTCGGCGTCGGTAGTTTCGTACTCGGCTCGGTCGAGCTCCGGGGTGGCACCTGCTGGTATTCTTGCTCGTTTGCTTCATGACTTTCGTCTTCGGCGTCATCTGCATCTGACGCGGCGCTCTGGTTTTGCTGATCCGTTGCTTGGTCGCGATTATCTGCACTTTGCTGATCAGTCTCCTTGATCTCGGCAAGAAGGCCTTTGAGAGAATCCCGCAGCAGCGTCTGGGGGATCTCGCGTCGGCCGTCCTGGCCGTCCGAGCTCTCTCCAGCTCGAGAGGCCGCTTCGAGCACCTGCACCAGTCTCGAGATGCTGTCGCTGATTTTCCGCGATTGGGCCTTGAGTTGCGGCTTGCGCTGAGTCGGCTTCTTCCTTTTCGAAGGAAACGTGCAAGAGTTGCCGGTCCGTAAGCAGAGCCCGCAGACCGGGCGACGCATGTCACATTTGGTTTTCTTGCGGTTGCACTCCTGGCACGCCCGTCGCGGCTCGAGTAGCTGAGGATGCGCCTCTTCCCCTGCCATGCTGGGCGTCATATGAGCTCAGCAGCCCAGCGGCCGAGATGCAGAATCATTGAAGTTGACAAATCGTGGTGTTTTCCGCTCGACAAACCGGTGAGAGGTGAGTGAATGATGATTGACTCTGCCCACTGAATCTCACTGGCGCAGGCCTTGCCTGTTGCGGATGGATCGGAGGCGGGGGAAGTCTGAAGCCTAACGTCCGAGTGAGACTCCAGGGAATCAGCAGGACACAGTCGAGGGTTGAGCTTTTCAACCTGGATTTCCAGGTCATTGCTGACGAAACTCAGCGCTGACTAAAACATGCACAATGGTCACGTTGTGTCTAGTCGGAAGAATCCCGGCGAGAGGTGAAAGTGCTATGAGGGCGTGAGTAGCTCGCCATAGCGGTGCGGTGGAGCATATCATGCGGCGGTGCATTTGGTCGCGACTAATCAAGGCACAAGTGAGTGAATGAATGATTGATGCCTCGATTGCCTTGATCTTGTCAAACACCGAGCCATCTTGTTGCCAAGCGCCGCAGTGACCCGCATCTCGACACTCACTACAGCCTCACAGTATCTTTCTGTTGGGGAGACCAGCCTCGTGCAAACTGGAGATCACGCTTCTTACCCATATTACTCCATACCCGACTCATCAAGACCAAGGAGCGACCCCACGGCCCAAGACTCTTGGAGAAGGGGGGCACGTAGACTTTCCGACGCCCCAGCGCTAGGAAATTCCTCGACTTGGCTCGTCGCAAGTTGGCCGAGGTGTTTGGTGGAAGAATATCTGGCTGGACACAATGCGAACTAGTCCGTGGGACTTGATTTCCTAGCTCGTACTGTGTACAGCAGACTGGAGGATGTCAACGGGGGATGAAGACGGACTCCTGCTATTGTCAAGAGGCTAACCGAGAAGGAGCAGTGGCTCCCTCCCCAGGCACCGAGACACTGCACCGCCTTTCCTGAACGGACCAGTCGAGCTTGTGCCAGGCGAGGAGCCGCTTCTGCCACCCCGACTTTTGCCAACCCCTTCTGTTCTTGTAGGCGCGACCAACGAGTTCACCACTGCATCCCGCGGGCTCAACTGGCGGCCCAGCAGGGGAACTTAGCGCATCAGACGCTGGCTGAATCGGTGTGCACTGACTCCTGAACTGCGCGTTCCGAGGTCGTTCACTTAGCATCAGTTTACGATAATGGCCGGGTAGCACCAGTCCGTGGCTAGCTGATGGTATCGCGAGGCGCTGATCTGCCCCGGTCACTGACAATGATGGCCTGCAAAGTGCACCTCAGATTGCTCCAGGCGACTAATCTAGCAAGTGGTCAGAGCCGCTTATGCTGACTGCAGGCTCAGGGTCGCAATATCAGGTCGCCATGCGAGGCTCGCCAACGCTGCAGTAGATCTTCTCACGGAGGATACCAATCACACATACTCTGGACCCTGGTAATTAGAAAGAACTCCTGTCCAGAACAAGGCGGATTACTCCGGCCCATCAGCCCTCGCTTATCCCGGACGCGACCTCCAACATCTATGTCAAGGATCTTGCTCTTTATCTCGTTAAACTCTTTTCGGCGCAGTCTGTCGCACACTTGGGCCCTGGACGGGATGACCCAGGTGCGTGGCACGTGGGGCTTCGGAAGCCAGCTCACTGCCCGGTTTGGCTCTGCGATAAGCCCACACAACCCTCGAGTACCAAGCCCGAGTCTCGACCCGTTAGCTCGAATACCAAGGATGGAAGTCAAACAATGATACTGCAGCGGACCCACCCACTGCTTGATGCTGGCAGCCGTCTTTCCCCTTCAAATGTACGGAGTACACAGAGTCCATATATACTCTGGTTAACTCCACGATCCTCCCTCCATTGTGGAGTAAGTTTGCCTGCTGGAAGAAGTTCGTACACCGCCATGGGGACAAGTATGATCTACGCCCGTCTTCAAGTGATAGAGACCGTCGCCGACAAGGCTACCACCCCTTTAGTCAGCGGCAACGGCGATTCTTCTGGTCCTTATCGCGCACCGTTCCGTATCAATGGGCGACTCAGTGTTCTCGACGATTCGATCATTCGTCATGCGTTTGACACCGTGCAGCTGTGCCTGAGAGGTATGTGAAGACGCCACTGGTCTCTTATGGAGAGGAGAACTTACACACCCCACCGACAGGGATCATCACGTCCAGCATCGGGTATAGAAGGGTCCTCGAAGACGTGATCACCTTGACCGATATAAAGACACCTTCGCAGTTCAAGCCGACATGTCCCACCAGTCCAGATGACAGTCAACGCGGTCGGCACGTGGACTTCTATTTCGAATTGCCCACCAGTACATCGGCCAGCGACGGCACATATCGTCCGATCCCCCTGTCCGGGACATTCAAGGGCGCCGTCAACTTGAACCAGAATCATCCTCTGAATCAAAACTGCGTCATCCCAGGTGAATGCGAGGTTTCCTACTGGATTGAGGCCCACTTTCGTCGCGCTGGGGAGCAGGTCGGGTTTCTGCATCGACACGTTCAGATCCGATCGCTTTATCCGCGGCTACGAGCGTCGCTGACGAGAGCCACCCCTTTGACCATCCGCGCCAAACCTGACATTTTCACCCGATGTCGGCTCCAGAAATGTCCCGACCTGTCACTCACTCTGTCTGACTCAGGGATGGTAGTGGAGCGAGACCCTGCTACGGGGAAGCGACGCATTACGCTGCCTCTTGCTGTGGCCATGAATGCATCGGACGCTTTTCCTGTGCATTCCCGCCAATCCATGACATGCGCCGCGGAAGTGAAGTGGCTGGTGACCACACGCTTCTCGGCCCAGACCGGTTGCAAAGGCTCCAAAAGATTGTTACCCAGTGAGGTTGTGCGCAAGACCTCGATGGCGTCGACGCAGAAATCAACCATACTGTTCCGTCCGTTGCCGCAATACGGCAACGGCGAGGTCAACTCTGTCAAACACAGTCCCACGACTCCTTTCATCGCAACATCGCAGCTCGATCTGTCTGTCCCGGACGCTGTCTGCCAGCCGTCACTCGACTGGATGTATCTCGCAAGGACATACACGCTGCAGTTGTCTCTGCAGTTTCGCGGCGTGCAGGGCGCGCCCAACTACAGCGTCAACGTCAGCCTGCCATTGACGGTTTCAGCCTACGGTTCCAAAGCAGATGATGCACTCGCCGGTGAAGCACTCCTCGATGATTCGGAGACGGATGAGGAAGATGCCCTCCTTGAGATGCTTGGTCCGTTGGGACTTGGCCAGCCAGAGCGGCAAACGCCGCTGCAGACACGACCCCAGCGCGCTATAACGAGGACACCACCGCCGCCGTACTTTCGATGAGACGCGTTTACAAGGGAAGGGAAGGACCGAGAGGTCCACCACTCCAACCTCATACATAGCTGATGCGTGCGCCTGTGGATGTCGAGCTTCGGCCTGAATGTTCGATTCAGACAGCCCAGCCGGCCAGCCAGCAAACCGGCCAAGCGCCCCTCAAAAGCCAAGCACGGCCAAGAGTATCGATTCCGAAGTCCCAATTGAGAACGGAATGCCCTCTGCGGCTTGCCCCCATCTCAAGAGCTACGGGATTGTGGCTTTCAACAAGCACCTCTTGCTTGCCCAGACACCGGTCTCGACACGGCCGGCGACATCCTCCGTCCATCCTCGGATACATCCCGGATCCTCGTACTCGTACCCGAGTCTTATCTATCCGGCGCAATCGAGAGCGCTTCGGCACCTTGGACGTCCAAGATTGCCTTGATTCGGTCATGGCGTCGCACGAGAAGAGATCCAACGGAGACTCTCTTCAAAGGATCCCAATCCGAAATCCAGGAGACGAGCAAATACCTCCCTACCATGTGCCCCTCCGTACGCCTAACGAGGTCGACCAAGACGTTAAGAGCAGCTTAGGTCTCGACTGTCGACTCTCGACCGGCTCCCCACCCCACCTCACTCGTGCCCCCTCCCACGCACAGGCCCCGACAGGTGAGGCGCTAATTAATCAACCTGTCTGGACTAGCCTTACCCGAAGGATCGCCCGGCAAAACGTTGCTCCACCACCTTCCTCTTCGTGGTATGCCGCTGTATGTCTAGGCACCCAATGAGGACATGGACATGGACATGAAGATGCAGGTGCAGGTGCAGATACGCATGGAGACGAACGCGGTGTGTGTGTGTGTGTGTGTGTGTGTACTCACTACTCACTACTCACTACTCAATAAGTAGAGTTACGGGCGGGTCGATTAAGCGTCGAGATCCCACGGCCCCAGCTCCAGTATACACTATAAATGTATGCATGGATAACTATATACTCCGCACCAAGGTACATAGTAGTACGTTAGAACCCTAGCCTAATGAAGTACTCCGTACTTGTGCTACCACGGTCCGGAGTACAGGATAGGATATACCGATATACTCGTACCTGGCTCTAGCTCTAAACTGCGGACTACTACTACTACTACTACTACTACTACTACTACTACTACTACTACTACTACTACTACTACTAC